AGTCTGGAAAGACGAGGGACGAGGGAGGAGAGCGGCAGTCAAACAGACACAGACCACAGGCAAGGGAGTATAAGCCTGGAGTTTGGTGGGCTGGCGGGTTGGAGGGGGGAGCTGTAACTGAGGAAACCATCTCAGACCAGGCGACAAGCGATGCGATGGGCCGTGGTGGTGGTTACCAAGGCGTCATGGGCTTTGTTGACGTCGTTTCCACAGCAACGGGCGAACTTGCGCCTCAAGCTCCCCAGGGCAGGTCTCTCTTTCCCGCACCTGCACGGCAGCGGCACACCTTCCCCCTGCACCCCTTGCCCTTGCCGTGCTGCACCTTCTCAGCTGCAACGACCGAGACGGCGCTACCAAGTACCCATGTACATATTCGTACAGGAAAAGGCATGAGCTCCGATACGTACCTAAGCTGACCTCCCACGCTCCTTCTTTTCCAAGCTTCAATATCTGTACTTGCGATACATTTTCCCTCTCGTTTCCTCGCTTTTGGCTGTAGCGTCATCACGTACCCTGATGTACCCCATCGTGAGGATCCCGTCATTGCGGCGGGTTCCTCCCAGATGGCCCATCAACCACGGCCACCAGGCCACGAGCAATCTTTAAAACAAGTCGTTCAAAGACAAGGACCTCCTGGTTCTGCACCCTGCCGCACCTCGCGGTCGCATCGTATCGAGGCCAGGTTTTCTTCAAGTCGAGTTTGGCTACTGAAGTTTGATGCTAGCTAGTTGCTTACGCAGCGTATCGAAATCTCGATTTTATTGATCTTTCAAGTTTCTGGACACCCATCCGTACGAATACCCATCTTTTGCGACTGCCGTCGATGCCAACCTTGCCGAGGCATAATCCTATAATTACCATCCAGATATATCAACACAAGCTCCAAAATACGCTTACACCGCAACAATGTCGTCGTGTCGTTCCTTGCTATAGCTGACGCAAAGTGGGCACAGAAACAAACATCCCCGCCCAGATCAAAAAAAATACTCCGTCTCCGCAGTCAAGAATCGGACCAAGGACGTGCGTGCTCCCTCCCGGACTCGTCCAACCAGCACCTCGATTTGATCACCGATCGCACAACCCTGGCAACCGGACGTCCAGCCCGACGTGTGGAGGACAGCCGACGGCGCAACCCATCCATCCGTCCATCACGCCCAAGACTGCCATCGCCTGTAGCGTAGGCGCGCGCCGTCTCATTTTACCACCGGCTGCCAACCACGCGGTACCGACGATGCACAGCAGCAGCCGCCGTCGTGCGTTGGTGCAGCCACACTCGAGAGTTTATGTTTCACACGCCGCCTGCCACCAAGACAAGATGTTTCTAAGGGGCCAGACAGAAGTCTATCCTCATCTCCCTTTTGTCCCTCGTTACCGCCATTTCCTTCAATGAATCCTTCCCCGTCTTGTTCCCGTCTTCATCGAGGAGCTTGCTGCGCAACAGACTCCTTTACTTCGCCGTTCGCACGTAACAGACAGCACCTCTTCCCACTTTTCTCAACGCCAGATTCAGCAGTCGGATGGTGGACCAGACAAGATCACCTCACGTTTGCTGGACGAGCTCAAGAGCACCGAGGACCTCCATCTAGCAGAACTCACTATCAGATCGTCTCTTAGGGTCGACCTTCCAGCTGCCTCATTCCACCAACGTACCGAAAGGTACACCTATCCCCCGTGAACCTAAGCCAATTTGCTAAGACCTCTACGCAACAGCAGTATACATGTTCATAGTCTGGTTTGTGTCGGTTGGCATTCATCATCCTGGTCTGGTTCTCGAGCTCTGCCTAGAGAAGTCAGCAGCCATTTTCCATGTCTCCGTGAAAGCCACGCAACCATCAAGTATCACAACCCGTCCGTATTCCCCAACGTATTGACCGGGTGCGACACACGTGAGATGAGGCCTTTGGTAAGTGGCAACTTTATAGAACGGTCTTGTGAGAGAGTCAGAGGTGAGCCCTAGAGTTCCGAGCAAGGAGATGGCTCCCAATCTCAGAGAAGTCGGCGTTATCAGCAGGCGGCCAAGGACCTGATAGAAGCCAAGCACATCTACTAGCATGGAAAAGCACTCGCAATGCTACCCACGAGACTTTCGACAGATTTCTAGTGTTCATTTGCTTCCGAACGTGACATCCTGCGCACATCATATGGCAGTATTTGGCACTATTCAAGAAGACGAGGATTAGCAGCCAGACTCGGTTCTGAGAAGCATGTTTTCACCAGGCCTAGAAGTTCTGAGCTAGAGACCGGATAATGCGAGGTGTCAACCAAGAGTATCCTGATAAGATCGCCGCTGCTCTGTAACCCAACTACCTAGATGATAACTCGAAGCTGCTCATCGTCGAGGTTGTGAAGTCTCACGGTAAACCAGCACAAAAAACCTCATATGAACCCATCAAGTGAGTATTGGAGATTTGTACTTCAATCAGCCGATCAGGAGTAAGCTGGATCGCCAGTGCCTCGCATGTGATCACTGCTCCTCCTTTTCATATTCAATAGCCTCAAAGAGTACATGGGCAATGTTCAAGAGCCACCATCTCATTGACGATGAAGAGGGGTGGTAGAATAGATTCACAGGTGATTGTGCATCTCTACTGAAGTCGAAAATGGCAATCACAAGAGTGGTGGACCTCGAAACATCTCGATGTAATTGACGGTAAAGATCTTACATCGAGTATACCAGACATATCCCTCTCTGTGTATTCAACTACTACCGTCGCCATGAGAATGGAAACACGTGCAGCGTGACTTGCGCAAGCTCATTGAGGGGCATTCGGAATCTGAAAGCCTCGTAGTTCACAACTGGCGTTCAACGTGAGTTTGTAATCCCTCATCTCGAAGCAGCCCCAAATTTAGAGCTACCTTAGGTACGGATAGCATCAGAGATGCCTCGGGACCAGACCATCAAAAGTTCGGATCCGATCTATCAGTGCCTAACCGCAGTGATAGGAGGTGGCACTGGTGAATTAGCGAAGGTCAGGCGATATTTGCTCTCAGGTGAGGCTAAAAAGGGGGACGGCAAGACCCCCCACCTTGGGTCAGGTCCATGTCTGCTTGAGCAGTGTTGCACAACGTTGGAGAAGCTGGGGAACAATGTTGGTTTGAGGAGAAATCCGGAAGGGCGGTATTCGGTGGTGCAAGAATCGGTCGATAATGATGTGGTTACTTGAACTCAAGCTGTGTAATCCAGATTCCAGCCACGGTCACTGGGTGCGGCGGTGCAAAAGAGAAGGCAAATGGCACAGTTTGGGGGGGAAAGCGCTGCAAAGATCAGATGACATGCACCCTTTGGTTCGACAGGGTTCAGCTGTCTTAATCGAGACTGCTATTCACCGCCGCTCGGCTGGTTCATGCAAGGGCCCCAAGGGGAGAGCCGGGACGTTTCCACCGAATATTGGTTTGTTCCTAGAGGCTTTGAGGAAGATTGAGTTTCTGTGAGCTGGCAGTATCGGATGAGGGCTCACAACCACGGTATGAGAGTTTGCATTTCATCTCTGGTGCGCGATATTGTTGTACTTGATGATTGGATTGAAGATTGTATAAACCTAAGTTACAGCTGTCAGATGAAATGGCGGAGTGAGGTCACCGAGGTGTTCTAGTCAGACGGCCTCGGGAGCTTCAGGGACCGACCAAGTGGGCTTGAGGGATCCACTTGGGTAGGATACGACACGTGATTGGACAGAAGCGAGGTGAACTGGAGCTTACGAGATTTGAAGGCGACGGTCAGCGACGTCGCGGGTGCCGGTTCTGGCCCGTGCACCGTGCTCCCCTGTCACCTCGACAACCAGGGTCTTTTTTTTCTTTTTTTTTAGGTACTCCTTCTGTTGTGCTGTCCAATGTTTCTTCCCATCTCTTCTTCATAGCGGTGACATTGGCTGGAAACAGTTTGCAGCGTGCAGCGAACTGCAGCAGCAGATGGAACCAAAGTATCGGGCTACGGAATAGAAAACGAAGGGGGAGACGAATTGTGAGGCAGCACGCACCCCCAATTTTGGGACCCCCATGACCACATCAGACCTGCTCCATTGCTGTGAATCACTGGACCAGGACAGCTCACAGAGATGCTAGACCGTAGACGTCCAGTGAACGTGGACCTTGAAGGTGACCTTGGGACCTGGAAATAGCTAACCCGGCCCCCGGCCCCCGACCCCAACCGGTTTCCTCCCATCTCCCGTCAATAATATCTATGGCCTAAGCTGCAACGGCTGAGTAGTATCTGTCGTGTCTATCTGCGAGTACGGATATCCCTCAACCAGGTGCAAGGCAGCAAGAGACGAACAGACAAACGTCAGGCGAGTAGACGCCAGGCCACATTCGATACCCTCTGCTGTCATCTGGTCCCTCTTTGTCGCCCTCCCTTTGGTCCATCTTACTTCCCATCTCTCCATCTACCTATCTCTCTCACCCTGTCTCGAACCCTTTTTCATCCCACGTCTCGTCCTTCCTGCAGAACTCGGAGCTGCGACAATTTACCTTCCTAACCACACACGCCCCATTATTGACCCCCGACGCCCCGACTGCCGGCTCTCGCTCGCACGCGTCGCCCTCGGCACCCACCCCAGGTCCTCCCCCAAAACCCAAAAGCGCAGACGAAGAAAAAATAGCCACCACGCATCAACACCTCCCATAATCGCAATCTGACAAGTTCATGCAATGTCAGGCAACACCCTTAGAGGCACGCCCAATCGCGGCCAGGCCCGTGGAGGCATCCCCTTCACCCAGAGCCCCTCCGTCACAGGTTCTGCACCTCCCGCCGCCGTATCCTCTGGCATTCCGCGCCCTGTCCTAGAAACCCAGGCTACGCAGAGCGAAGTTGGCGGCGGTGGTGGTGGTGGTGGTGGATCAGGAGTCAGTGCCAGTCGTCAGAAGCAGACCAAGAGAGATGAGGTATGATGCCCTTTTTTTCCTTTTCTGATAGTACCCCACGATCACGGACGGCCATTGAACATCCATTGCCTCTCTCGTCTTCGCTGCATTTGGAGAAAAGATACCCAGACCGCTTGTTCGTCTTTCGTTGTCGTCGTCGTTGTCGTGTCTCGAGTCTTGCTAGCTATCGGACCGCGTCTTCAACCGGACCTCCAGAAGCTATTACCACTACTGCAACAACTGCTACCTACAAATGGCCAGACTTACCTACGGCGAGCTCGAAAGAGCCAGACTGCTCGACACAATGGATACTGACTACTACGTCAAGGCAATTCGCAAGAAGATGGAGAGCGATCTCTCCAAGAAGAAGCACCTCACGAGCCGAGCCCGTCACTCACGCAAGGCCCCGCCGGGAACCGTCCTCGCCTTGAAGCCCAGTCAAGCCCTGCAGATCAAGCCCGCCACCACCGTCGCCGAGGCCGCCCAGCTCATGGCCGCCAAGCGCGAGGACTGCGTGCTCGTCACCGACGACGACGACCGCATCGCCGGTATCTTCACCGCCAAGGATCTCGCCTTCCGCGTCGTCGGCGCCGGCCAGAAGCCCAACCACATCACCATTGCCGAGATCATGACCAAGAACCCCCTCTGCGCCCGCACCGACACCAGCGCCACCGACGCCCTCGATCTCATGGTCCGCAAGGGTTTCCGTCACTTGCCGGTTATGGACGAGAACCAAGATATTTCCGGTATTCTCGATATTACAAAGTGTTTCTACGATGCCATGGAGAAGCTGGAGCGTGCCTACTCGTCCTCGAGACGTCTGTACGATGCCCTCGAGGGTGTTCAGTCCGAGCTCGGCACGAGCCAGCCGCAACAGATTATCCAATACGTTGAGGCTCTGCGTTCCAAGATGTCGGGCCCGACTCTCGAGTCGGTCCTGGACGGACGGCCCCCGACGACGGTCAGCGTGAGAACCTCGGTCAAGGAGGCGGCACAGATGATGAAGGAGAACCGAACCACTGCCGTCCTGGTGCAAGACCAGGGTGCCATCACTGGTATCTTTACCAGCAAGGACGTCGTCCTTCGTGTCATTGCCCCTGGTCTCGACCCCGCGACGTGCAGCGTTGTCCGCGTTATGACGCCTCACCCGGACTTTGCTCCCATGGAAATGAGCATCCAGGCTGCTCTCCGCAAGATGCACGGTAAGCTTCCCGCATTGGTGGAGTGAAAGGAACAATAGCTAACTAAGTATCAGACGGCCACTACCTCAACCTTCCCGTCATGAACGAGGGCGGCGAAATCGTCGGCATGGTCGACGTTCTCAAGCTCACCTACGCCACCCTCGAGCAGATCAACACCATGTCTACTTCAGACAGCGAAGGACCCGCGTGGAACAAGTTCTGGCTTTCGCTCGACGATGGCACCGAGTCCATGATGTCCGGCGAGGGCAGCCACACCCACCACACAAATCTGGGCTCACGCATCATGTCTCCCGACATCACGCGGGAGCGCATCGGCGACAGCGTTGCTCCCGGCGACTCTGCCTCCCACGTTGGTCTCGAGTCACCGCCTCGCTCCGCCGTTACCGGCAACAGCCCGGCTCAGCAGTCCCCTGCCGAACTGCCCTTCCCCTTTAAGTTCAAGGCGCCGTCCGGCCGTGTCCACCGCCTGCAGGTCATTGCCTCCCAGGGTATCTCAGCGATGGTTGCCAACGTTGTTGCTAAGCTGGGAAGCGAGATCGATGCCATTGGCGGTGCTCCCGTTGCCGACGAAGGCAAGATCTCGGGTGGTTTTGCGCTCAGCTACCTCGACGACGAGGGTGACTCCGTCTCCATCACGACAGACAACGATCTGCTCGAGTCAATTCTCCTCGCCCGCCAGAGCCGCCGGGAAAAGGTCGACTTGTTCGTCCACGACCCCGAGAAGCCCCCCGTTTCCGCCGCACCCCCCACCATCGAGACCATTGCGCTCCCCACCCCTCCCATCTCCGCCACGCCCGACCTGCGCCGGAGAAGAGCCTACGATGACGAGGACGACGAGGCGGAGGATGAGGACGAGGATGAGTCTACGATCCGGAGGTCGCGTCGCGCGAAACACCACGCACCCGCGGAGAAGGAGGTCATTGCCGGTGTTCCGAACGAGTTGCTGCTCCCCGGTGCCATTGTGACGTTGGCGGTTGTTATTGTCGGTGTTTTCACGATCTCGCGCCTGACCAGTAGGTAAGGGGGGAATGTGCTATAGAGAGAGATACAGAGACAAGAAAGAGGAGGATCTCAATCACGACTTTACGAGAGTCCTTGGCGAAGCATTGTAAATATGTATCGAGTATTGTTGTCTTTACTAGACTTGAGTACCCCGACGTTAAATTAATACACCGCACATCCGTTCTATCAATGAATGAGAATGTAAACTTTTGACATCAGTGATCATGCCGCTTGTGCTTGCATTCGTAGACCCGGAGTGTCCTGACGGGAGTGCGTTGCTCCCATTGACGTGATTACTTAAGGTGTGGGGCCCAGGTGCAGGGGCGTTGCGGAGTCTTCCGTCCAGCTTCCCCGAAAGCTCCAAAAATTGTTCCTGGGAAACTGCAGCAGCGTAACGACTCCTGAGCACCAACGCCGCCCGCCAAAACGCCATGATTGTCAGAAGCATAGTCAGCCGGCATGGTACGTGAAACCCTCTCCAGATCTTGAATCCAATTGATGACTTTGTTGCTAACTCTGTCTTCCCTTGTATAGGCAGCAGAGCCCTGCTGGCGCCAGCACTCGCCCGATCATGCCACCGCGCCGGCATCACAACCGACGCCCTCGTCGGCGCCATGACGCCCGAGACCTTTGCAGGCTTGACCACCTCCGCCGCCCTCGGCCAGATCCCAGGCCGAGCCGCCCCTTCGCTCCAGCACGATCCGGATGCCGTCGCCGCGCGCACCGAGGCGATTGAAGCGCGCTCCAAGACGGTGCCCAACGCCTACAACCGCTTCCGCCGCCAGCAGAACCTCCACGCCCGCGTCGGCGCCTCTGTGGGGCGGCCGTACGTCCCCTCTGCGCTGATTGAGAACACGCCGAGTCCCAAGGATATCAGCCTCGAGCTCTTGATGGCGAGTCAGACGCACATGGGACATCATACTTCGCGCTGGAACCCGGCGAATGCGAGGTATATCTATGGTGTGCGTCAGGGGATTCACATCATTTCGCTCGAGACGACGGCGGCGTACCTCCGTCGCGCGGCGCGCGTCGTCGAGGAGGTGGCGTACCGCGGCGGGTTGATCTTGTTTGCGGGCACGAGGAAGGGACAGATGGATATCGTGACCAACGCGGCGAAGCTTGCGGGCGGGTGTCATTTGTTTACCAAGTGGACGCCGGGCAACATTACGAACCGCGATGTGATTAACCAGGGGAAGGAGGTGCGGATCGTGGACGAGAAGGATTTGACGCTGCAAGGGTTTGAGAGGTTGCAGAGGACGGGGAGGCCGTTGGTGCCCGATTTGATTGTGTGTTTGAATCCGAGGGAGAATTATACCATGCTGTACGAGTGTGGGTTGGCGAATGTGCCGACGATTGGGATTATTGATACGGATGCGAATCCGGATTGGGTTACGTATGCTGTTCCTGCCAATGATGACAGGTTAGTATCCCCCCTCACTCCCTCCCTTCTCTTACACCGAGCTTTGCACTCGAAATTCCCCAAAACTTCGGTTACTTTAATACCGCGGACTAACTAACAAATTTCATTTACAACAGCTACCGCTCCGTCGCCGTCATCGCAGGCGTTCTCGGACGCGCGGGCGAAGCGGGCCAGAATCGCCGTCTCGCGGCCGCGGAGAATGGCGAGTCGGAGTGGACCACACCTTTGGAGACGCAGCGCTTCATGAAGGCTCAGGAGAAGGCGTGGAAGACGGAGTTGAAGAAGTGGGAGATGACGAGCACGTTTTCGGCGCACAATAAGGGTGAGGGTGAGGAGGCGAGGTTGCTTGAGATGTTGCAGGTTGATCGGACCAAGGCTGTTGACGGTGAGCTTTGAGGCTGTCGGTAGACCGTGGCTACACTTGGAGCAGGTCAGAGTACGAAGAGTGGGATAGATGAAGGAAAGAAAAGAACTCGAAAATCAGGCGGATGGGAGAGGTGTTCCTTTCCTGTTGTACTAGACACCTGAACAATGTATGAACATGTACCAGTATTTTTTATAGAAATTCGCCCCCTGCTGCTGTTGGTGGGCGTTTGTGACTGATGCTGGGGGAGATTTATATTGTGTATTTGTGAGTTTGGGAGTGGTGAGTACTTGGAGGTGTATGGTTCTGGCTCATTTCGTGTCTGTGTATGATTGCCTACTAGTTGATCATTCTAGAAAGGGGCTTGATTCTGGATAGGCCTGGTGTGAAAACTGTAACTGAATTCAGTTCCTTTCAGATCAGTGGTGAGTGTTGTCGGCTTCGGTAGTTTGTCTTGCTTGGGCTTGAATGAGTAATGCTGGGTCTGGATTGGGGACGATGGGTCTGTCGTTCTAAACATCTCTAACGGGGCTTTGGAGTTGGGAGTAGCAGCTGTCAAATCATCGAGATCCCCCCAAGATTACGGCGTCTTGGACGCAGAAGACTACCTACTACTCCCTACCTGTATGTTCAAATCTCATAGGGTTAAGGATGACACGAGTATCCCAGCAGCTGCCTAGGTATGGCATAGCGGCAACTAGTATCCGTACCTCCTACTTTCTCTCTACTTTATTCTTCCAATGAATTCCAAGTGTGATTCGCAGATTCATCAGGCAGGAGGCCCTTACTACAGAGTATGACTGCTATCCAGCAGTCAACGGGACATCACGCCACCTGAAACTAATCTAGCACTTATCAGGATTCTGCCATTAACGGCATGTGTTACAAAGAAGACGGTATCACATCGTTGCTAGCCATTGATGTTGGGGTAACCATTACAACTGTGAAAGGTCGCAGGCGAGAAGGCCAGTTATCATAAAGGGGGTGCAGTCGGGTTAGGGCTCAAATCCGAGTAGACACGAACACTGGACTCTTCTTATTTCGGCATTGGCCATACGTGTTACGTATAGATGAGCACCTACTCAATGAAGGGCTTCATATAAGACTATCATCTGTTCAATCTACTCCCTGCATACAGAGGGAATTAGCTCAAGTTAATGTGTCACTTGGGATTTGGCCTCTGTTGAGGGGCAGTTGCACGGCTGGCCGGCCTTACTGGGGATATTCAGGTGTCTAGATCACGAGAACTCCACAAGAGGTGATTGGTGAAGCAAATGTACAAAGTAAATAGATTCCTTTCGAATGATATCGAACGTTGGTATCTCAAAAACGCTAAGAAATGTGGTATCAAGTCTAAAATGTTTTCCCCCCTAAGCAACCAAGCTGTTGTAATGGTTGAAAATCGTCGAAGGAAAGTGAAAAGTCATAATCATACGCTGTCGGCCAAAATAACGGGCCAAGTAAAAGAAGTCGTCCTCTGCCACAAATGTTTCTTCCCTCCTGGTTGTTGCCTGTCCCACTTTTAACCCCAGATGGGCTCATCGCGGGGAATCTCAGGCATGGCCCGCGGTACAGGCAGAGGCTTGGGGACGTCGACGTCCCTCTTCTCGGCGGGCTTCTTGCCGCACACGTAGGCGTTGTTGCGCGCTGGGTCGGTGTTGCAGATGAGGCCGCCGCAGCAGGGCTTGTCTACTTCTGCGGTGCTGGTGAAGCAGAGACCTGGAAGAATATAGAACGTCAGCCACCAAAGAACATAAGCTCATGGGTGAGGTGATACAACTAACCTCCTTCTGCGATGCATTGTCTCTTGATGAGGCCGAAGTCGACGCTGATGGCGGAGGCGGCGCCGATGACGGTGATGAGGGTGAGTAGTGAGAACTTCATGTTGACTGATTTGTGTGTTGTGAACTTTTGTATCGTGTATTGCTTGCGTATAGAGAGAGCGTTTTGTGTGTATGCGACGTGTCGAATTTTTGGTGAGAGCGAATGTTATTGAAAGAGAGGCTAGCTGTGTGCTGTCATAGAGATAGATATAGAACAAGCTGATAAGTATAATTGACACTATCGAAAGGATAGGAGGCGCCGCGGGAAATTTCGTGGATGTCAATAGCGCTATATAACCTTAGTCCAACCTGGATTGATTGCCACCCATCAATTAACCACCCATCAATTAACCACCCCTCCCCCCTACCTACCGGGCTCCGGGCCAACACCCTTCCTTGACTCGAATTAAAGAAAAAGTCGCAATCGGGAGTGCGGGTAACAACTGTTGCTGGCCTCGACCGATCGAGGCTGTGTAGTGATGATGGTACCCGCCAAATCTGCATCAAATTTCGCACCCCCAATCTTGTACCAAAGTTTGACCCCCTTCCAGATCTCTGGGCGGCCTGGGCTTTTCCTGAGCCTCCTGTGGTGTGTGTGAGAGTGTCCGTCAGATGAGCAAAGCGCAAGCGACCAGACGACCAGACGACCAGACGACCAGATGTACGCGTACGCTTGCTTGTTTGGCACGGCGTCGCAAGTTTCGGCAGGATGAAAGTCACAGGGTTACGCCCGTCTCACGTACCGGTTCCCGAGTTCGTCGCAATGTGTCGCAATGTGTCTGGTCACTGGTGTCTACAGTCCATCTCACTATGCTTTACCCCGCGGGTGCGGAGTTTGGGAGGGGGGTGGGAGGACCGTCTACGCGGTAGGTCGGTATGCCGATACTTTACACTACCTTGGGCACACCAGGCAAAAAGGGAACGCCATTCACCGAGAAAAGGAAAGAAGAGAGGTACCGCTCGGAACAGAGTTCAAGGCCATCCCGGGCTGCTTGGGAAGGGGACAGATTGTAACTTGCGCGAGCAGAACACACGCAGTTTCAGAACTGAGTCCGATGTCGTGGGCCAGCCAATCGGGTGGCCGCGGGGTTCACGTTTTCGAAAAAGAAGGTTGCTAAATATATATATGAAGTTTGGTGCCGTCTGGAGTTGGTGAAGTTGGGATGATGAGGTGGCCTCCTCCTGGCAAGACTGACATCCGTTCACCGAAACTGCGGTAAAAGGGCAACTCGATAAAGTGCGAAAACGAAGGCACGGTTCTGGCAAGCAACGGCAAGGCTGACAAAGGGCATGCTTGACGGGGATTATGCTCGCCAGCCCTGCCGAACAGGCCGGCATATATGCACTGCGCGGGATGCTGTACACCTAATCACGTCGTATGCAGTACGTCTTTGCTTTTTGAAAGATTGAAAGTCTGTGAATTGTAATTGAGAGAGAGATCCACTCTGATCTCCGCGCCCACGAGGCCAGATAGATGGATGATCACGCATGGTAGGCGGGCATGAGGGAAAAGCACGAACCACGACGGGATGGTCCAGAAAATCGTGAGCATTATCGGTCCTGCCGACCAGATACCGGAGGACATACAACCCGTCGCCCGCTGAGGGAGGCTGTAATCGTCTCGTCAGTCGCATCTCAAATTCATCCGTCTTCTCTTGGACACCCGTTAACTTTTGAGGATCCGAACGCCGTGGAACTTCAACACCCTCTTAACTCGTTACCTCTCTGTCAACCCAACATCAATCCAAACGCCCCAAGAACCTTGGGTAGCACGCAAGAAGAAGAAGAAACCGAGTCCAAGCATAAAAGGCAATCCGAACAGGTTTCAAAAACGCAAGCAGTGTTTTTTTTTTTTTTAAGTTTCAATCCTTCCGTATACTAGAAAATCCGAAAATTACGGTAAGTCTTGGCAAACCCCCTGTCTCTCGCGTTTCCAAGATGATGTGGCCTTCCGTCAGAAAGATGAGACGGGAACTTTGGAAGCATGTTCGCCCCGGCCGTTGTTCGCCGGCGCGCATTGTTGCACAGAACACACGCCTCCCCCCCCCCCCACGAATCGTGGACAGAACGCACAGTTCATAGTGCTAGCTGAACCAACCTTCAGAGACCTCAGCTTTTAATGAAGACGATTGCGAAAAGTCTGGCCACGGTCAAATTTATGGCCGCGTCATTTTAAACGCCAAGGTATCTTTAAGATTTGGCCGAGAAAGACTTTTGAGATTTGGCCGAGAAAGACTTTTGAGATTCGGCACGGCTTTAGTGCGCCCTGCCTATCCCGGGCGGAAGCAACGCCCCGATTGACGGGCCCGAAGTGTGCCCCGCACTACCTGCCATCCGTCCCGGCACTCGGCTCCGTGCTCCCCCAATTTGGGATGGCATAGAAAAGATCGGAGAAGGACAGCAAACAATTGAGATAGATACTGAGAACTCACGTATGAGAGTAGCTTTCTCCCCCAGCTCCATCGACCTTGAAGACCGACTTGCGCGAGATCTAGCTTTCAAGGGAGGGAAAAAACAGGTATGAAATGAACGCAACCTAGCAGCAAGGTACTAAGCCGGGTCATGCTTTTAATAAACTCGTTTATATGAGCAAAGCCTGGAATGCTGATATGCTTGCTTGCCATGTAAGGTTATGAAAAGTCTATCAAGCAGATGAAATGAAGAAAAGAACAAATCCGCCGCCGCCGCCGCTGCCTTACTCCATGGTATTCAAGACGCCAAACAGACCCCCCGTCACCGCCAGGTCGCACTCCTCCCGCCCGTGGAACATCACCCATTGATAAACTCTATAGAATAAACATCCTTCTCCCTCCCGTCCTTCTCTCCCATAACCGCATCCACCCCCACCCCCTCGCCAACATCATCGTCATCCCCCTGCTCGATCAACATATCCAAGTCCCGATCCACAGCAGCCGCCTCCTCCGCCGAGACTCCCATATCCCCTATGACCCCTACCTCCTCCTCCGCTTCCGTCGCGTTAAGAAGCGCCTGGAAGTCGGTATGGTGAGGGTGGTACGGGTTATACGGGTTCTCATGATGATGGTGATGATGGAGATCATGATGTGACGTCGGCCCCGGCGGCTGCAGCCCGCCAATGATCTGGGGATCAATCGGCTGGAAGGACTCGTCTTGTAGCATAGGGTTGTGGTGCGGGTGGCCACGCGGTAAGGGGGATGCTGAGGGGTCGCGGAGGGTGTGGGAGGGCGGTAGGGAGGTGACTTCCGCGTAAGGAGATGATCTTGGAGGTGAAAGGGGCGGGAGGTGGTGGCGATGTTGGTGTTGGAGCGAAAGGACGTGGTCTGCGGCGCTGAGGACAGTTGAGGGAGGTCCTGATGATAAGCCCGGCGGCGGCGGTGATGTAGAATGAGTGTGATGAAATGAAGTATTCGTGAGGGGATTCACAACCGGTGCAGGCGGAGGTGCGACAGAAGCATTAGCACCAGCAGCAGCCAACGCCGCCGCCGACCTCCCCTTGGCACCACTCCCGTTCCCAGCCCCCGGCGCAGGCGTCTTGCCGAGCTCCTTACACTCAGCGCAATTCCGAATCACGTCGCTCGCCGTCTCCTTGATGCGGCTCCAGTGATACTTCTCCGCAATCGTCGCCGTCGTCTTGTTGATCCCGCCGTGGCCGGCGGCATGCACCTCGCGCGCAATCTCGTACTGCCTCCTCGGATCCGGCACGACCTCCTTGTCCTTGAGCATCAGCCTCTCGCTTCCGCCGCCGGCCTCCCCCTCCCCCACCAGCTTATAGTGTGTCGCCGCGCTCCGGAGCCTGCTTTTCTCGGCGCGGTCAGCACCCGCCGGATACCGTCCGTATTTCAAATAAAACTTGATCTTGTCGAAACGCTCTTCACTCACGAGGTCCTCCGACTCTGCGCCGTTGCTGCCGGGGACGGGCAGGTCCCGCCCGTAGATGATGGCGTCGATGAGCGTGCCCGGGTACGAGGCGAGGTTGCCGCACCCCTTTACGCGGCCGATGCGCTTGAAGCCGAGGGCGTCCCAGATCTTGCACGAGGCGACGTTGGTCTCGTAGACGAGGTTGAAGACGGAGTAGGTGTAGCCCAGTTTGGGCGCCCAGTCGATGTAGCACTCGCCCATGAGGCGGCCTACGCCGCGGTTGCGCGAGGCGTCGGTGACGAGGAAGCCTGCGTTGCACACGTGGCTGCTGCGGCCGGGGTAGTTTGGCTTGATGTAGAAGCTGCCGAGGCACTCGCGGGACCAGTCCATGTCGTCGTTGAGCTCCGCGTGCGGCTGCTCAATGTTGCCCAATAACATGACGGCGCCGAAATTCTGGAACCAGTAGGCGCCGAATTGTTCGGCCGTCATGGTCTCCATCATCGGGTAGGTGTCGCCGCCCTCAATCTCCTTGTTGAGCTGGTCACTGAGATAGCGCACCAGAGATGGGGGAACTTCGTGACGCGAGGCAAAGGGGATGATTGTGGCGACGGTCTGGCGATCGCGGAGCGTCACTTGACGTGGGGTGATGTCGGCCGGCAGGGAGGGGTTCATCGGGTCCGGGTACGGCGTTACCCCGGACACCCGGTAGATGGTGGGGCTCGCCGGATCATCTAGCATGGCCGGCATTTTCGGGGTGTCAAGGTACTGACTCGGCGGGGGGCGGATCGGCACCGCAGGGGCCTTCCTTCAATACAAAGCTCCGCTTGACGAGGGGTAGGTAGACTGTAGTAGGTAGCTCCTGTTGGCCGTTTGCGCCGGACTGAGTTCGCGATACTGACTTTTGTAACACAAAAAGTCTACAGTTAGTTAACATTTCACACGTGTATAGCAGGAGGGAAAGCAGCGGTCAATAAAGAAAATACGCGCATATCCCAAAAACTCATGCCTGCACAGAACAGGCTCCCGTCTTTCTCCCCTCGAGGCCCCTCCCCTTCCTTCATGATATCTGATATCTTACACGGAGCCAAAGGAGGGGAAAATTGGGAACAATAGAAAAAAAAAATGCAGGTTGGATTTGTAAGGAAAGGCTGCAAGTAAGCCTACCGAAAATCTGATCTGACTCTGCTCAATGCTGACTGACTTCCCCAAAATTGAGACGGAGAGAGAGAGAGAGAAAGCAAGACAACCCCTTCGGCCAAACTGCCGATTTGCGCGCAAAATGCAGGCCTAGCAAAAAAAGCAGAGACCGCGTGGTGGTACAGATACACTGGTGGCTTGCGCTGCACTTGGTAACGATCGGTCAAGGTAAGGGAAACCCGCCTTGCCGTTTCAGCTTTTGCGATGACACCACAGCTGCTAGCATGCACGAATGCCTGACCTTGGCGGGGTGTGTGGAAATCGGAGCTGCTGCTGTGCTGTGCTGTGCTGTTGCTTGTACGTGCTGAAATGTTCGTTGGTGATGTGTTTCTGGACCTGAGGCCTGAGGGGTGGAGGGGTTAAAGGAGGGAGGGGAAATGCGCAGGTTGCGAAGTTTTCAAACCCGGACTTGGGACTTGGGGGAAATGTTTGAGTTATGTAATGGATCTGTGCCACAGTCAGCGCCACATTGTGGCTAAATCAGATGTGGTTTATCAAAACACATGAAGATGTTTTCTACTATCATGACATTGATAATCATCCTCATCAGGGGTCAAACAACTCATAGGGAGCCCAGGAGAAATTTAGTAATCTCTGTACATGGTTCTTGCATCTACTGTATCGATCCGATGGTATGTCACATGAACACGCCTCAGGTACAACCGAGATGTTTCCTTCAGGTTGGGGATTTGCCCGAACTGTGATATGAGTCTTGCAATCCAGTTTCTCATCAGGATGTACCATGTTAATCTTTCTGCGATGAACATCTGTTACTTAATAAGCGAGGACCAAACATGTAGTCAATATTGATTAGCGGTCGCTTAGCGTAGCACAACGTGGAGACTGGAGTTGTTAATCTACTTAGCTACTTAGTATTTATTTATTTTGTATGCCCTATTGCTTATAAGGCGGTGCTCGATACGTAGTACACAGTATATCTACTTAGTATAACAATGCAGAAACTATCCAATTCGGACCATGATCAAACTCACAAGGGTTTCAAATGGTTTCTCAATGTTGGAACAGCAAAGGCTGATAAGGAGTAATAGGCAGGTACCATGGGCTGGCTGGCACCTGCCCTGGGCGAAGTGGGACAACTGGCTTAGTCATCACGGCCGGATAAAGGTGGAGCAACCACCCAGGCCGTCACTACCTACTCCTGCCTACAATGTAAGATAGAAGAACAACAAGAAGAACAAGCAATAGGATCACCAACAGACGAGTGATAATTGCTACCACTATTTGTCGTATACGACCCCGTGAACCAACACTCAACGCTCTCGAATTTTGACGACACATTCTTAATGCAGCAGAGCTGTAGTAACGTAACAGCGTAGGCTTCCAGCGCTGTTGTATCTGAATGTCATTGGCTTTGTAGCCTTGGTATTCTCAAAGTCGCTATGATACAACAATTCAACAAACATAAAACCTCGAGCCCTCTATCTTGCCTACAGTCTATGGGATATACAGAGTTTTAGCCTCGTGCGCCATCAAGAGCCACACACATCGAAGCTGTTGGACTTCATGCGCATATGCCACTCTGTCATCGACGCCATCAGCGCTGGATCAACATTCCTGTTCGCCTTGATAAAGACAGTCTCATAGGGATGGATGTTGCTCCCGAAATACTTCCTGTCCCACAAAAGGTCACCGGAATCTGGATGCGCTTTGCAGTACTCTTCTACTCCCTCTTCGGAATGCAGAGCAGTCATCATGGCGTCGATTTTGTAGCCGGCGTTCATGATCAGGCCTGTCGTTCCGACTTCGGCATGAACGGCGGCGTTCCAGTCTGCGTAACACCCGCTGAGACCGACTGGGGCGTCTTTGCTTCCGAATCGATCGTCCTCAGACGCGGTTGTTGCGACTGTGGGGTCCAGAAGGATGCTCATACCGACGTCGTCGGTGGCAAAGATCATGGACTGAACGTGCAGTCTGGGTATGCAGTTGAGTGTCATTCCGACCAGCTGCAGGGAGAAATCGTCTTAAAACCGATGTCATGTCAATATCAAATTAAGAAGGACTTACTTTGGTTGTCTCTGTCACTTTGCTCAGGTACAAATCCGACCAGCAAGACGAGCTCCACGCCGGTAAGAATGGCCCTCGAATGCTGGCGTTCATCGTGATGAACCTCTTATACTTCTTCCACAGGTCGTCCTTCTTCAAGACTTCGCCAATCGCACCCATGTCGAAGCAGGTGTTATCCCGCTTGACGATGCTGATGTTTGGCAGATCGGGGATGGTGCTAGACGCGTTGGCATCTCCGTTGAATACGAAGACAAAGTCTGCGCCATTGTGGATGCCCTTGTTGACAAAGTAGTCCAGGTTTGCCCGCGCGCTCTCGGAGTCATGATAAGCATACACGATGAGCGGTCGGTCTTTTGAAGGCGCGCTTTGTTGGTCTGAAGTTGCGGATTTAGGCGAGGAGCCATGCGCGATGGATTCAGGGATCGCGGGCTTTGTGAGGGGACACCCCTGGTTAGCCGCCGGACCCAACAAACCTCGATTGCTACGGTGCAGAACCGGAATCACTCCCGGGAAAAGGGAAAAGAACACACCAGTTGGAACGGCAGGATCCACCAGGCCGATATCAGGAAGACGGCCGTGAGAAGGCCAATCTTTAGAGGTGTACAGTGCACCCCGAGAGACGGCTTTTTCGGAAGCGCTCGTCGTGAAGGGAAGGTTTAAGGTGTATGTCGTCTAAAGAGGAAGAAGGGAACGCTTGGCCGGGCTCCATGGAGATTTTGGCTCAAGATAACGTGGGAGCGGCGCGGCAGGGAAATCTGGACTGACGTGGAAGTGGATGACATGATTGCGAGTAGAGCCCCTGAGTGGTCAGACAACCCCTGCCATGTGGATAACACCAATTATAGGACCCTTGCACCATGACGCGGAACAAACGGAGCGTGGGAGCGACCGGCGCAAGCTCTCACGGATGCTGACGAGCTAGAGACAGTTGGTTGCCGTGAGCGGAGACTGAGATCTTGTGTGAAACGAGTTTATAGATTTATACTAAATCATTAAGGTATGGAACTTGAGGTCAACACCATGAAGTGTCAACACGATTATCGCGACTTTTCTGAAGATACCGCAATGCTGAGGCTGTGAGACTAATTCACGCAGATCGTTTCACACCCATGAAAGCATCAGGCATTATTTCAGGCAGCAGGTCAGCAAATCAAATTCAAGGGCGCTTGCGTTGGTTGAGTCTGCCAATTTTGGCTTGGCTGTTGGCGCCTTGCATTTCGAACTGCATCGAACCCTTGGACAGAGGCACCGAATCTGGCAGATATGTGGGGATCACTGCGCATGTTTGGCCCAGCCTGATATTCTGGCCTGCAGCTGAACGAATCACGCATGGCAACATTTCGGTGTTGGTGCAAGTTGGAGTTGCTGTGCCATGATTTTGAGACGCTTCCGTCAGACCCCGGTGATTTTGACAATCAGTGCTTTTGTTCGTTAAAGAGTCTATGTTACTAGTTCGCTGCGCCATCGCGGTTTCTTTTCTTTCTGTCTCTGTTTTTCGTTGCTTCCCAAATGTCAAGGCTGAGCCGAATCGATTTCGGAATAGTTCGCGATGACTCAAGCCGGTGTAAGTGTCTACCAACAGCCGGGGAACAACACTTCAGCCTTGGGGTTACACAACCATTGAGATGGACAACTAACCTGATTTGACGACCTAGGACCATGGCACCCAACCGCATCTTCAACCCCACGAGCAACCAGGCCTAGAAGTTGTACCAGACGGACAACGCAATTACACACGCGCGGAAGACTGGTCCGGACTCCAAGTCGACAGCCACCCTTACTATGTCGACAGTGGCAAGGAAGTAATTTCTGATCACAATGACAGCGGGGAAATACCCGTAACTTCGGAGCAAGACGAAGTCAAAGAGCTTGAGTCTAAACAACCAAGGCGAAGAGGACGGCTATGGCTCATGATTGGAGGAATTGTACTCCTCCTGGTGACTGCAGCAGCCATCATCGGCGGAATGATGAGAACCAAAGCGGCGAATGCATCAAAAGTCGACGATTCGTTGCCCACGAGCGAGGCTAGCCCTACCAGCACACCGACTCCCACAACTATCGCCAACACGACAACAAAATTACAATCAATACGTCAGGGATCGCCACTTGCCGTCACTGGATGGGGCCAGTCTGGAGGTGTGGAGGTGTTTCTCTTTTACCAAGATCACGATTATCAAGTACACCGGTCCACATATGACACCACGAAGACGAGCTGAAACTCGTCATGGCAGACGCCCGATAAGTTCAACTCTTTTGCAGATGCGAGTACTCGCTTAGGGGCGAGTGTAATTCAGTATGATAGTTCGTACCAGGTAGGCAACTTCCAATCGCTTTTCGAAGCCGGGCGTGAATGAAAACTAACAGAGCGGTCTTCGAAGCCGCAAACCGAAGTCTTCTACACAAATGATGAAGGCCGTGTCCTCGGCGTGAGCATAAACGAGGCACTGAGCCCAAATTACGAAGAAGACAGTATTAAGAGCATGGTTTTGAGCTCCCGTGTCAACGGTAGCGTCGCAGCATATTGACCTTGGGTTATATATCAGGAAAGTACTGGTGGAATTGTTGAGGTGCGAAACCGCCTTCGGGCTGAGTTCGCACCGGCAGCCGAGTGGGACAAGAAGAGACTCAACGCTACTGCGGATAGTGACAGCCGGCTAGCATTGGTTCCGTTGTCGGCCAATTTCAGCAAGATTGCCGTTCAAGGAGGTTATGGAATCTTTTACCAGGCTGGTGGCGGCTTGGTTGCGTCGATACCGGATCTTGGATCAGATGAGCTCGCTGCAGATTATGCAGACAGTTGGCCTACAGGTATGCTTCAATATTTCATTTCACTCAAAGTCTATCAACACAGCTGATCCGTCAAAGGCTTCCCGACTGTCACGAATATGCCAGGGGGCGCGCCCTTTGCTGCATTCTCAGTTCCCAGGTCCTCAGATACTCTGCAGAGAGTCTTCACTTACGTCCTTTACCTCGACAACGATGCAAACATCAACGTCATTTATAATGATGCTACCTCCTGGATTACTGTCCAACCAGCCGGCCTGAAGGGCGTCGACAAGGACACAGAAATTACCTGTCTCATCATGGCCACTACGTACCGCGACTCTTTCCAGCAGGCAGTGGTACTTGGAGAAGAAGCTTTCAACCCAAGGTGCTACTTTCAGCGTGGAGGCTTAGTGAGAGAAGTGGTTTTGAGCAGTAATAACGAGTGGGAGGATAATGGCTACGTGCCCATACCCTAGAGATGTTCGACTAAACATGTTTCGCGCGTTACACAGAGAGCATTTACCAGCAATGACTGATGATTGTACTCTAGAAATAGAACTCTTGCTGGGGTTCCGGATCCAGTCCATAAGCAGTAATTTAATGCAAGTTAAAGTCAACCTTTGTTTTAAGTGCCTTCGACTAGAGTAACACAAATATAAAAACATCCTTTTGTGATGATTATGTTAAAGCCTTCTGCTGTACAACGAGGTATACTCTAAACATAAATATTACATGGCAATCAGAAAGCAGCATGTGCCGCAAATCGAAGCTTTTGAAAGGCCCGACATGTCCAAGAACATTATCAAGTATCTTTGTCAAGTCGTAAGAAGTGCCAAGAAAACTAACAGAGATTTTTTTTCTTTGTATTTCACTGAGCCGGAGCTTCACCTTTAGAGCAATTGTTCAACTGCCCGCAACGCATTATCTTATTATTGCCAAAATACCAGGAGAACACCGCATCGAAGATGACTTGTGCAGCCTTGGTTCTTCATGATGACGCGGAAACCAATAGTTGAATATTTTATACTTTGCCTCAGCGATGAGACGGACATAAGACAAGTGCCTTTCAACTTCATTAACATTTTGGTTCAAGATTAGATCTTGTGAACTATGTTTCGCGTAGGCTACAAGTCGACTTCCGCTGAAAAACGTTGTATCATTTGTTGGATTGTCAACGCCTCTGTCTATGTAGTCTATGTAAAGGACACTATTAGTAGACGAAACACGTAACACGTCAAAACGATGTCACATTCGGGCATTTGATGGCTTTAATTTCACTGGTCAACTCTAGAGTTCCTCTGGTCTAGGCTCTAAAACCTTTGGACCAATGCCATAGGGGCAAGGCTGCAAATCTCCAAGCATGACCTCACCGCCTTACGTTGTAGGTCTCAACACGTGTAGATATCCACAGATCACTCGTGTAGGTAATGTACTTAGCTACATGCGGCACCGCCGATGATGACCGCTGTTGAGCCTCTACGGATACAAGAACGGACTATCTCGACCTCAAGTCACGTGCTTGCCTCACTTTTACAACCCAGTATCCACGAAGCACGATAATTCGACCAGTCTAGAACCCGACCGTTGACATTGCTCCATAGCGTCGATGTTGGAACCGCATGTCATCCATTAGCACCTTGCTCCATTTGCGGCACTTTTTTCACCCAACTTCGCCGGGCCGTTAGGATATAAGGCAAGGCGCGCCACGCAACGCAGGAGAAAGAAAAAAACTCTCAAAAAGAGCCCGGCGTTCTTTAAGTCCCATCGGACGAACTCTTCGCAGCTGAAAAAGAGCACACTAGCGCTTGGCATCCACCGAGCTTAACGGACTCTTGGGGCCAGGTACCATTTTGCCCACACTACCCTGGCTCCAGCGCTTCAGGACTCAGGAGGTCGGTCCGGGAAACGCGCGGCCACGGACCCTCCTCTCCCCATCTTCGACTCGTCACTCGGTGGGAAAAGCCTTGGGGGGGGGGCTTCTTCCTCTTTGGGACCTTGTGTTGGGTTCGAGAATACCCACGTACCACTTCCGGAAGTGCAATCGCGATTCGGGACGTCCCTGCTGAGGCTGTGTTACGTGTATTTTTTCGATGCATGTGGAAAATCTTCCATTGGCGGCAAGAGGGACGAAGTAAGGTTAGGAAGGGAAAGGGGGATCAATCATTCGATAAGGCACGGCAAGGAGCATAAGGTAAATTGAGCCCAGCAGAGAGAGCATGTGCGGCGCAAATCACACGCCCAACGGCAAAGTTACTTAAAAGTCACACATGGCACAACTGACAGCTGTAGTTGACCTCCCCACTGGGAACGGGATAGGACATTTTCAGCTCGTGGAGAAATAACAAAAAAAAAAAAAAAAAAAAAAAAAAAGGAAGATCAGAGATGATCAGGGCCAGTTCGAGGCCCTAGGTTCCTCTCCTGGCTCTCAGTGGATGACGCAAGAAGCATGCGTGCCTGAGATGTTGGCGGGAGACGGGGTCTAGAACCTTTTTCGGCCTCAAAGGCTGAGCGAGCGTGAGAGAGCGCGTTCCCGGTTCGCTGTGGGGGAATGGATCGTAAACATCAACATAAGTCCCCGTCCCTGTCTTGACACGTACAGCGGCAGCATCTCGATGATTCGGAGAAGACATCGGCACGCGCAAGAGCGGATGCGAATATGACTTCTGTAACGGCCGATGGGAGACTATCGAAGAAACCAATGCAGGTGTTCCGTCAGAGGTTCGATTGAGTGTTCTTTGTTCCAATGTTGACGTTCGGCATATGTAAAAGGGGGGGTGCGGACGTGGACGGGCGGGCCATCGGCGACCGGATCTAGAACTGGCACTTTGCTCCACAATTCAGCAACGAAGTTCTCGATCTTATCGCAGCCGGCAACAGTTCAGCTCAAGTACTCCGTACGGATAACAGATGTGCTGTTGGCCTGTACGGATAGGTCCTGAGTCTGTTGTGCACGGCGGACGTAAGCCGGTCTTCCGGCTCGTGGGCTTTTGCTGCGGGCCGCAGGGGGAGTTTGTAACTTCGTGGAGACTTGGTTCATATTAGTATAGTGCCTCGGGGAGGGGGGCACCATGATCCTGAACGGTTTCCATGTGCCTTGCCGTGGTTCGACTTTCCTATGCTAGATCGAACGTTTTGTGTTACCAAGGGCTGTGGCATCTGTTCCTGTGCCTCTCTCAAACCCGACTTTTCTCTGGGAGGATGGGAATGGAAGGCGGCCGGAATCAGATAGATGCACGGCGGCAAAGGTCTGCTAACCTCGCCCGTTGCCGCCATGATTCTGAAAGTGAAGAAAGATTCAAGCCCGACATGCTTCAATGCTCTATTTTCGTATAGCAAGCGTCATGAGTGAATCCTGTTTATGGGACTTTTGCTCGTGATAATATGGACTTTCACTAAGCTGAGGATGAAAAGCCATGTCTTGCCTAGGCAAGCCTATCAAGTGGTGGCGCTCATTTCCTGGAAGACGTGTGAATTCCAAGATTCTTCCCCGAACACTGGGGTGTTGGGTTTGGAACATGTAAACATGGTGGAAAGACCGTGTCGGAGCTCTGTTAATTAAACATGTGAGACTGGGTCTCACATCATGAACGCGGGATGTCCACAAAGTGAGAGGGGAAATGTCTGGGAAGTTGGTGTGTTGAAGTCGTTCCATAACCCGGGCCCCAACGCTGCTCGAATTCGAGATTGCTGATGTAAGACGACGGCACGACGGTAGGATGTTCAGAATTTCAGATGGAAAAAAAAAAGGACGCCGTTCAATCTGCTTGCATTTCGAGGAGGACGGGCCTGAGGCGTTTTTGGGGCGTTGGATAATTAATACCTACCTAGATGAAGCCTAAGCCAAGCCAAAGCCCATCTTTCATTTCGCAACGGAGGATGAAGCGATGTTGAAGGGACGAAGCCATCACTGCCGTGGCACGTTTAATGCTGGATGTGGCGGCATAAGGCATCTCGTTGAATAGGCGACGCCGGAGAAGGAAAGTGAAGAACTGGGCCTTGCTGCGCTTCGGCTTCCTAATTATCTCGATGGGCTTCCCACCCGGAATGGCCGTGATCGGGATCCCCATCCGGCCGCACGCACTGGAAGGATTGGGGGCGGATTTGACAAGTTCCCACATCGAAACTGGCCGAGCTGGATGGCGGTTTGGACTACTCTGAAGATGGGACGACCGGTGTCATCGATCACTGGCTGGCGTTCGCCCTGCACTCGCTTGGTGATTTCTCGGACTAATATGTCTCTCTCTTGGAACTCTAGGCAGCTGGGCACGCTGAGAGGGAACTGGGAAGGTGTCCGCGGACAATGACTCGACCCCCTTCTCCAGAGCATCCACAGCGAAGAACGGCACAAAAACTGTGGATATAATTAAACGCTGCTGGAGGGGAGAGGGGGATTGCCCCTGCACCGACGCGTCTTGGGAGACGGGGGAAAGTCGTCGGCTTCTTGGAATAAACAGCCCAGCCGCGCAACGGAAGAAATCGAGTGGTTGATAGCTAGGTAGTCCGTTGGCGTCACAGTCAAGAATGGACTCATGGAGCCCTCGGGCGGCGGTGCTTTTAGCAAGTCCTCGTCAGGAAACCCGCAAAGCAAGGAGTAAACGTAAGCCGGCAGCCGGGAACCGACTCGAGATAGGAAGCTTGGGGAGCCGATCAACGGAGTTTAGAGATGTATCTCTGGGATCTCTGGGACCCTGGATTTTTCTTGGTAGTTGGCAGTTGACACGTCGGGCTCTCATCGCCAAAAGGGGGTTCTCGGCAAGAGAGACAAGTCATTAATGAAGAGAGTGGTTTTTGTTCGTATTAATCAAGAGAGATGGGACCCGTTGGAACGCTGCGAAGGTTCTTTGCGGCAGTGCCGGGTGTTGGCGGCGGTATTGATTTTCCTGAAGGATGCCGCTCGAGGGGATGAGATGTGATGGTATGGCAACTTGCGAACTTTACGAAAATCCAGAGCCTGTTATCCGTCGCGTCGGATTATCCTGCCGAAGGATTGCTTTTCTGCGTCTGAAAATTTGAGTTGGGGGAGATTGCGGCCTGTGAAGGTTGAAGAGAGAAGAGACGGGCACGCAGGGCGAATCCACGGCACAGGGAGAACCGTTGCTTCTTCAGGGTACCTGCCTACATGTACCTTGGTTAAAGGGAGACTTTTGTCACTTGGAAACGGCCCCCAATCAACTCACGACAGTCGGACACTGAAGACGCAACTCGCCTGGGCCTTGGTGAGGGAGAACTTGAGAAGAGCAACCATCTGCTGACACATGTTCCGAGGATGGGGCTCCCTCGGCCTCTTTACCTGAAAAGAGGAGAGGCAGGCCGAAAAGGGCCACCTTTTCCCCTTCATCCCCGAGTTCCTTTGCCAGAAATAGTGCACAGAACAGCGAGATCGTCCAACATTGTGAAGCAGCAGTTGAACGCGAGACCGACATGCAGAGCGCCTCATGTTCTGGAAGAATGCAGTATCTTTGGAAATCCCGAATCAAGAGACGCCATATCAATCACAGCTGCACATCGCGAAAAACCGAGAATGCTGATTCTGACCCAAGTCGTGGATAGGAAGAAAGCACATGGTCAGGCATTCAACATCATCTCCTCTTTCTTCGCTAGCATCTCGGCACCTGCCTGTGCTTCAATAGCGTCTGTTGGTTTGGATTTTGTATATAGAAATAGATCCTAGCTTAACCTAGTTCGGTCGTACATGTCACGCAGCATTTGTGTATTGGAGGGGAAGTGGGGCTTCCATGCTTCTTTCGAAATACACGTACTTCGTACAATTCTTTTTCATTCTAATCAGTATTAAGGAATAATTAGAGACTCCTTTACAAAGAAATATAGGGCATATAATAATCTATTCTTCTATAAGAGACTCTGGCATATAAGAGCTTACCTATTTAATATTCGTCTATTATATAAATATTTAATTTATTATAATATCCTAAATAGCTATTTTTATTTTATTAAAGTAAGTTTTTTATATTTTAATTGTTAATAAAGTATTAAAAATAGTCCATTTTAATTAATATATAGTTTTTCTTTGAAAAAGTTATGATATTGCTAAGAAACTATTTACTTAATAAATTAAGGTTTTAATAACTTTTAAGTTTATATTTAAAAAGAAATCAAAGAAGATTATTTAATTAAAACCCGCTATAATAATTGAATTTTTTTTTTCTTATAAAGATTTAAGTTAATATAAATATAAAATATTTCAATTTAACTCTATATTTCTTAGCTATTGAAGATAATCTATATTAATTATTCGTCAATATAAGTTATTGATTATTTTATTTATTAATATTTCAATATAAGAGACGTAATCTATTTTAATACTATATAAAAATAAAATAAACATTTATTATTTCTAAATATATTTATAGTTCATTGAAATATATGTTCAATAATTAATATTATAAAACTATTATTTTATTTAAGTTTTCTCTATATTAAAGCTACTAAAATTAACTATAAACTTAAATAATAAAGAGCTTTTTTAATTGTTTTAAAATCTCAAAGTTTATTTTAAAATATGGTTTTAATAGTAATTAACGAATAATATAATATTATAATTATTTAATATGTAATTTTATTAGCTTTTTTCTATAGTTTTTTTTTTTTTTTGCCCCTTTATTAGAGGCATGGAGGCGCAGAGAATGATTAGGGACACCTCGCCTGCAAGAAGCCAGCGAGCAGCCCACAGTAACATGACGTGGGTTTTCCTTAATTGATTGTTGAGGCTGTGCTAATAAGCAACATCAATATCAAGCAAGGAAAAAGTAACGCATCCCGGGCCATCCCAAGCAGGAACCTGCATCGGATGCCCGAGTCTGCGGACGACTAAGGACAAGCTTCTCGATTAAGCATTTCTTCCTCAAGAAATCCACCCCCTCTGCTCCGTAGCAGCCCAGGATATGCGCGTTCAATTGATCACAACCGCTGTCCAACAGCCAGAAGCTGCCCGCGGCCACTGAAGAGATGAAATTCCCCAGTTGCTGCAGCGGTATTCAGGCGGTGCTTATGCCTCGTCGAGGTCAAGGTCAAGGTCCCCCGGAAGATTGGAGAGGCAGAGTATCGAACACGTTTCCCTGGTGCGTTGGATGATGAGTCCTCATTTGCTGTCTACATTTTCCCCATCCCATCCACACTGCCCTCGTGGAGAGTGGTGACTGGTCTTCTGATCTCTAAAATAGTCATCATCAACTGTTCCTTCTCGTAATTGAACGGTAACAGAGGCAGTCTGTTCACGAGCTTCTGTACTTGACTTTAGCGGAAAGACATGACCGGGACCTCATCCTCAATCCTGCGTCTGATGCAAGCCACCTGCACACTGTCACTGTGAAGTCCTGCTTGACAGACACAAGACAGTTCAGAAGACGAACCGGCATCCTGCAAGCCTCTCTGTAAGCCTTCTCCCAAGCCTCTTGGCTCGGCCGCCCGTCCTCGTATCCCATCCACACCTCTGGGGGAGAGGAGGGAGTGAAGTCGAGGGGGGTGGTGTTATCGAGGCCAATCTCGCCGCTGCCCTTCTGCCGTGCACCGCGAGCGAAGCAGCAGGCCTCGAGGCTTCGCTAGCAACGGTATGAGCCGTTCGCGAAAGGCGCTGTACGGATAATAATGCACCGATGCACAACATTGAGCGAGGCACCGTTGTGTAAGTTGGTATGCACACTACTTTATACGGGGCACTGGCGAGACTGATATCCAACGGTTCGCGGCATCTCGACTAATCTCTCATTCGACCATCACCAGACAGCCGGCCAGACCGGCCGATTTCTCACGCACAAAGCTGCACGTTTCCTCTTCCCCCAGATAATACGCCCAACTCTACGGAGTAGCGACATCCAATCTGCCGCACCCATCGCAGTACCCGTCCAGGTTCTCCATTTCAGTGGCTCCCGTCCCCAGGCGTTCAAGCCTTGGTGTCGGACGAGAAAGGTAACTGCAGAACAGACCAGACCGTACGGATCCTTCGTACGGATACAGAGAGCTGACGACAGCGCCCCAAACCAAACGGTACAGCCCAAAACCGGCACACTGGCTACTGAAATAGGCGGTAGGCCTCGTCTGGGAGGAGTTCGTTTCCCCCCTGTGCCGTCGTTTGGGGCGACGACGGCATGAAGGGATTTGCTGCCCGTTGATGATCATCAGGGACATAGCAGCGGCCAACTATCACAATAGTGATATTGCTCAGCTACGCTATGAAGTTGTCGACAGACCCGTCATCGTCATTGTCAGCGGTCAACTGCTGGGCATGTGCTGGCGGTTACTGCAGCTCAGAGATCCAAGCCCAAACGTCCGTCCGAACAGTCAGGCGGGAAGGAATAAAGCAGAAAAGCAGGGCCGAATCCTCCTCTCTCTCATACGAACGGATACCAACGTTCAGCTGGCCCGCACGCTGCGCCTGCAACAAAAAAGACGAGACGAAGAAAAGAAACGCGGCAGTACCTAGAGAGGGAGGGGGAAATGGGTATGGCCGAGCGAAGGTTCATCCTGTCAGGTAATTCGTGGCACCAGCGGCCAAAAAAAAAAAAAAAAAGAAAAAAAAAAGAAAAAAAGAAAAAGAGGTGCAACGGACGCCGGTGCGCAGGCGTCCCGTCGCACAAATCATGTACAAACGGGTACCTGAGTTTCTGTACGCTCACTGTGGTAATATTGTGTACGGTGCTCTGCACGGCATGAAAGAACATACGCGGGAAGAGAGAAGGAAGCTGTTCTTCATTACTATGAGAGCTGCCGTGTTGTGTGGTTGTACGGCAGATGACCGACAACACCAGCAACGTTGAGGAGTCTTTTCTTCTCAACTTCGCTTTCGCAACCACTAAGCACCTCCTCCTCTGACTTCAAACCGAACCGAACGGCACATTCGGCAGATCGTACACGTGCAGAGGGGATTCCACGGTTGAGAGCGGCCGATCGGGATGCGATGTCCATGAGAAGATCGCATCCTCGAACAGCGAACAGCGAACAGCGCTCAGACTTCCAGACCAGAACAGAGGTATGTCTTCACAACTCAATGCCGCTGTTCATAACTCGCCGTGGTATCATCAATGATGTAGCGAGTGTGTCAAGTTATTCACCGCCTCCCCCTTTTCCATACACCCCCTTCACAACATCATATTTATGAAGGCCCGCGCGATATCTCGCAGGCGGCATCGCACACCAAGAGCTCGTGGTGGTGGTGTGTCGCGTATGTGGAGGATTAAATTGGAAAGTGGATCTGATCACTCGACGGCTTTGCGATAGCGTGTACCATGAACAGTCCGTCAAGTTGAGTTCATGTTATGACAAGCAGAGGCCTCCCACCACTTCATCTAACAGACTTCAGTCTCTTCAACCCGTACTCAGTACCGCCAACCCCCGATACAGCCCATGATCTGCACAGTCAACTGCGCCCCTGACGGTAATTCCTGTTCCAGAATTCTTGCCCGGGAAGACCCAAACATGGCTCCCCCCTGTCGCACTACTGCGGATGTATCCAATCGACGCCAACGTTGGACAGCAGCACGAAGGACTTGTACCCAATCGAATCTGTTCGGATGGAGCCAAAGCCAGGCACGGCATGAGGCCATTGGACAACGGCCGCGTCAAGCTGTCGCTCAGCTATTCCCAAAACTGCCTGAAGCCGTGGGTTCTCTTCCCCCCGTTTTCCCTTTCTTCCATCCCAGTCTGTTCACAACTTCACCCCCGTCTCTGCTTGCTCTCTCTCTCTCTCTCTCTCTCTCTCTCTGTGTCTCTCCAAGTCTCTGCCCTCTGTGCCGCTGTGAAAGCCACGGACGTGTGGCCAGGGGACCCCTTGGCAGTTACCGAACACTGCTGCAGGGCATGTCCTAGAGTCGAGGATGGTGTCCCACTGTCCAAAGTTACGCGTGTGTGCCCTCTCCAGCTGGAAAGTTGTGCACACACACCAGATGGCAGGACGGGAAGCCATCCCTACCTTTGCCTAGACCTGCCCTAGTTTTCACTATTCACTCCTCGTATTTACACTACACGCTGCTCATGCCTACACTACCACCCTCCCAAAGGCTCTGTGGGCACGGGAGACAGAGCCTGAGAGGCCGGAGACAGACACCAGAGAGAGAAAAGAGGAGTTGGTACTTGTGGTATTCTGGGTCTACACCCTCCCGAGCCCCCCCGGGATGCCGCAAAGTGGACTCCTAATTTCGCTTTTCCTACTCATCTCAACCCACTCCGTGCCCGTTTCCCTCTTTTCAACAAAACAAGCCGTTCCCTCCAATTCCACCCGCTGTCACTCGTTCCATTTCCTCCCCTCCCCCCCCCCAAGTCTCTCTCCCTCTTCCATTGCCTTGCCTTGCCTTGTTACTCATATTCCCAATCTCGCCAAGGTCTCCTCCTCTTCTTCCCTTGTTCATTTGCCCTCTCCTTTCAATGTCATTTACTCGGTGATATCCTCTTTTTTGGCCAGCAAAAGAGAACAACGTGAAGGAGAAAGAACAAGAGGCTTTGTAAAAGCCAAGATCAATCTGCGAAGAAACTTTTAGGAGGCCTGTTTGTGCCCACACATTCTTTAGGACTCGCCTTGTTTGCCGCACGACCCGAACACGGTCCTGCTTCGACCGACACGCTCGCTCAACCCTCAACAACATCATCATCATCATCTAACCCTTCGATCGACCGAATCATTATTCTCTCGACGGAAACAACTTATTAATCGAACTGGGTGGAATATCGAGAGGACGCTGCTTGGATTTCGAACATCTGGGGAAACAATTTGGTGGCCGACTGAACCGCAAGGAGGCTCCAACCCCTGAGACCCGTCGACAACTCTCGAACCCGCAAGACCTGTCATCGTCTTCGAGTCCTGGAATCGATTCGAGACCGCACCTTGATTCAACTTTTTTTTTTTTTTTTTCAACGCTTTCGTTATACCCCCCCCCCCTCTCGACAACCATTATGAAGTACTCTGTAACTGTTCTGGCCGCCGTGGCCTTTGGCTTCAGCTCAGCCCAGACTGCCACCACTACGTCAGGATACCAGAAGCCCAGTGAGGCCGCGAGGCCAGGCGCCATCACCAACCACGGATGCTACAACGCGTCATCAACGACATGGGAGAAGTACCCCGTCGAGAACATCAGTACCGGATCATGCACATTGGAATGCCAAACGAAGCAGAAGAAGAATGTCGCTGCTATCAACGGCGAGGACTGCTACTGCGGTGACTCGTACCCGCCAAAGGTCGACGTCGTCGACGACAAGAAGTGCAACTTCCCTTGCCCATTCTACCCGGAAGAAGCTTGTACGTAGCCCTGCGTCTCATATCATTTCTTGATGGTAAATGTGCTGACCCCATGAATAGGCGGTGGTGTCGATGACATGATGTACTACTCCGTCTTCAATACGGGTCTCAAGCTCGTGGTCCCCGACGAAGATGTCGCAACCACCACGACCGCCGCAGCCACCACCAAGGCGGCCGCGACAACAACCGCCGCCAACGGCGTCGTCTCAACCGTCATCGAGACGCCCGCCGCGTCAACGTCGGCCGCGGCAACCGAGACGCCCAAGAAGAGCACCAACGTCGCCGGCATCGCCGCGGGCGTCGTCGTCGGTGTCGTCGTCATCGCCGCCATCGCCGGTGCCGCCTTCTTCTTCGTCCGCAGGAAGCGCAACGCCGAGATCGAGGAGGAGCACCGCCGCAACGCCGCCGTCAACGCCTTCATTGGCGGCTCCAAGCCGCCCAGCAGCAGCGGCGTCTCCATGTCCGACTCCCGCATGGATCCTACCCTGGCGCACCGACGTATGAGCGATGGCAGCATTGCCGACAACCAAGATTATTCGCGGAAGATTCTCCGAGTAAGTTTTTTGAGATGAAATGCTATTTAATGAGATGAACCCTGAAAAAGCTAATTCCCTTCAAAAGGTTACCAACGCATGAGCACCTCACGTCATGACGACAAACGACCTAAAAAAAGCCTGTCCTGGGGCTTTGAATTACTTCTTTCTACACAATTCTGGCATCAAAGGCGTTTTGTGGTGTTCAATCTCCCGACGCTGGCTTACTCGGGGGCGTCTTCCGAAAAAAAAACGACCAGTGTCGTCGGATCTCATTTGTATCATGGTGTAGGGTAACATATCTTGGGAAATTACGATATGGGGTTTTTGCGTTGGATACATCTATCAAATCTTTTTTTTTTTCTGGACACACCATACACAAAAAATCCGCCCTTTCGGCCACGACCTCCCTCCCTACGCCGTCCACTCCTTTTGCAACTATCTCTACAATTTAGACAACACTTTTGGATATCACAACCAACAACCAAACGGGGGTTTCGTCTCGAGACACTCCCCCTCTCCTCCCCCTTACCCTCAAATTTACAACCCGCCACTACCACAACACCCAATACCTTTTTAAAAACACTTCACCCGGTCCGCCAACCACTTTACCACCTACACTGGGTATCTTTCGATTCTACCGATGGGAAGGGGTTGGCAATCGAGATCTTTGTTCATCAACAAAAACAACCTCGGCGGCATTTGGGGGAATAAAAAACCTTTTTTCAACGACGTCTGATGGAAAGAGTCGCGACGGAGTATGGTGGCACCCCTTTCCCCTTCCCCTTCCCATCTTGTGTATAGTAACCACGGCACCTTCATATTATGAACGCGAAGGGCCTACGCCTTGGGGAGGGGGATTATTACACGGGCAGAGATCTTCAATATAATCTTGGATAAACAGCTTTGGCCGCCCTCCCCTTGGGGTATGCCTGCGTGAGAGGAGAGAAATTTGGCCAACCTGGGCGCAAATTTAAAGCAGGGAGATAGCAGGCTGTTTGCGGGAATTCTCTTTGGTTTGGTACAGCGTGTTCAAAGTTAAACTTGGAGGGTATGGAAATTTGGCGTAGTAATCGAGCAAAATATCCAATGACCTCATATCTCATCATTTGTCCCCCTGATCGCATTGACTGAACGGAACGCCCGTGAAGGCGACGTTTTTTGACAGTGAGATGGCCGTGAACTTGCAGTAGGACAAGATCCGACTGCCGCTGGGCGTTCTTCCGAGCGCCGCCTCCGAGCTCCGAGCACATGTACCTACGCCGTTTGTGTGTGACATAGCTTGAAGAGAGAGAGAGAGAGTGTGTGTGTGTGTGTGTGTGTGACAAGGTCACCTGACATTCTCCAGCGGACTGAGCCTTTTCCTATGCTGTATTACATACACACTGAACAGCGAACACTCTATCCCTTGCAGTAAAGGCAGTGTAACCAAACTGCCAACTTTCAGCGCGCTGCCTACCCCCTGGCCCCAGCCTTATGTCAACATTTTTAAGCTTGGGCAACAAGATTCTACCTTGTTGGCGGGCTGCCCGATGGGGGGCAGGATACGGTACAGAGTACTCGAGTGAAAGGCCTCCAGCACGTGGGCATCGAAGAGGGGGGGGAGGTGGGGGGAAATAAAGACAAAGATTGGGATTGGACGTTGGACTTGTGCTGCACCACTGTTGTTCAGCCTTTTCTGTGGTTTTAGTGTGGGTGCGCTGGGGAAAGAAAATTGGGGGTTGGGTGTGTCAAGTTTAGGCCCCTGACGATCATTTTTCGGGATTTTTTTTGTCTTTGTTGGTGTGTGTGGTCGGTCACTGGTCGGTCCGTTTTGTGTGGTTGTGAACAGTACCTTTTTCTGGTCGAGTGACCGGTCAACCGACGCTGATCCCCGATGCTTAGACACCAGTCACATCACTGGGACTAACCGCCCGAGGTTGACACGTGGGAGAGTGAAAAGGGAAAGAGAATAAGTTTCTTAGCTTCTGTGAGATCTTGAGTCGTCTCAGTTGTGTTGGTTGGTTCTTGACCTCTTGTGTTCATGGGGTCCTCGGACAGCGAGCGGTGTGTTTTGAGTGGACTGGGCGGGAGAGAAACAAACGGGCTATGTGTTGAAGCCTGGAGGGGATGTCCCTGACGATGATGATGTTCTTCCGTCCGTCCCAGTTCTTGGCCTGACGCCATTTCCTATGTCCGAGGAAAGAGAGAGAGAGAGAGAGAGAGAGAGCGTCACTCCCCACCCCTGCTTGGATCCTATTGATTGGTATCGGAGATGGCTTGTCGTTGTTTCAACAGTGACGAATGAGCATAGCCAGCCTTTTTTGGGGGCTGGAGGCTGGGCTGAAGTTGGCCTTCTTGAAGTATCGGGAGTTGCGGATTGTTGTGGTCCATTGGTAATGACAACAGGGCTGGCCGTGGGGGCTGTGGAGATTTTAGACTTGTGGACATCGCGTGGGTTTCTTGTCTGGTAATTTGTTGAGTTTTCTCCCCTCTACGAATACAGTAGGCTCTTCTTCTGGGTGAGTGAAGTCTACTTCGAGGCGAGATGACATAGTCCCCGGGACTTTGAAAGTGGTTCTATGCTTGCTTGATTGACGGCGGACAGCAGTGTCTTTCTGGTACCGAGATGGGGTCGTCTCCCAAGTGCCGGGTTTCGCGGCGTGGTATCCGGACGCTCGGGATGACGTCGTGATGGGGTGTCGGGGGGACATGAAACGTCGTTGCTTGTTCTCCTGCTCGTCGAGGGCTGAGATGGTGATGGTCTGGTACCGTGGTTCATCCGGCTCATATCGTATCAGGTCTGTTATAGGGAGGAAGGAGCTTGCACGCATCGGGTATCAAGTCCTTTATCGCCATCAGTCAATCGATGATCGATGAGAGGGTTTGGTGATGAGCTGATGGAAACAAGGTCGAAGGTTTATGAGAAGTCAAGATACTACATTAGGTGAGGAGGTAGCGGGCTTAGGAAGTATGTGGTGGTAAGTATGTGGCGACGTCAAGACAAAGCGGCCTTCTTTGCATCTCAAAATTTCTAGCATCAAACTAACTGGAAACTTATGGAGAAATTGAGAATAATGAATGCCAAGTCGATGCCGGCCGGCTGCGTTCCTCTACTGGGTACAGTAGGTATCTATCTCTGGAAAACGTGCTGCCACGCGCTAATATAATCACAAACTATTCCAAACCTCGCATGGGTAAACTCTCGGGCTCACTAGAACCCCTCTGCGTGGACTTGTCAGCTAGTAACAAAAGACCTTCGTGCTCCTGTGCTTTGAGAGGCTCCTTGGAATATTTACAAGATACTATAAGGCGCATTTCCTCGTCCACTTCTGCCGTAAAGGTCATATCAAAGGAGAATTGGGCATCACTGTAAGTAGCCCGAGCAGACTCCAAATTACTAGGGGGATAATACAGTAGAGAACGCTTGTACAACTCCATTTGCGTTTCTGGGGAAAATGTAAACTCGGGGTAATGGACGGGGCCCTCCTTCAGCTCCCAAGGCCATTCCGGGAATAGGAACAGCTGGACCTCGGGGGATCGGTCTTTGGCTTTGTACAGAAATAGAGAGACTAAGCTATCGGCCGGCAACGCGCGCAAGGACACTTTGATGATGCCCATGAAATCTTCAGCCTGGGCCTCCCCCACGAATCCCCTATGAACGGGATCCCAGAGGAAGCTGCGCTCAGCCCAGAGAAGCTTGCCATATCTGTTGAAGGGATCCCCCGGAGGCCACTCCAGCTTGAAGAAGTGGCCCGGTCGCTGCTCGAGCCTTCGGCTCTCTGAGGCTGTGACCGTCTTCCTGACGCACACGTCAATCATGCCGGCTCGCGGCCCCTCACTCTTGTACCGGCAGCGGCCCGGCGTCGCGCGGACCCAGCCCTCGGCGGTGAAGAAGAGGCCGATGCGGATGCGATGCGGATAGTGGCAGATTTGGCAGTTGCCTAGTGTTCGAAAAGGGAGCGCCCAAGCGGCGCTTGTCTCCGTGTCCATGCCCAAGAGCTCGGTAAAGCGGACCCCTTTGTTGGTGATGGAGAATTCGCTCCGGTCCGATTTGAGTCGGTTGAATCGCGTGTAGTTACCGCAGAGTGTGAACTCGGCGAGTTCCTGGGCAAACATGCCTCTATACCGCTGTTCTTCATCGACTGCTACCCAGGCGAAACGCGCCATGTCATCCGTCTCCTTGGCAATCTCTTCCTGAAGTCGCTGAAAGGCTTTGGCACCCTCGCCGTAGATCATGGGCATGTGGATGTCGAAGAGCCCGAGGAGGGAGTAGGCTCGATCCTCGACACGGATCGTTCGGCGGTGTGCTGCCCAGGACATCCTGACGGCGACAGGAACAGCTGAAAGCTCCTTGTCGAATGTCAAGATATCGACATCGATGTTGGTTATTGTAGACAGGCACCCCGACCACTCATCCTTGGATAACCGTAACGTCCAACCGGCATCGTAAAACTCTGCAACGGCTGGCGCGATGAGCTCCTGTAAAGTCCAGCCGCGACTGAACCACTTACACCTAGACAGGTCGGCTATCTCATAGACCCCAGGCCCAGTGCCGCCAACGTCCGGGCGGAGATCTGAGAGGAACACCAAACAGACTTTCGCCTCCTGGTACCACCTGAACATGGAGTTGATGGCCTCGCTGAGCTCGGCGCTGCTGGACTTGTCGATGCAGCAGGTGTCGACCCACGCGTATCCCAGGCCCTTCTCTCGTGCAACCTCACAGGTCTTTGCGACCTTGTCAAAGCCCGCCTTGCTCTTGGTCGTCGTCGCCACAGCGACGGGGGACATTTCCCGGAAAGAGACCTCATCGCTGTCCCATGTGTGCGAGAGTATAGCGTACTCAACCTCTGATGGATCCGTGAAGCTCTCAAGTGTGAGAGTCTTGGTATTGAGAAGCCACATGACTTAACACAGAAAGAAACTGTTCAGCTTGAAACCATCGAGACGAGGTCGGACGGCGACGATCTTGTCTGCGAGACATGTTTTGCATGATGTCGTCTCGTTCAAAGAAAAAAGGCTTCTCAGCTGAGGGAAAAAGAGGGGAAAGAAGCTGAGAGATGCCCAGTCCAGATTTGGAAGTGTAGAAAGTCAGAACACGCGACGCTATTGGTCGCTCGACACAGCCTGCAAGAGTCTACCGCGACTGAATCACGATAGCTTGGTTGTGAAGCTATCATACGATTGTCCCTTGTGAAATATACTATTCGAATTGATGCCAGGGAGCACGTGAGACTGCCTCACTACATGGTGACTGGACACGTCAGTAACACTCACAGCAGCATGCTCGACCTACTTCAAGCCCAAGATCTCTCAGAGGTTGCTGGATGCATGTAGATTGGGAACCTCATTCTAAGTTCTCTCTGATGTCAATTTTCACAATAGCATATAGCACTGGGGCGGGAAAGAATTGACTGAACGCCGCCGAAAGATTGGCAAAAGAATCCCTATATTCTCTCAATCGCAACAATGCCGATTTTACTTTTGATACGCCTCGCTTTCCTTGCACTCTCCACGATGCTTTCGCCAATCCTTCTTCTGGCAATCGGCACTGCAATACTTGGCACCCAAGCAGCGCATACACTTCTTCAAAGCGACGCCGTTCGTCGCCGCCTTGCCACAGTTTGTACACCTCTCCTCAGGCGGCGCCGTACCATTGGCGCGAAAATCCTTGTACTTATTCGTGTCCACAATCTCCTCCACAAACGGCACAGCGAACGTCGGGCTGATGGCAATGCGGGTGGCGTATTTGGACGCGGTATCCCACTCTGGGAGCCCGATGAAGTTGTCTGGGAGCTGCCCGCGGCCGCAGGAGCAGAGGACGGGCTCGCTGGGTTCCAGAGATAGGGGTATAGTGGCGCCGGCCTTGCGGTACTCGCATGACGACTTGTGATTCCACGTCCGGGTACGCTCGGCCAGGGCGGGAAGAACCTTCTTCCAGAGGATGAGTTCCTCGTCGTTGACAGTGACGGAGGCCATTTCGAGCTCTCTCAGAAGCAGAAGGAAAGGCTCTACTTTCTTGATAATGGGGAGCGTGAACGGTAGGACGGCGGCATCGAGGACGACACTGGCAGAGGCGGCATCGAGTCTGAGGGCGGAGACGAAGAAGAGCATGTGTATGCCGCCGCGATCCGGGTGATTGAGACAGAAGAGGCCGGTCTGGCCGCCCTGTTGACCCGTGGAGAGCATGGTCATGGTGAAGATGGACTCCTTGAAGTTGACGCGGGGCGAGGGGGCGAGGTCCAGTCTGCTGGCGTTGATACGCTCGCGCAATGCCCTTTCGCGGATCGAGAACTCAAAGGAGAGGAGTGTGTTGAGGAAGGGGAGCCCATCCTTCTTGGCGACGTTGATGATGGGGAGGCGGTCGAGGTTCAGGTGCGGGGTGTTGAGATCGGCTGGGGTGTTTGAGAGACCTCGTGCGAGCTGAGTCGGGTAGACAAAGTCGGTGAGTATCGTGTTCGTTTCTGGATCGCTGCTAGGTTCAGCAAAGGGGGCGATAACCTCGACGTAGGCGGATGTACGGGCAATGCGGGTTTTGGCCTTGCTGGCGTCGATTGGAGTAGGGAAGGTGAGAGGACAGACCAGCTCCTTTTCACCAAACACGACGTTAACGGTGAAGGGAGAAACTTGATCAAGGGTGATGGGTAGCTTGTCAGCAAGGAGTTTCTTGCCCTTGGCAGACAAGATATCGAGATGGCCCGTAATGGTTTCGATTCTGTCCTGTCTTTGTGATGCGTTGGCAGTGAAGGACGATTTCGTTTCCTTGCTCTTTTCGAAAGCAGCCTCCGCGACAAGTCCCGCAGCTTCAGAAGCAGCCGGGTATCTGGTCTGACCGGGCATGTACTTGGTGATGAAGACGCTGTCTTCGTCGGCCAACTTGGCCTGGAAGATTCTGAGTTCGCTACCGAGAGTCTTGCTGAAGACGGCGATACTTTGGGCAGAGCTCAAGACCTCCAGGCGAACATATGAAGTTTTGCGTTCCACCTGCAACGCCGCAGCAGAAACGTAGAAGGTTGCGATGAGCGGAGATTCCCCAAGCCAACCTGCTGGGTCTGCATCGACGGTGACTGAGAAATCGCTGGTGTCCCGGTTACCGCTGGGTTTGACGGTGCCAAAGACGAGTTGTACCTCGTCGTAGAAGTTGTGCCACTTGTGGTTCGCCTCTTCACCAGAGACCAACGACCCTCTGAGGGTGGGAGAACTCACTTTGGCTTGGTCAGAGCCATCAAAGACCCGTGCAATTTTCTCCCGCGGGACAACAAGAGTAACGGCCACGACCTCTGGGACTGATGTCCAGGAGTCGAAACCGCCGAGGTTGCGGTTAGGCTTGATCTCTGCACGAAGCCAGTCCTCTGAGCCGACACCTTGCGTGTGCATCTGCACAGACAAATCTTGTCTAAGATTGCCCGTGAACATCAGACTTCTTTCAGCGGATACCTTCTGAAGCAGAGAACCGCAAGTCTTCCCAAAGTTGTCGACAGACAGACGTAGCTTGAGATAATGGAGAAGGGAAACGAGGGTGCCTCGGTGGAAGTGGGAGTAGGCCGTGTTGCGGATGAGCTGCGTGACGGACGATTTTGAGATGGACAGCAGCTTCATGGGATTCTCATGCGCGAAGATTTTGAGGTAGAGCTCGAAGAAGATGCTGGCTAGTGCCTCAGGTTCGATTGCAAGGGGCCCGGAGGCGTTGACTCCCGAGAAAAGCTTGCTTTGTTTCCATGTAATCCGGCTGTGTACTTGAGCCACCTCGTCGCCCTTGGACTGGATGCTCTTGGTGCTCAGACCGATGAGGATCTCGTCGACGCTTGACACGGCAGTGGAGTTGGTCCAGTATTCAACCGCACTCGCGCCAACCAGCAGTGATATCGTGGGTCCATGACCGTACAAGAGGGTATCAAAAGCCTCTTTGGCGGTACTTTCTCTCTTCAGAAGGGTTTCGGTGAAGACGGCCGACCAGGGGTGGGGCGTGAGCAGAGGTAGAGCCGACATGAGAATGTTCAAGGTGCCGAAGTGGTCTGCGAGGTTGGATGTGTCCACGGTATCGAATGCAATCGGAGCCACCGACTTGGCGCCGTACACATCTTGGTCCAAGGACAAGACGCGGGCATCGAATTGGCGACGGTACCATCCGGCAGACGTCTCCTTTGTGACGACTACGTGCTGGAGAGTGTGACAGAACGCAAGGGCTTCACTAGCAATGGAGCGGATCACCATCTTATTCGCCCGAAGTAGAGTTCCACAGGCAGCCGCCCACTCTCGGAATTGTGTCTTTGCAGCCGAAAAAACCCTCGTCTTCTCATCCTGTTGATCAGGTCTTAGAGGAGATTGGTCGGTCAAGGGGATGAAGGCCGTGGCAAGATGAAAGCCGAGAATGGGGTCGGTCCCGTAGTGCAATAGGTGGTGTTTCGACAGTGAGGCATAGAAGAGGGGGTTTGGGTTACTGACGGCACCGTTGGGTGTAGCGTCGGCGGACTTCCAGAATTGCTGGGAAGCTTCGGTGACTTCCATTGCGTTTTGTAGTGCAGCGGGAGCAGCTGATCGAAGACCGGTGAAAGCTATGCCGTTGCCGAAGGCAATTCTCTTGTTCTCGATAGAGTGCTTGAGGTTGGCTGTCAGGGCTTCGGAGTTGGCTACGACGTTGTCGGACGCAGCCGCACTCTCATAGCTGATCCAGACGGCTCGAACGTCGTCGAGGGTAGCCTGATCGCAGAAGGGCAGAATCTTGCCGTATGTGCTTGATTTCCACGACTTCAGAGTCTCTGATGCTTTGAGAAGCTTCTTGACTTGGGATGATAAGATGTGTAGGTCCGAGCTGTCAATGTGAAGGTCGTAGTACAAGTTCCAGGGGGTATTCCCGGAGACATTGTTATTGTCGATGAGCAGAGAGAACAGAAAGATGTTACGTGCTTCGGATTGTAAGCAAAGACTCGTTGACGGGTGCAAACTTTGAACATACCCAAGATAGCTTCATCAATGTCATTGATTGTGATATCCAGCTTGCGACCAGCTGGTGGTGAGTTAGTGGGGTGAATCTTTTTTCAGCAAGACCAACACAGCACTCACGTAGTCCAATTTCATTGTAGGCTGTGTAAATGATGTTTCTCACATCGCCGCAGCCAAGCAGTAGTAGACTGGCATCGACTCCATTGGGCAGGTTTTTGGCCAAGTTGATAGCCGGTGTATTGCCTAGCGCATAGAAATAGGACGTTGAGTTGGCAACAGTTGGGGTAAACATGGTGACTGAAAGCGAGAGTATGTAGGAATGTTCCTATGAGGTCGACGTCCCACCACCAATTGCCGCGTGAACAAAGTAAGAAGAGGAGGGGACGGATTGAGGTCTCAGACCAGCATGTGGTTGGTCTAAGTCAAGGGGAGGAGCTCTCAAAGTGAATGAGATACCACAGAAGAGAAGGAATGTAAAAGTGAAGTCCGACTTGATCCCCTTCCCTCTTTCGTTTTACTCCAGCGAAAGTCGCAAAAAGGAAGATAGTCTCGAGGTCATCAAGAATTTGGGAGCTGTGGAAGGGTCGTTGACAGCTGGCACCAGATGAATTCCGTTCCTGCCTCATTGTACCTGAGCTCACCGCCCGCATCAGCCACGTCGACAGCCCGGCAGAAAGAACTGGTGGAGGCTTCAGCCACAGCATTTCGATGCTTTTCGCGACGCCCATCGCGTTTTTGTTTCCCAGCTTTAGCACTAGAGGAATCAACCTGCAGCTTACGCAAAACCAACGCACCTCCATCACCACGATATTTAACGGCCGGGAGACATAGACTTCCTGTGGACTGCATCAATCGCCCTCGAACCAAGAGAGAGCTCTCCATCTCAACGCCATTCGCGACGATTACTCGAGGTCGAAGCTCCAGCAAAAACAACCTCGCATTTGGGCAGCTATGGCCCCTCAGCCAACGCCCCGAGTCCGGCGCACGTCGCAAAACACACAATACACGTATGTCGTAGAGGCAGCTCTAGAAATTCCTTTCAAGACACCGTGCTGACCGGTTCTAGCTACAACCTTTCGAGACGGATCAACGATGTCAACACGTACCCTGTCCAGTCTCCCCAAGGAGCTACGATCCTCCTCTATGGTCACGACAATGGCATTAGGATAATATGGAGAGGTGGACGTCGCTTCAAGCCATCAAAGAAGCAACAGGAAAAACCTGCCAATGAGAAGCAGAATGGTGCTCCAGACGACGCCGTCATGATCATAGACTCCGACGACGACGAACCACCAGCGAAGGCAGGCAAGGCATCGGCGCCATTCACCGACAAGCCCGAATTCGAAGATTCCGAGGAGGAAGGACCTTACCCCGAAATCATTCAGACTCTCGATCTCTCCCTTGGCACATCTGTTCTGCACCTTGCCGTCCTGCCTATGACGCCTTGCCCCGCCGAAGATGCTGCGTGGGGAGGAGCCGATGTTCTTAAGGAAAAGATGGTGTTCACAGTTGCTTGCGCGACCAACGAGGTTTACGTTGTGACTCTCCCTCTTACACCGCCAAGTCCCGAGAGCAAGGCACGCCCTGAGCTGATGTCTAACCTTCTGGCTGGAAAGGCTGGTTCTGGTCAATGGGGGGAGAGGGTTGTTCTTCTAGGCGGCCAATACAAGCGGAGCGAAGGCATTGCCATGTCATTGATCAGACCTAAAGCTTCGTCTAGCTCTGATCGGATACGAGAACAGACCGGCGCCACAAGCGCTCCGAAACCTCGCCTTGTTGTCGCCGCACATACCCGCGAGGCATCTGGCACCCTCCGTCTCTGGGATGTGCCCCTCGACGTCCAGCCAGGCGAAGCCAGTGGCCGAATCAACCCTTTCCAGACCGAATACCTTCCCAGCCCCCTCTCCAGCATTTCATTCAACCCTACGCACCTTACCCAGATCCTTACAGTAGCCTCTCCGCACGCTGTTCGCATCTACGACTACGCGCTGCCGTCTTTCCCTCCGGATGACCAAGCCACAGGACCATTCCCTAGTCAAGGATCCTGGCTGCTCTCTCTATTCCAGCCATTCACCCGCCCTACGTCAACACGCAAACCTATTCTCGACGCCGCGTGGATTGCACATGGCAGGGCCGTGCTCGCATTGCTCGCCGATGGCACCTGGGGTATCTGGGATGTAGATGGTGCTAGCCCGTTGGGCGCCTCCATTATGGGAAAGAATAGCTCTGGCATCAAGGGTGGTGCGATCACAGCCTTCAGCGCCACTGGCCACGTCGAAGGCACAGGACCTTTGAGAACGACAGCAAGCGTACCGAGGTCCAACGGCAACGGCGAGTTTGTGCCCCTGACACCCCACAGCCGACGCGACGCAGCAGCTTCGCTCAGTACCGCGGGCTCACTGGAAAGGCTTGTGTCTGTCAGAGGCGGCATTGTTGTGACGCCCTTGCCCGGCAGTGGCTCAGGCTCCGGCTCAGCTGATGAGAGCGTTGTGCTTTGGATTGGCGGACTCGATAATGTCTCTGTCATCCCTGCGGTCTCACGTTTCTGGGATGCGCAGCTGCGCCGAAGCTCTGGTGGAGGAGTGAACCTTTTCAGCGGTACTACTCCAACACGAATGATCCGGTTGCACGATCTGTCCACAGGACTTCTCGGAGAACGATGCTGTGGTGTGGGTGCCGCTGTCAACTTTGCAAGACTGAATGAGAATGATGGTGGCCTGCAGATCGAGGTCCTCATCATGGGCGAGAGCCGGTTGGTGATTGTACACGAGTCCGAGGACACCCCTGGCACCAAGATTGGAACCGTTGTCTCGACGCGCCGACGTCTCTTTGGCGACAAGGGCAAGCCAGAGCCGCCAAGCGCCATCATTGTCCATTCACGACCTGACCAGCCCCGAAACGTGTCATTCAATTTGAGCGTCCACAAGACCAGAAGCCTGCGCGCGAAATCAAATGGCCGTGACAGCATCGACGCTGAGGACCCGACATACGACTTCACGCTTCCTATCGGACGGTCCAGGTCCGGGTTCGGATTCGCCGACACACTCAACGCCGCCGCAGACTTACAGGACGACGTTACGACGCGCGACGTCGAGGTGGAGATGTTGGATATCTTGGAGATTGATCAGGCATTGGAGGATCTGGATCACGACCGGGGTAGTGGAAGGAAGAAGGTCTTCTTCGAGGAGGACCAAGACCGGTCGTTCCATTAATGTTTGCTGCTGACGAGACCTGACCTAGACGAGACCAGAATGTACGATACCCCATGGGCCGTCCCGGCAACCGATCCCTTGCGAGTTCCTGGCACGAGCCAAAGTCAACATCATTGCCGCTGTGTCATATCCGTGACTTGTCTTCCATTTCCTTTTTCCTTTTATCACCATCCGCCACGAACCTTTCGAGGACAAGGGCAAATCCGCACGTCAAGGTGGAGCGCAAGGAGAGATTCATCCTTGATCCAGCTCTGTATTACGAGCGGTACATCAAACAGACCTCCATATCCTCTGGGACATTTCGGATCCGCAAGGCACAAGATCGATCAAGATGAAGTGTTGTCGGGGAAGAAGACTCCATGATGGGATGTGTCAACGCCGACGGTTTCTACTTTTTAGGACAGGGACTTTTATGGGTGGGGGCGGGTGGTTCGGTTTGCGGATTGACCATTTGCTCTCCCAGCCTTTTTTTATCATGTCATCCTGCTATCTGCCCTGAATCCTTGACTCTAGTTTTTGACTGGAGGACGACGGGAGAGGGCGGGGGATGTCAGGGTTGGGAGGTGGTTCTGTCGGTACATTTTTCGTGCTGTGCTTTCGATGATGTATTCGTGACATTGGCATCTGATACGTCGTTCTCTTTGTGTGATAGTGATAACTCCGATCGTTGTAGTATCGCTTTCCACTCTGGGTTCCGGGCCTTTTCTCGCGTACCTAGCGGCCACATGGTGAGATCGCCTCCAGCTCTCGAAGTCCTCTCTTGAGCAGCTACATCGATCTCGCCCTAATGTCATCACATGTGTCCACCAAACAACTATCTATTCTATTCTTCTTCAACGCGACATGGCACATTAGCTCATCAGAAGCGGTCCATCCTAGAGAAGAGTCATGCAAAGTTGACATACCACCATGCCTGGAGGAACAGAGGATCAAGAATGTGAGCTGAGTGAAGTTGCGGGCAGTTCTGGGTGGAGTATCGCGGTTTAGCTCAATTATTTGCATGATTTTACCACCAAGGTCTGAGGCTACCACACGTAAGGTACTTTTTAAACAGGTTGACGAACTTGAGGTTCTCGGACGCCTTCCCACGTCTAGGTACAGAAGGTTTAAATACAAGCAGCTGCTGCTCCTAGTCTTTCAAACCGGCGACAACTTGCATTGGTAGTGAAACTCTCATCTGCGGTGATGAGGCTCAGATGGGGTTATCTCCTCGCGCTCTTTGTGATTTGCTATACGTGCTCAATAAAAGTCAGCCTCGTCGCTTACAGAAGGCTACGACGCGCGTAAGAGTTGACTCTTCTCGCTACTTGTCTCCGTCTTGAGAGTGTTCATTTGCAATATGAAGACGGCAGGTGCGGATGCTTGGTATTTACCTTAACCTCGCGGAGATGGAGGCATTGAAAAATGTGGTTAGTCGTGCTTTTCCCTCATCTCGAACAGCACCAACAAATGCCTCCGAAGAATGCCTAGTTTCCCGAAATGCTTCTGGACCTTGCCTTCAACAAGCAGCCCGAACCGCTGATAGAATGGAAACAATTTGTGTACTGAGGGGTTCTTTTATAGCCTCCACACCCCTCTAAGGTAGCCCGAGAACAACTGTTCAACTACCCACGTGAAGCCTGAGGGCGAGGTGGCCAAGAAGCTTGTAACGATCCTCGAAATTCTCCAGAATCAAAAATTTCCCAGTGGTGACATACCTAACGACTTGGTCTCAGAACGTGGGCTGCGGGGAAAAAAAAAGGTGAGCGTTTGGACTGGATATTCGCTTGTGCCGAGTGAATCTGCGACGCGCAAGCTGGCTTTGTGTTTCCACCCAGTCTCGCTCGGGATATACATTCTATAAATTGGGACACAGCTAGCCGCGCAGTAGAAAGTATGGACAATCTAAACTGTGTTTAATTGTGTGACTGACAACCAAGACTTTCATTCACGCTCTCTGGACTGGTTGGCCTCGGTCTCCAGGCCTCTCTCAACGATCTTAATGTGCCCCTATCTGACGCCTGAGGGTTGGTTGTGTTGAGCATTACAAGCACGTATGTGCGTAAAAAGGCTCGCCCTTTGCAAATATTTCTGTACGTAACTATCCTTTAGTGGTATATAGTAGCATTTTCGTGTTATGTGAGTTTAGGACCCCTTAACCCGCGCAGAGCTCTTGCTAGAAAAGGCAGACACTTGAGGATATGGGGAGACTCATAAGTTATCTGATTTATCGAGATGTCATGGTAGTAGGGGTTGAAGACCTGGAAAACAAGCATCTCTTTGCCTTGCTCCCAAAGGGTGTATCTCTAGGATGTTGAGCATCGAATGGTCAACGGCTATTATGTTATGTGTGCCATGGTTGCGAACCGACATCAACAGGAGTCACTGCGATGAATGGAGTAGCTTGAAGTGTGTTGTGATCAATCGCAATATTGATTTGCCCTTGCTGAAACGCCCCATGGAGTCACCCTCTAACCCCTTCCATGCTATGAGGTGGTGATAGTGTACAGGTAGTCGCGTGGACAATTCCAGTCCAGCGACTTTCGTAACGCATGCTTAGAAATCGTCGTCATACATCTTTCATCCTGGAACTTTTGGTGTTGAGAAAGACCCATCTACAGGTTCTTCTTGACCTGGTCGGCGGTACCCTTCGCCTTGCCAGCAAGCTCATTGGCCTTGCCCTTGGCCTCACCCTTGAGCTCCTGTGCCTTGCCGGCAGCCTCGCCCTTGAGCTCTTGTGCCTTGCCGGCGGCCTCGCCCTGGGTGTTGGGGACGTTTTGCTTGACCTTCTCGGCGACGTTGGCTGTGAAGGATGTTATGTTAGTATCTTTTCGTGGTGTGGTACCGGAGAGTGATGAAGGGGAGAGTAAACATACCACCAGCGTTGATGCCATCAACAAGCTTGTCGCTGACCTTACGGTCAACAGTCTTCAGACCATCCTTGACAGTCTCTGTTGCGGACTTTTGTGCGGCAAAGGAGGTGGTGAAAGTTCTGGGAGCAGCGACGGCGGCTCTGGGGATGACGCGGGGGATGGTGGCCAGACGACGTCCGGTGGCTTCGATGAGGAAAGACATTGTGATTTATGTGTTTGTTGGTTGTTTGCTTGTGGGAAGGGTATTGGTGATGACAAGTCGTCGTTTGATTCGTTTGAAGCTTTCGAGGTGATGATGCTTTGATGAACAGTAAGGTGGGAAGTAAGGTGGGAAGGGAGGTAGAGAAGTAGAAGTGCAGCCGAACAGCTCAAATATGAAAGACGCAAGAAACCCGAAAGGAGCTACCCCTCGCTCGCGTATCTCCCTTAGCTTACCTACTCCCGTCGGTGTCTGTGTCTCCCATGGTGAGGAAGGGGGAAGCTAGGCCCGAGTTGAAGCTGAGCTACGTATGAGCTACCCGTGATGTCATGGGGTTGTTCCATTGAGGCGAAGAGAGGAAAGGGCAGTAGCTGCGTAGGTGACTTACTGCACTCCGGGGCAGCAACATGCGTGCATGCCACCCCAAAACCCCACTGGGGGAAGGCGGAAAAAAGACGCGCTATGACGTCCCGGCAACCACCAAGACGATTGTATCACACCTACATCATCGATGGCGGACCAATCCCTCCAGTCTCCAGCCGTTTGACATTTGATCCAATGCACATTTAATGCAGCCGCAGTGCTTTTGGGAACTGGTAAAGGTACTGTCCAGGTCCCAGTTCTCGAGCTCTTTGCACGGAATAAGCGGTTGCTGCTGGAGAAGATGACGCCATATCTACTTACGTTTTCTCATCACACCACCGACTCCCGCCTACTATGTAGGTACATCAGGCACTGTACATATTGCTTTGGGTTGTTTGCATAACCTCGGTCTTCAGCGTTTGAATAGCTCTAATCAGGTTAGGGCAGGGCGGAATGAAGGGGAATAGGGAAGCTGGCAATTTGGCTTGAGAGTCAGCTTGGCACTCAATTCCTCTCATCATAGCCCCAGCTTCGGTCCTAGTCTACATCAAGTCAAGCAAGCAAGCAAATGAGGTTCCCCGCCATTATGAATCTCGATCTCATCCGTGCCGCACCGGGACCCTTCACCGGGACCCACCACCGACACGGAGCCGAGGTGGAGCTTATGTGCTCTGCCCAGCCGACAGACATATCGAAACTTCTCCAAATGCTCATTCATGCATATATTCTTGAAGGGTCTTGTAAGATCAATCGGCTGGAGGTTTCCGAATCGATATTGAAGACTAAACAGAACATTGGACACATCTGTATCTTGGATTTGTAAAGTCTCGAACCATCGAGGTTCTTCTGATGAACTGACCCATGATCATCGTGGTCGCAAGGCCATATCCAAGCCATGTACACATAGCCACCGTGCTTAGATCCTGACAGCTAGATTTTCACACATGCTACATAGCCCTTACTGGCCCTTGAAAACAGGCTTCCTCTTCTCCTGGAACGCCTTGAGCGCCTCATTCCGGTCATCAGTAGCAACAACCCGCTCATACATCTTATTCTCAACCTCCTCCCTCGCCCACGCAACAGCCTGGAGCCCAGCGCGGATCGCAATCGGCCCGCCCTCGCAAATCTCCCCTGCCAGCCTCACGCTCTCGCTCAGCACCGCCTTGCGCGCCGCCAGCAATACGCCTTTATCCTTGTCGCCCTCGCCCGCCTTCTCCGCCTCCTCGTGCGTGATGTCCACCAGCCGGTCCGCGATGCCCAAAAAGTAGGCCTCGGGCGCGGAGACGCGGCGGCCCGTGAGGATCAGGTCGCGCGCGCGGGAGAGGCCGATGAGCGCGGGCAGGCGGTGGGTGCCGCCGGCGCCGGGGATGATGCCTAGGCGCGTCTCGGGGAGGCCGATGAGGGCGTTGGAGGAGAGGACGCGGAAGTGTGTTGAGAGGGCGAGCTCGAGGCCGCCGCCGAGGGCGATGGAGGAGATTGCTGAGATTGTTGGGATCGGGAGGTTCTGGAGGGAGGTGAAGGTCGAGCGGAGGTTGTGGAGGAACTCGTCGGTCCTGCGCAGTAATGTGTTAGCAAGCTAGCTCTTGTATGAAAGGTCGACGAGAGACCAATTAATTGGCCCTCGGCAGGAGTTGGGCTTCGCATAATAAGGGGGGGCAACTTACTCTTCCTGTGTGAAGCCCCGCCTCTCCTTCAAATCCGCGCCAGCGCAGAAGCTCGTCTCGACGGCGCTGGCGAGGATGAGGGCGCGCGTGGGGCCCTTGACGTCCTTTCCGGCGGCGCCGCCAAAGATGGCCTGCGGCGGCACCTCGGCGCCGGTTTCCGGGTCATACTGGGCGTGGACGGCGTCGACCTCGGCGCGCAGCTGGGAGAGGAGGGCTTTGGAGAGGGCGTTACGCGCCTTGGGCCGATTGAGCTCGAGGATGCGGATGTGGCCGGACCCGGGCGCCGGGAGCTGTGTGACGGTGATGAGTGGCTGGTTGGAGTCTGCGGCCGTCGAGTTTGAGTAAAATGCTCTAGCCGCCGCTGCGGATCTGGAGGGTGCTGTTGTGGTGCGCGGGATGCGGATTGCGATCCGGAGAGGGGAGAGACGGGGAGGCATTGTGGCGGTTGAGGAAGACTGCAGTGAAATGCAGAAGCAGAACAAGCCAAAGGAACAAATCCGAGATTGAAGACGGGGGTTCAATTGCGATGATGGGTGTTAAACGATTCGCAGAATTCGATGTCGACGTTGTGCCGGTAGAGTTGGACGTTATGCCGAGGACAGCAACGGAGGAGCAGAAGCTCCATTGGGTGAGCGGGCAATGACGTTCGCACCAATTCGGTTTTGCTCGGCTATTTGTGGAGACCTTTGCACAGCTCTTGGGTTCTCGGTGACGGGAAGCTCCCAGTGAAGATCACCGAGCACGGCAGGCGGGGAGCTTGGATCACACACCTCCTTTACACCGAGACCAAAACCGCCCTTCCTTCCATCGACGATGCTTGGCATTCAACAAAAACACATCAAACAGTCCAAAACACCACGATCGAAGAAGCAATGGACATCAACATGGACACCCGGAAGCAGCCAAGCCAGAAGCTCATCTTATCATCAAGACGCTATCAAGGGGCGCTCTTGGCCCGTGCACAGTGACGTCCACGTTCACCTCACGTTCCTGGTGCCAAGCGCACACGCCAAGCTTTTCTGTCCCTACGCAAGGAACAAGTCTGGCTGAGCTGTCGCGTGTCCCAATCGATTTGCTGCCGCTGTTCTTAAAATCGCGCTTGTTCCCCTTCTCTTGTCCCTCATGTTGCTGGTAGTCCAGTGACTGAAAGACTAGCAGAAATCATGTCAGACAACACGACAGAGAGCATCCTCGTCCCCTTCTTGGGGGCTTTCCAAGCTTCCTTATCAGTGCTGCTCACCATATCCGCCGGTGTCATTGCCGCCCAGTATGGCCTCCTCGACGACCGCAGCAGCAAGAAGATTTCAACCTTTTGCGTCCGGATGGCTCTTCCTGCTCTCCTGATTACGAACGTTGGATCGCAGCTTGACTTGGAGACTGTGAGTTCCCCGGCCCACCCTTCGGCACCTTATATCCGTCTCGTCTGATCCATACACCAGGGAATCCGATACGTCCCCATCATCATCTGGGCCATGTTTTACACCACAGTGTCAATTGGCATCGGCTTCGTCCTGACAAAGGTCTTTGGCATGCCCGACTGGGTCATCCCGGCCATTGCCTTCAATAACACCACCAGTCTGCCCCTCTTGCTCGTGCAATCCCTAGACGCCACCGGAATCCTTAGCTCCATCGATGACAGCTCTGGCGTCGTCACCAAGGCCAAGAGCTACTTCTTGGTCAATGCCATGATTGGCAACTCCCTTACATTTGCTCTGGGGCCGAAACTACTCAATGGCCAGGAAGAGGAAGTCCCTGACAAGGGCGAGGGTGACGATAACGACGACGACAACGAGAGCAACGGCGAAGAAGACATCGAGTCACAAGAGCAGGACGCCGTCGAGCACAACGAGCAGACCTCACTGCTCCCAAATCGCACCGTAACCAGAATTACCCGCACAAAGTACAGCGTCTACGGCAAAGGCAACAAATACTGGTCCAACATATCCCCAACAACCCGCACGGCCCTCGAGTTCATGTATAGTTTCGTCAATGCTCCTGTAATCGGTGCTCTCATCGGCGCTCTCCTCGGTCTCGTCCCCGCCCTCCACCGCCTCTTCTTCAACGAGCCCGAGGAGGGCGGCTACTTCAACGCCTGGCTCACCTCCTCGGTCAAGAACGTCGGCGAGCTCTTTGCCGTACTGCAAGTCATCGTCGTGGGCGTGAAGCTGTCCAAGGCGATCTTGCAGTACAAGAACGGGGAGGACTCGAAGGAGAGCCAGGTTCCTGTCGTGCCGTTCCTGGCTGTCACGTTTGTCAGGTTCATTCTCTGGCCCGTCATCTCGATTGGCGTCATTTATCTCTTGGCTAGCAGGACAGAGCTGCTGACCAAGGATGCGCTATTGTGGTTCTGTCTGATGCTTATGCCGACTGGACCTCCCGCGATGAAGCTATCTGCGCTGGCGGATGTTGATGGGTCTGAGGATTCTTTGAAGATGTTGATTGCCAAGTTTTTGACTGTAAGTTGATATCCTCTGGACACATGCCTCCCAACATTTGTGTTATTTTCTGACAAAATTTTAGATGTCTTATATCGTATCACCTTTGATCTGCTTCACGGTGGTCGGTGCTCTAAAAGCTAGCGAGGCCATCGTTGCCAAGTAGATACTTGGTCTTTGGCTTTCCTAATCGATTGGGATAGATCCCAAGGCCCTAGGTATACCGTACTATCTATATCTAAATAGCCATCTATAATTGGATTACATGCACTCTTGCTTCGTCTATGTCTGCTAAGCAACTCCCATGGACATTTGATAACCACCACTGCTTGACAAGTAGTAGTTCGTGCTGCTGGTTCCCACGATTTTTACTCCCGTCGTATCCTTCAGTCTTAATTGTGTTATCCATCTTTCTACCCTACGGTTCCGTTCACTTTGCCCCTAAACTTTTTGAACGGGGTTAGTTGATTTCACTTGAGCTACACGACAAGCTACATCCCCCAGTAAGGAGGGGTTTTAACGGTACTTTAGTCGATACCTCTACCTTCTTTACATCATATTCAAAGCATAATATTCTAATAGCATAATTACCTAACTCTATGTGATCCATTGAGAAACTTCTATGGTCAGATGTAGTAGGTTATCTTGCAATACTTTGTTACATTCAATACCAGAGTCGTGTTATGCGTTAAGAGTATGTCGATTTTGAGTAAGAGAACAAGAAGCAGAAGACCAAGGTGTTGAGGTTATACTATTTCATCAAAAATGAAAGCTCACATCCTATTTGGTTTGGTAGGTGCTTATAACCACTAACTTCGTTAAATTTGCAGTCTTTCGGGCCATCGTTGAACAACCCCCTTCCCCCCGGCCCAAAGTTCGCATAGGTAGGTTCATCTAAGTTACAGACAATTGAGGAGAGTTGCAGACTCTGAGATGAGGTTAAACGCGTTCCATGACACTTTAATTATAGACCTGACAAAGCTCGAGCAGGGTACCTAGCTGGGACTTTTCTAGAAGATCGTACCGATCAGGGTAATAGGCTCGGTAGAGTATACAACAACGAGAGAATGGGACGTAAATCGCTCGGGATGTGCTTTCAACTCGAAGTGATCAACAAGGGGCACAAGATGTATTCTGATAACGTCAAGTGCCTTTGTATGTATGTTCTTACAAGACTTTGAAATCTCCTTGATGTCTGCCGCATTCACCATCGTTGGAGATAGTCATCCTACTTCCTATGGTCAAGCCCGGATGAGTCGTCCGAACCAAATCATCCCGAATGCCCCCTTCACCATTTCCGTACTCTATGCCAACCCAGAGCTCTCCGTGATAATGTGATTCACTCATGAACCTCTCACCCCGTCTTCACCATCAAAGCTGCCGCTCTTCAAGTATCCGCTTCTCACATGACTTCCAAGTTCCGGTGCCTTCTACCTTGCCCACTACCCTAAATATTTCCACAAAGCCTTCCTTCCTTCCAACGGAGAAAATATCTTTTCGAATCCATCTCCATTTTCCATCAAACCACATCTTCCAACGCGGACATCGTCAATACATCGACCGCGAAGATGTGGACTGGACGCGGCATCGAGCAAGCTATCGCCCGCAAGAGACAGGGACGCCGCGGAGGCCACGACACTGCCATGGCAGTAGACAATACCGCCATGGAAGTCGACAACACCACCGTGGACGTCGAGAACATCACTCCGGGAGTCAAAAACCTCGCCATCACCGACGTCCAGCGCCGCTGCATGCTCCTCGCCATCCCCTACGAGATCCGTCGCAAGATCTACATCGAAGTCGTCACGGGCTCCGAAGTCACCTGCGCCCCCTACAACCGCGCTGTCACCCGCCTCATCGGACGCCAGCGTCGCGGCCGTGGCGCCGCCCCTCTCGCCTTCACCGCCACGGAAGAGCACAGCACCTTCCTCCTGACCTGTCGCCAGATCTACGAGGAAGTCCGCTCCATCTACTGGGCCCACTCCCTCGTCGACGCTGGCAAGCAGCACTTCCGGGCCGTGGAGAAATTATTCAGCTCTTTCGCAAAGCAGAACGCCGAGCATATCCAGGGCGTCGTCGGCAACGTCAGATTCTCCCTGCAGCCTGCTGGTTTCCTCCAGTCCTTCCCGCGCGTCAAGACGGTTCGGCTTTCCAACCCCCTTGTCACCCACTTTGCGTATGAGACTTTTGCCAGTGTCGTCAAGGATGAGGAGTCCATTGTTGTGCATATCAAGAACAGAATGGAGTTCAAGGGCTTGGATAAGTTGATTGCGGATGTCCGGTTCAGCGAGGGTGTTCAGTTCTTGGTTGCTGCTGTCTTGATTGGTCACCCTGTCAAGAACGACGGTACTCTTGGTGAGGATAAAACCCACAAGTACAAGGTTAGTTATTTTCCATTCGTCGCGGGATTGAGTTTATCGCTCTTTTCTTGACATGGCTCGGATATTTCGGGGTGTCCTTTCTTTTTCTTCCTTTTGGTCCTCCTTCCCTCCAACGCGGAACCTCATGCTGACCTTGATCCTTTTCAAAATTTAGCACTGTTTCTACAACATGACCACTGGCAAGCTCTTTGCCATCGACTTCGAGAGTATCCGCGGCCCAATCTCCCTTCGCGAGACCGACGAGGACGACATCAATCTCGGCAATTTCGAGCATGTCTTGGAGGGTCGCTACCTTCGCGGCAATGAGTGATGGAATCACATGTCGACGCCTAACCATATCATGTCATCGTCTGAAAATTTGAAGATGTGTAGTGTCACTTCGCCATGGAGTTGAAGGAGGGCGAAGTATTGAGGCGGCGAGAGTCGAAATTGTACCATTGAAGTGGTGTTTCAAGAATGGATACGGAGGAATTGACAGAGTCTGATGACAGCAGATACGAAGACTACAATGCATCAATGATCGAGCCTCTGGTCTCTGATAATACACCTCGTGACACGTGATTGAGAAGCTTCAGGATCCCCATTAGAAGCCACTTCAATTGACTTGGCTAAAGGAGAAGCCTGTAACATAGTTTAGATTAGCATAGACCATGTCGGCATAGCGCCCGGCACGTCCTTTTGTTACCAGACGTTAAATACATCATCATCATCATCATCATCATGGCTAAAGGAGAAGGAGAATAAAGTTCATTGAGTAATTAGGAGGGTGACAGTCACCAGTCAATCGGACTCCGTCATGGGAGAAAAGCTGGGTAATAGGCAAGAAGCGGACTTAGCGGGGAGAAAGGATGTCAGCAAGGATGCCAAGAGATCACTTAAAGTACCCTTGAACCCTGATCACCATGTTCATCTAAAGGCACGGGCGAGCTGTAATTGATGCTGACTCGATCCATTCCTCGAGCTGACTCGGATTGGAATGAAGGATGATGGGTGTATCGACTTGTTTGATTGGTGGATTTGGTCTTGATTCGGACTCGCTTTTGACTGCTTAGGTATTTACTGATTACTATCTCATCAATCTTGATACATTAGCCAAGACTGTTCCAAATTAAAGGGCTCTGTATCTTCAACTATGTTGACTAGTATGGTGTTGGGCTCTCAGTATGGAGATATAAAGAACATCACCTTCCCATACAAAATCACTAACCTCATTGACACTTTGACAGACCTGCTCGACAGTTTTACACAGCCGAATCGCCGCAAACCATCTCTCCAGTCAATCAATCTACAAAATGCAGTTCCAGACGATCTTCGTTGCCGTTGCCGCTCTCATGACCGCGAACGGTGTAGCCGCCAACAGCTGCTCGCTCTGGAATGGCAAGTCATGCCCTGCCAATCAGCCTCAGACCTGCGGCGACGGATGTTGCTGCGAAGTGGACTTCGTCGGTTGTACATGCTAAAAGTATGAGGTGAGAATTTTACTTACACAGCCACATCGTTGTTTATAAGCTTTCAGTTGACGGAAACAACTCAGGACTGAGAAGTGACCCTACTGGCTTGGGGTTGTACTACCTGGATTTGGCGAGGTGTCTCTACACAAAGGGGGGTTTGGGAAATTAACAAAGTGGTGAATCTTCAGTATCAGGGTAGCTTGTGCCCTTTCTTCGAACTTATTTTCTCACATTCTAGAGTATGGGCTCAATAGCAAAGAAGAAAACATGAGTATCTAGAAATACCTCTCATAAGCCTTGGCAGCATCCAAGATCATCTTATCGAAAGGAATCCAACCCTGGCCAGTGGCCTTTGAAGCTTTCGACGCATCGACCCTTCGTGACTCGGGTGGCTCGCCGTAGTCTTCCAAATACCCCTTGCCTGGCTCTCCCTCTTGGATAATGTCCCTTCTATCAGGGTACGCCTTCCTCAACAGGTCGCAATAAGCCTGGATGTTGGCAAAGTTACCGTTTCCACCAGCAATGTAGCGCTGCCCATCGGCCACGTCCGGCCTATCGGCAGCAAACACGATAATCCGCCCAACATCCCGAGCATCGACGTGCGTCCCGTTTCCAGGCCCCACAGGCGGCAACTCCTCGCCGCTCATGACGCGATACGCAATGATGGCAGTATCGCTGAGCCTCTTGGGGTCTTCGGGGAGAATGAGCGGCGGACCAGCAACCCACACGGGATTGACCGCCGTCATGCTGAAGTTGATCTTCGCCTTATTCTTCTCCTTGAAGTCCCAGAAAGCGCGTTCTCCCTTCACCTTGCTGGCGCCATAAATCTGATGACCCGTCGCCTCGGCGCCCGCATTCTCGAGAATCTCCTCCGCCTCATCATTCCAGTCCGCTTCCGAGAAAACCCGCCCCTGGAACTTGGGACTCGATCCCCGGATCGCCACAATGGACGACATGTACACGAAAGACTTTAAACCGGCCTCCTTTATCGCCGATTCAAGGATGCCGAGCGTGCCCTGCACGGCCGTCCCTAGGACCTCCTCGACATTTGTGTTGGCGAAGCTGACGGGGGTCGCGAGGTGGGCTATGGAGGTGACGCCTTTGAGTGCTTCGTCAAAGGCGCCTGGGATTATGATGTCTGGGACGATGGCCGTAGACAGCTGGCCTGATGAGGCTTGTAAGGGAAGGGCGGCGGTGAGCTCGTCTGCGGAGCGCTGGGTTCTGACGGCGGCGCGGACGGAGTAGCCGGCTAGGAGGTAGGCTTCGACTGTTCGGGCTCCGATGAAGCCGTTTGCGCCTGTGACTAGGGCCAGACCTTTTGTTGACGACATTGTTGAGGCTTGGTTGGGATTTATTGGGATGGAAAGAGTGAAGCAGATGACCCCGACAGAGAGCAGCTTTCAGGAAGTTTTCTGGGCGTGATGCTTCTAGGTAATGGAATGGTATTGTGGTTATCTATTTCCCCAAGGAGTCAAAGATGGCATGAAGTTGGTTGAATGAGACATATGTGGTCTTGGCCCGGCTTTAAGTGCTAAGTACGATATAATGGACTAGTAGTCTTATCGCCATTTTATCCCCGTGTCTTTGTCAGAAACCCCTCCACGGATAGCGCAATGACGCTTTTGTTCCTAGCGTGCAGCGAGGCGCTTTCGGTCCCGGTCAAATTTTGGCGCGGTGAGGGCCGCGCTCATTCATAAACCGACACGGCCTTACGAGGTGATGAGTAAACATCATGTTCACTTCTCAGTACATGATTCTGAGTAGCGCTTATGTGGTCTCGTGGATCATCTGAAATCGTTCTCATTCCATACAATTGTCGCTGCTGGGTGTATTGCTATCGAAATGCCTCGCCAAATCTCAATCCTGTCTACCTGAACCGTTTCTTTAGTAACCAAGGTGAAGGAAACATGTATCTTCCACATTATTTGTCAAGTCCTCCGGCCTCACGGACGGCCGACTGCGTATTGTTGGCATGAGAACCAGTCTCAATCATCCTGGCTACCTCCGCATCATCATGCGGCGCCCTCACCTTACCGACAGTCGTGAAATCAGACCGCGGCCGCTTCACAATGATACCCTCTCTCGCCTCGCCCAACGCGCCACCAACACCAGCCTGCCCCGTCCGCAGCGCGGCAAGCGACTTGTGGCGCTCCGAAAGGAGCTCATCCTCGGCTTCCCAGCTGAGCGAGAGCAGTGCGTTCTCCTTGGGCCGGACGGCCGGGTGGGTGAAGAGGGAGAGCACGCAAGGTCTCTCGCCGCTGGTCTCGGTGTTGCGGCCCGTGCCGTGCCAGATGCGGCCCTCAAAGATCATGGCGGTGCCGGCGGGCGCCTCGCAGGCGATTGTGCCCTCGCTGGTGAAGACGTTGCGGGGGCGGACGTTCTTGTTGTGTGAGCCGGGGAAGATGCGGGTGCCGCCGTTCTTCTCGGTGAAGTCGCACAGGAGCCAAGAGATGTTGAGGGCGCAGGGCTTGGTGCGGCCGTGGCCCATGATGCCTTGGTCCCAGTGGAGGACTTGGGGCATACCACCGGGGCGGGCGATGTTGATCTGTTACCCTAGTCTTAGTAATTTGGCCCTTTTTATGAGAAGGAAGAGGGTGCTTACGTTGTAGGACCACAAAAGGGGGTTGTTGCAGCCGAGGTACCACGGCACAACCTCATCGATCAGGGGGTGGTTCAGCAGGTCGAGGAACTCTTCTCCCTTGTTGAAGATGTTCCAGATGCGCTGGTTGGGCTTCTTCGGGCCGCCATCAAACGTCGCCACGCCAGCATTACGTTCGCCAGCTGCCTGCTCCTGGGCACCCTTCTTGAGAACGGCGACTTGCTCGGGGGTAAGCGCGTTCTTCATCAGACCATAGCCCCACTTCCTCAAGTCACGCTTAACCTGCTCGATATCCTCCGTCGGCTTGGGCAGCTCGTCGAGGTTGAGCTCGTCCTTTGTCGTCGGGGCATCCGTGGGGTTCGGGGTGATGAGGTCTGCGAAGCGGATGGCCAGGGGGTAGTCACCCTTTGTGGGGACGGCCGACATGAAGACGGCGGTCTGCGGGTCGTCACGGCCCTCGACCAGGTCTTCGAACCGCTCCGGACGCCATGTGAGCTCAAAGGCGGGCTCGGCGCCGTCGGTGGGTGCCGAGTCGAGGAGCTTGACTGGGCTGGAGCGGGCATCGATGTAGACGGGGTCCGGGTCCGTGAAGTCGCCTTCGGCAAAGGTGACCTTGGCCAATGCGTTGAGCTCTTCGAATGCCTAAACCCCGGTCACTCATGGGTTAGTAAAGATGGCTCCTCCAATGGTTGGCTTGTTCGTGGAGTTATTACCTGTAGCTTATCAGCAAGGATCAGCCGTGCGAGGTTGCTCTGTGCTGTGAAGCGCTGGGCTTTGTTTCCGTAGTTGACGGAGCTGAAGTCAAGGGCCCCGAGGGGCTTGGAAGGTGCTGGCATAGACATATTGTTTGAAATAGACGCTAGATTGATGCTCAAGAATGGTAAGATGATGAGAAGTGCAGATGATTGAAGAATGGTACATATGCCGCTACTGCTGGGAAGGCCCAAACAGTTATATGTCCAGAATTCACGATACTGCTAGGATGAGAGTATCTGCTTCATGTCTGGGCATGTCGCCTCGCAACTCTAATCGAGTCGTTGTTGAAGCAACGCCATACGCGAATGAAGCGTTACGGACAACAGCATCGTAGACTTTGACCGATGCCGTGCTCGCGTAGCTGCGCCGGGCCCGGGTTGCGAACAGAGTTGCAACGTTTCTCAACGTCGGTTCCCCTCGGTTTCTCGGTCTCGCTCTCGGTCTCGCTCTCAGTTGTTTTGTACATGATTGAGATTGGGCTTGACGTCGTACTCCCCCTCAAAAACTCTGGGGTCGCTGAACTCAATTATAATCAGCCAGCAAACCCGTAAGAGAATCTGGATTACATTTAAAGAAGGGCTGTGTAGGCACAGCTAGCAGGCATCAAGTCGTAAGGGCCCTGCAAAAGGTAGATAATCAACGTAACCCCTTGCTAGTGGCAAGGATTTAGGATAGATTACACTAAAAACCTTCGTGCGGGATGCGATGATTAGCCTCTTGGCTGCCACGCTGCCGGTACCACAGTAGCTGGGAGCTTGGTTCACCTCGCCTCGTCCCTGCGCCCCCTTATCCCCCCGACGCTAGATCGCACGAACTTAAGTGCGCCGGACGATCCCGCGGGCGGCGGCAGTTGAAGCACCGCTCCGCGGCGTGGCGTTCTTGGGTTCGGGCAGTAAAGGTCCCCGGGCCGTCCGGGGTGGATTCCGGGGCACGCCGTACAAGGAAGCTTTTCGCCGAGTGACTCGCTCGGCGGGACTAGTTGGTGGGCACTGAAATTTGTCAGTGGACCGTGCCTAATGAGTTTCTGCCATAATTGTCATTCGGGTCGATGACAATCTTTCCTGCTTGATTCTTTTGGTCTTGTTTGGAAGCCATCAGATATTATCCGTCGTAGAGTACTTTGTTCACCTTGAAGACTTTTGTGAGATATTCACAATGTCCTTTTCACACAAAAAGGTTATGACTGCGGAATTTCGGTGGCACGCTAGCCGCCTGTGTCAGTTTCGGTGTGACGTGTATGCGTAAATAAAGTAGGGATGACACTTGGTAATTAGATACTTCCCCATGGAGATCTGTAGTCCATCGAGTTCAGCGGCCTCGTCTTCGTCTTCGCCATAGCACCCGGGTAATAGTTGACATAACTTCAACCCAACCCAATGAGGCGCAACTAAACTCTGGAGCGGTTGTTCGGCATCGAAAATGCCTAGCTTGCAAAAGACATGGCTCATGACCCGGGTAGGATGCGGGTAAGGACTTATGCTCCACCGGCTGTGCGGCATCAGGATGGACCGGCAGCGCCATGAAGCTCGCCGGCGCCTACATGTGGGGCGAGAGCTACGCGGCAGCAAAGGAGAACAACGTCGTCGTTGTGGGCGGAGGAAGCTCGACCGTCTGCAACATGGGAGGATGGATGCAGGGCGGCGGCCACGGCCCAGCCAGTCACACTTTCGGTCTCGGCGCCGATCAGGTGCTTGAGGCCGAGCTGATCCTCGCTAACGGCACCGCCCTCACTGTCAACGCTTGCCAGCATCAGGATTTGTACTATGCCATTCGTGGCGGAGGTCCCAGCTCCTACGGTGTTGTTGTGTCCACTATGGTCAAGACGTACCCGCAAGTCACCGTGGCTGCTCAAAACCTGCAGTTTGGTGCACCTACAGGAACTTCCAAGGCCGCTTTCCTGGACGCGCTCGCAACTCTCTACACATCTATTCCGGAGCTCGTGGAGGCTGGCTTTGCTGGCTACAGCCACTGGCAGGTTGACGGACAGTCTGCCTCCTTCAACAACTGCACCACGACGTACGAACACTCCATCTATGTCTTCAACAAGACCGCTGCGGAGGCTGAGGCCGCGGGCAAGAGCCTTCTCGACAAGATTTAAAAGTTCAACGGCACCCTCTTTGTCAACTCCAGCTATGTGGCTTTTGACGACTACTGGACCTTCTTCGAAAAGGTCAGCGCCGATAACAACCCCGTCGGCCTCATGGCCGCTTCCGGATCCCGCCTCCTCGACATAGAAGCCGTCAGTAACTTCATAAGCGTCCGTGGTCTGGTCGAGACCTTGGCCGGAAAGACGGGTGAGTACGTCACAAATGTAATCTCCATCGTCTTTGGCGGCCAAGTCTGGGCCGATGCTGCTCAGGAGTACTCCGCCGTTCTTCCCGCCTGGCGTACGGCCGTCCTGCACCAGTCTGTCGCGTGCATTCTCAGTGCTGGCGTCAGCGATGCCCGCTTCAAAGAGGTCCATGACGACGTCACGTTCAACAAGATTGGCGCTATGAAGACTCTTGCCCCCAACATGGGATCGTACATGAACGAGGGCGACGCCTTTGATCCGGATTGGAAGGTCGATTACTACGGTGCAAACTACAACAGACTTCAGTGTATCAAGGAGTACTACGACCCTGGCGAGCTCTTCTACTGCCCGACTTGTGTGGGAAGAGGACTCCGTTGGGCGTTTGTGCCGCGCGTAGTTGGATAAGATGAAGAATCTACTTCACATTCTGGTGTATCCATACCTCTCTAGTGGACAACTGATGACATAGAGAGGCCTAAACTTTTAATTCTGAATCAATAGACTTTCAATAGACTTTTCGCACTAACACTTGGAGCTTCATGATACTTATTGATGCGTATTATCACGCGAATTTGCATGGCTCTACGGAGTGGATGAGTACAGCGAAGCTCACTTGTTAACCGGTGAATCTGCACGAGAGACGCATCATCTGTGAACGGAATTTTAAAGTTTCAGAACTGCTCGAAAAACAAGGATGCTACATCCAATTTCATCTGTGAATTTGACTGTGTTCCATTAGAAAATTGCATTAGTAGGTGTGATCTTCCCGCCAGCTTGTAGTGATTGGGGGCGTTCTTCAGACACTTCAATGTTCTTATCACTCCATATAAAATGGCGGTTTAAATAAGGTATTCTCTAGTTCAGTTGACGTAAGGCCAAGATGTTTGCCGGCCGTTCAGAGGGATTGTCAATTGACGAGATTCTCAAGAATCGAAGTTCACAATACTCTTGAGGGACCATGGCATAAAGTATCTTGATAATTATTCACACACGTTTCTATCTAGCGACCCTATGATAAACACTACGTACTGAACTACTGTTTTGAGTATGTACGAGACAAAAACGATGAAGTTTCAGTCTCGAAAGAACTCGTAAGGGCTTCATACTTGGCAAGTATACTGTATGTGGGCCCATACATCTTTACAAGATACTTAGTTGATAGTAGTCAGAGAGATGGACGGGAGTCTAAAGCAAGAAAGAGTCAGGGTGGTCGTTGATGAACTGCATAGCCTCAACACGCCAGTCATCCCTGGTAACATCAGGCCCGCTCTCCTTGAAGTTGTACGTCTCCAAGCCCTCCTCAGAGTACCTCGGCCACTCAGCAAAGTCCAGACCATGGTTGTTCGGGTCCAGAGTGCGGATGAAGGAGATAGCAGTGGCCTGGTAAGCCTGGGTATTCTTGCTCAAAGCATACGGCAGACCAGCAAACATGTAAAACCACACGTCGAAAGCATGGAATGAACCCAACACGGGCAGATGCGTCAACACGCCGAGGTCCGGCAGCAGACCCGCCGACGGGATGCTCACGTCGGTGACGTAGTTCCACACGGTTTGATCCGAGACGTTGTAGTGCGCGAGGAGGTTGCGGCGCTGCGCCTGGAAGCTGAAGTCGCCCACCACAGCGGCCAGGCGCTTGAAGTTGGGCGTGACGGCGTTGAGAATGCCTGTGTTAAAGGGGGAGCCCTTGGTGATGTCTGCAGGGTAAAGCTTCATGAGGCCGGCCATGTCGGCGTCGGATGCCTTGGGCCACCAAATTGTCTGGAAGTAGTTGGCGAAGTCCTCATCTGAGAGGGTCTCGAGCTGGGCGAGGAGAGAGAAGAGGGTGCCCTCATCGCGCATGTCGCCGGTGATCAGTGGCACCGAGGCCATCTTGCCGGCTGCGGCGAGGCGGTGGGGAGAGTCCTTGAGGTGCTTCCCGTCGGGACGGAGGGTCCATGTCGAGGCAAGGGAGCGAGGCCCAAGGACTAGTTGGAAAGCATATTGTTAGCAAATGATCAAGACACGAGTTATACGGTGTACCGAGAGTGAACTTACGCATTCCCTCCTCGTTGACCGAGGCCATGATATCATCAAAGTCAGCAACCTTCAGGCAAGCAATCTTGTCCGATGCACTCGCACACCCAGTCCTCTCAACCATGTGATCAAAGAAAGGCTGGGCTCGTTCGGCACTCTCAACCATGACCGGACCTCCTGACAAGGCCATGGCACCGCGAAATAAGTCGGTAGCGCCCTCGCCCTCGTCCCAGAGCAGATGCGCCACAACGGACCAGCTACCAGCTGACTCGCCCATGATGACGACCTGATCAGGGTCACCACCGAAGTCAGCAATGTGCTCCTGCACCCACTGCATCGCAACCCGCTGGTCCTCGAGGCCGAGGTTGAGAAGCCCCGCCTCCTCCATCTCTCGCGACGCAGAGAAGCCAAAGGCGTTGAGACGGTAGTTCGCCGAGACGCCGATGATGGGTTGGCCCAGATCGACCGAGGTCCGGACAAGGCCGCCTACATTGTAGTTGAGCAACTCGCCGCGGATCACGTCCGTCTCACTGGTGTCGGTGAAGGGGCTGCCGACCTCGTAGCCGCCGCCATGGATCCAAATTACCACGGGCAGCTTGTCACCCTTGGTGACGTCCACTGGAGTCTGGACATTGATGAGGAGGCAGTCTTGGCTGCGGGCTCGGCGTATGGTGTTGAAAACCGTATCGGCGAGGGCGCCCACGACGGGACCGATTTGCGTGCCAAGTTTGCCCAGGACCAGACTGCTGTTTGAGTCAGTGGTCAGGATCGAGGCCGTTGTCTTTTGCGGACAGATTGGGCCATAGTCGCTGGCATCGAAGTCACCTAGCTGCTCGGTGTAGAGCTGCGAGTGCTCGAAGCGGCCAGCTGAGGCGAAAGGGATGCCTTGGGCGAGTTAGCAATGCCACTTTCGGCAAATCTTTTTTGTTATCCCTATTGACTCATGAAAACGTACCCAAGAACTCCTTGATGTTCCCGTTTACACGCCCGGTGATGTTGGCATAGGCGATCTCGACCTTGGGGTTCAAGGTTTCGCGGGATGTGATGGGCTTTGCAGCGACCAGGGCAAAGTGGGATGCCGCAAAGAGGGCCGTGAGCCCAGTCCATTTGGACGACATGATAGAGTAGTGAAAAGAGTGACAGATGTGATTAAGGAGTGTAAGTCAGAGTTGCATGCTCAACTCGTCAGTTGGATATCGAGTGGTGCAGAAACGGAACAAAACGAGTGAAGCCGCAGAGAGCAAAGATTGAAGCTGCTTCTTGCATGATGCTCACGAACCCTTGAACTCAAGGGGCGCGGTAGTTGTATTCCACGAACTCAATCTGTTCCCCCAATATCCGTACACCGAACATTCCGGACCCTCACTGCTTCAATTACGATCATCCTGAGAAGTGCCAAAGAAGTCTTGAAGGACGGAACATGCTCCGTCCTGCTATCTTTCCAACCCCAATTGAATAAAGTGTCAGGGTCGTCAGGCGACAGAGATGCTTTTATTAGTTAGTCATGGCTAAAGCTCAAGAAGAAATGTTTGGTGACGATCAACGCTGCTCCATATCCTTAATGGAGTTGAGTCTGGAGACTGGGGGCTTCTGGGTTAATATGTTTTCTAAGTTTTTGAGCAGTTCAAATTTTATTTTACCCCTTTTGATATATACCCATGGAGTATTGCCCAACGTGGACGCCGATCACTGAATCTGGCTGACACCCCTCTCAGGTCGATATTGGGCGGTGTATGGATGTCATCGCCGCCGCGCCGGCCTTGATTTCTCCGAAAACTTTCCCAAAAACTCTCCGGAGTTCGGACCAGGGGCCGGCATATGGAAGGTTCAGCACTGCATGCTTCTCAAGATGAGAACCAAGATGAGTCCTTGTCTCCTTATCTCGATCTCTAGGGAGTCTATGACCAGTTCATCTGGTAGTGACCAAGCATCGGGAACCGATGGGATGTCGATTCCTTTTTGTAACCCCCCTTGTCCGAGTATTCAACATCGCAGGGGATCATATCGACCCCTGGCTATCATTCTACGAGGGTGGACCACGCGGCACCGGGATGCCGCCGATATTGAAGTCGGGAACAACAGGCCTCCGTTGATGACAAACAAAACTTTCTCATGAGCACGGACGTGACTCAGGCCATGGGTTTGAAACTGTCACGAAATAGGAATAGCATCAGCACTCTGTAATCAGCCCATCACGTACGTTATCACGTGATTCTCTCATTTATTTCTATATAGCACCTTTCCTTACTCGATCCTATTTAGGTTAATATAAACCACTTTTACTATACTTCATATAACGTAGTTCATAAGCGAGTGAGCCACTTTTCTTTGATTTCGTACAACCTACCTCTCCCTTTATTTTTCTCCACCTACAACCATAGTGCGATATTCAAATAAAAGCGATTTAGTTCTAGCGCTTAATACGCTCCAATCTAATCTAAAATTAAGCATACGAAAAGCTATATTAACCTATAATATATCTCGCACAATTCTTCAACGACGACAAGCTAGCTAACTTACTAGATACGATACACGACCTCATAACCAAAATTTAACCTTGTATAAAGAGGAGACTATTATGCGATATATTATTAACCTGGATTCACAAGCGTTTTCGCCTCGCCTAAGCGCTGTTCGAGAAATGGCCGATCGATTACTTCGCGACCGCGGCGCACGATGCGTCGGAATAAACTAGGCCTTAAATTTTATATAACGATAACCTGAGCTCTAGACGTATTTTAATTAAAAAATCGACTATTAGAGAGTCCTTTATAAAGATCTAGATATATATTACGCTTAGTTTTCCCTCGTATAAAATACAATCGCGAAGTACCGGATATATAACGTACTTGATAAGCGAGCTGCCCAGACAAGCGAGCTGCCCACCCAACCGCGTTCATCCTTCCTCCTCACTTCTAATGCGTATCACGCCACAAATAATCATGTCGTCACAAAGCAAAGAGGCCCAATTGAACTTAGCAGTCAAGGCTATCCAAAAAAACCCTAAACTCAGCATTCGAGCCGCAGCAAGAATCTATTCAGTCCCCCCTAGGACCCTAGTGTTACAACCCAACATGCATGACCAAGAACAGGGCCTGCCCCGCAGGCTCGCGGCGGTTATAATACACCACATATGCAGGAGATAAGGGACACTAGGCACCCTCTCACGGAACGGAAGAACTATGGTACAAGTCACGTGATGATAAGATAAGATATGAGCGGCCATGGTGGGGCCATGAGCGCTCATGCCAAGTAATGAGCGCTCATGCCGAACAATGAGCGCTCATGCCGAACGATGAGCGCTCACCCGATCAGAGGAACTGATCATTGACAAGGGATATGTTCAGGACCAGGACTTGTATATAGGATGGACTCGAGCCGGACTCTAGGACAGACTTTCCATAGCTCTTCAGCAATTAACTTCGTATCAGGATTAACATCCGCTTTCAGCTACTACCTTGACAAGACTACGATTGATCACCGAAGCCTTACCTACCCTTACGATTGACAGACATAGCTTCCCTGAAGCTATCCCCGACTACGATTACTGTTACCAGTTCCGCAGCCTCAACTTCTGCAAACTACCCCTACGACTAGCTGGCCGTAACAGTATCCTCCTCGCTATTATAACCCTTCTACTTAATTAAGTATTATCTCTTCTTTTTTGGCCCCCTATATTAATCTTGGCGAAAGTGCTGTCCATCCGCACTCCATGGGATATTTGCCAAGCAATGAGCTCTCATCTCTTCTGTAAAAACAACTTTGTGGCTCTTCGTCGTCGTTGACTTTAGTATCCGTGGCGACCACCTTCGTCGCGGCCTAAGTGCGCCTTGGTATATAGTGTGCCCTTGTGATAGCGTCGGAACCCCTTCATATCTGCTTGAAGAGTTGCTTTGGTCGCCTGAGGGGTTGCTTTGAGGCAAAGCCGATGGTGGTGGCTGGAGTTGCTCGGAAACATCCTCGGATACTGGAAAGGCGAAGTGATCAAAGGTTCTGCCCAGGAATGGGCAAAAGAACTCTAACGAAATGTCGCTGAAGTCGAAATTCTCAACCTCTGACATGAGATCGTAGTCGAATTGGGGTGTATTTTCTATTACAGCTGGTTTGTCGACATTGACCGTTGGTAGGCTGCCTTCAGATGTCAATTCATTTGTTGTTTCCATGCGGCCCTCGGAAGTTTGGATGCTTTTGTTCAGAGTTACCATAGACGTTGGTCCTTCAACGTGTGCATTCAGTAAGGGCAACTTCTCTGAGGTAAGGAGCCACCAGATTGCGACTGGTCCCGGTGGAACGTCTTTCCATGGCGGGTCACGAGATCACTGGCCGGACATCGTCAGTAGTGAAGTATTGTTTCGAACACCTGCCTAAACTCACTTGCGAGCGAAGCGTCGGCTGCAGATACGACATGAAAACGGCTTCTCTTGTGAATCTGTGTATCTTTAGCCAACAACACCAAGTTCACAGAGCGGTTGACCCACGGCTTCGCTCATGGCGATTGCGATGCTCGCTTCGCTTGAACGTCTTTGGACAGATCCGACATCGGTGCTGGACTCCTGCTTCTTTGCGGAAAGAGATGACAGACATCCCAGGAGCCGTAGTGAACGCCACAGCCGAATTAGGGACGTGGTTGATGAACTGGAGGGGGGCTCTCGAATGACGTTGGCTTGGTCGACCACCAGAAAGCGTGGAGAAAGAGTTTGATGGTCAAAGTGCCGGTGACGAAGGACGGACTGTATAAGCCTCCGTGTCCGACCCTTGGGATCTCAACAAACCGGGGCCGGCGGGCGGCCCGCTGCAGGCTAAGGGCGCGCGGGGTAAATTGTCCGAGTAAGTCATGCACATTGTCTACTTGTATGTAAGTCGATGACTGTGTGGACAGGGGGATATTTGACATCGTATCTCGATAGGATAATTCATACAAACATCGCTACTTTTGGTCTTCTCTGGGGATAAATTCTGTCATTGGCACAAAGCTAGCGAAAGCGCGTAAAAGCCGCCTAGCATTGCAAACCTTGAGACTGCCATCTGAGTTGAAACAATGGTCCTGACAACTCTTTCCTGATCAATCTGTGTATGGGCCGGCATAGCTTTGCATTTCTCAATCATCTATTGGTAGAAGTGTCTCAATGAGAAGATTGAGCAGGTTCTCCAAGGAGGTCTAAGCTGAAGATGCCGTATGCGAACATTTGATGCTACCACTCTTTTCCAGCTCCACTGTTTATCCTTGTGATATGAATACTTACTTCTGAATGGAGTGCCGTCTCTTGTCCTCTTTATACGGCGCAGCCTGTACAGTCTGTATAACACATTAGTTGCACGATCTTAAGCGATCAAGACATCTCTGGTGTACTTACCGCCCTGATGGTCTTCACAGGAGATCCTTCAGATCCCCACTTCACCTCTACGACCGTCCCGGGGGCTGCATGTTCTTTGGAAACAATCCCCAGTGATACCATCTCCTTGAACCAATAACTGTAGCACCGAGAAACAGCGCACCCAATCGTCTTGCCTCCCAGCAGGACTGTACTACCGACCACATAACCAAGCAAGCTGTGAGGTATCTCCATGTACTCAAAGGGCTCCGGTCGAAGGAGAGACGCAAAAACATCAGTCACGTCTTCCTCGTTCCAGACGAGCGTCACCAGCTGGTTCGGAGGACTGTCTTTGAGCTTGAGAAGGGCATCGCGTCCGATGAAGTCGTGGTCAAAGTTGATGAGCCAGCCCCAGTTCAGGTCGTATGGCGTGAAGTGGTAGGAGACGGGGTCTGCGCCGTGACTGCCGCTGGCTTTGGAGAGATAGTGGTCAAAGTCGAAGCCGATGTCTCGCGCCAACTGACGGAACTGGAGAAGTTCCTTGTCATCTGCGGGCGCGTGTACGGCCTGGATGAAGTCAGCGGCGGGAATTGCAAATGCGGCTTCAACCTGGTGGTTTTGTGTTAGCTTCTTTTTGGGGAGAGAGCAGTGAGGATGTCTTACGTGATTGACCATCTTTGCGCGGGCACCCAGTTGGCGGATGTTATGCTTCTTTCCGGCACCCACGATAGAACCATATATCTTTTTGGCATCCTTCGTCGATCCCCAAAGCTTGAACCCGAGTTCGCCGGAAACACCTTGCCTCAGACAGAGGAACTTGCTGCCGTCGATGGAGAGCTCTTTATAATGCATGAACTTGATATCCCGGACGCCCTTGTCAGTCACTTCATCCAGAAGCTGAACGCTTCGAGGACCTTGAATCTGAAGAAGGAACCAGTCATCAGTGACCAGCTGCAGAGTGGCATCAAACTTCTTTCTCCCCTGTTGAAACTGGTACACGAGCCAGACCGTCCCGGGACCGCTCGTAAAGAGAAAATCGTCCTTTCCAAGCAACAGAACCGGACCTTCGCCGACGACACATCCGTTGTCCTGGCAGAAGATGGCATGCTTCGCTTGTCCGGGCTTGAAGTTGGGCCAGCGGTTGGTCGAGATGTATTCGAAAAAGACTTGCGCCTCCGGACCTGTGACGCGGGCTTTGAAGAGCGGCGACCATTCGCCAATGTAGCAGTCCGTCTTCCAGGAGACGCTCTCGTCGATCCAGCCCGAGTATTCGTAGGCTTCAAAGGTTGGGCCGAAGCGGGACCAGGTGTTGACGCTTGGGTCTATGGGGACGGCGGGAGCTAGCGGCACAAAGTGCTTTTCGCTTCCGTCGTCCCATCAAGGTTGTGTAGTTGGTTGGTGCTAAGGATTACGCTTTTGAGTCTGGGCTAATTACTCTCTTACTATCGTGGATTTTCTTCGTTCTTGTCTTAATGTATCGGCACGACTATGCTTTATGCTTGACCATTTACTAAATCGATCACTAACGATCTCTCCACTCGCCGGTGTAAGATGAAGTCATCAACTTCCTGCTGCTGGGCATGGCATAGTGGGTTGAGAAGTCCAGACAGCAACTAATACATCCCAATTAAGCAACGTGGGATGTCTCCACCCCTGCGATGATACTCCACCTTCTCATCAAGGGGGGGGGCGATAGCCCCCGATTTTGACGACGGACTTTGAAACATTGCGGTCACGATTTCAAATAACCCTGCAAATCTATGTGTGTTACGTTATGAATTCTTGTTCAATGTCTCTGAAGTCAGCAGCATTGAAACTTTGGCCCGTCGGATCGATGTATCGCTGTCACTGATGATGCCCCGCCGGGGCCGGAAGTCTCAAGTCATTGACTGTGCCTAGAGGGAAGACGGCAAACGTTCAAGAAGATCTCAACTGTGTACATCTGCAAAAGAATTGATGTTATCGCGTCCAAAATACTGTTATCACGAGATTTTGTTGTAAATTAAATCAGCGGATACAACACTGAGAGATGTGCGCTTATGCGGTTATATGGAAATTCGAGACTACTAGCTCTGCTCTCTAAGTAATCAAAGAATATGGCAAAGTGCCTCGATGATAAATTCAAGCCAATGTGAACCTGCATTCTGGAAAATGTCATCTATAAGGCTTCGCCTAAGCCGAAGCTCTCTGAAACTTCTACTAGTGTGGGTTCGCTTTACAATATCACAACGTAACCTGCGTATAAGTTCCCAGACCTACTTACACTAATAGCCTCAAGTTTAGACCCCGTCTGCCAACATCATCTGTGTCCCTCCCCTCTCAACAAACTACTCTCTTGCTTTAGACTCCCTCAAGGCCTTGACCTCCTCCTCCGAAACCAGCACAAAATCATACGTCAAAAGCCGCGTCGACGGCTCAACACCATACTTCTCAGCCAACCCATCAACATCCGAAACAGTCCCTAAGTCTACAATAAGCGATTTCTTGACTCCAAAAACCGCATCAGACCTCTCAAACGGATCTCCGCGAAGATATAAAGCCCTATAAGCCACCAGCATCGTCGTTAGAAAAAAAAAATACCCCAGCCAAAGGTACCTTAGTCGAGGTGAACTTGGTGACCGCAAAAGAAAGAAAACTTACGTGATGAGACGATCGTACCCAGGCATATCAAACATGAAATGAAAATGACTAGGCCGATACCGATGCCTCCCCAACGTCGTCAACAACCTCCCAACAGGCCCATCCCCCGGAAAAGGATACGGCACCGGCACAATCGCCCGAAAATAAAACCCTCCCGCCTCATCGCTCCTCACAACCGCCCGTCCATCAGGATTTTCGTACCCTTCATACTGAACATCATAAAACCCCTTCGAATCCGTCTCCCACACATAAACCTTGCACCCAGAAATCGCCTCCCCTCGCGTATTCTTAACCGTACCCACAACAAGCATCGGCTCCCCCTCCCCATCCCTCGAAATCATCTCCCCATGTGGAACGTCCCTGGCCTCATGCGTGTGAAACGGGCCCAGCACAGTCCCCTCCGTCGCTCCGGTGCCGTGCGGCTTCGGGTGATCCAGCGAATCGACTGGGCTTCCAAAGAAAGCCTTTGTGTGTGTGTGTGTTATATTTAACGCCGTGGCGGCAAGGGCGCAGCCGCCCTTGCGGCCGACCTCCCGAAGGGTATATGGCGTGGAGAGCCGTTGCCCTATAACTATTGCTAGATACAGTTCAAATCGTCCTCCAAATCGTGCCTTATGGCTACTATGCGTTCTATCTGTCCCTGGTTCCCGCTGGTGCCCCAGTTCCATTCTTGAATTTTGCGGCTTTAAGGCCGGATATGTCTGGAGAGGGCGGCCTGCCGAAACAGGCCCCTCGTACATGTTCTGATTTGTACAAGACCATTCCTGCCCCAGTACTAGGTTGACGACGTGTACTCGCCGCATATCCACTTTTTCTTGGTCGGAGGGTGTGGATATGAGAAAACCCTGGCGAGGGCCCGGAAAGGGTCCTAGGCCCCGCGTTGGGCTCTGCCCTACCCTTCCCACAGGTAGTTAAAGCAGTTGCCGGCGGCTGGAATCGAACCAGCGACCTCTGGGCTCCAGAGGCCTTGCCAGGTGTATGCCACTACACCACGCCGGCGTGTTGGAGGAGGTGGCGGGTGCGGGTGTTGGCGCATTTGGCGTTGATGGCGTGGACGTTTTGTGTGATGTTGGATGTTGTTAGGTCTTTTAGGGGTGAGTGGGAGAGGTCTATCTTGGAGAAGTCCATTGTTGTGGTTGGATTGGATTAGGTAGACTGGACGAGGTAGAGATGGAGATCAACGTTGGATTAAGGTCTTGCTTGGGAAGCAGATGAAGAGCAGTCAGAACATACCGTGGGCTTTGATATCAAGATCCTCTCGGAACCGAACATGTCATGATGTCCCTAGCAATGGCTTTGAAAGCCTGGGATGGGAATGTCCTCCCGCAGTTCCGGACAGGGTATGTGGGGAGTAACTTGGCAGGCATCTCGCATATTCGAATGATGGAACACAAGATGTAATCTCATGCCCAAGAAAGCTCAATCATTATTCATCACGATTCTCCCCAGACCTTCGATCCACCACACGACCCCTCCCCCGAATATCATCCCACTTGGTTACCCCACAAAGTCACACGTCCGTGAGCATCCCACACAACCTCTTTTTTGCCGTACTCCCGACGACGTTGAGAAGCAGGGGGTTGACATCGGGTACGAAGTTATCTCCACCCGGCTATCTTGGTGTTATGGAGGGTTGATAGCAGGAAACTCGAATAACCCCAAGAGATAAAATCCATCCTCATAGATCTGATTCATAAGTAAGTAGTATCAGCAACCAAGGCACGCGCACAGCAGTCCTATATCTCACTTCTCCCAAAGAAGCCCTTCCAAAGAACAAACAAACACCCGCTAGGCATCTCCTCCACAACCCACCTCATCAAAATGGCATCTCAAAACCACCATGGCATTGGAAAGGTAATCCTCCAACCATCACCTCCTCTCCCAACCTCAGACCGAAACTAACACCTACCCAGGTAATAGTAATAGGCACAGGCCCAACAGGCCTCCTCCTCTCCCTCCTCCTCGCCAAACACTCAATCCCCGTCCTCACCCTCGACAAATCAACCTCCCTCTGCCCCCTCCCGCGCGCAACCCACTACGGCCCCCCGCCAACCACGTCCTCGCCCGCGCCGGTCTCCTCTCCCGCGTCCGACAGCACGGCATCGAAGTAGGCGGCGCCCGCTGGCGGAAACCAGACGGCACCGTCCTCGCAAAGATTGAAAACAGTAGGCTCGGGACGGACAACCCGGACCGGATTTCTTGTCTGCCGCTGAATCAGCTGTGTAAGCTTGCGCTGGAGGACTTGGAGCGGGAGCCGGGGGCGGAGGTGAGGTGGGGGCGTGAGGTTGAGGGTATTCGCGAGAAAGGGGAAAAAGGCGGTTGTGAAGATGAGGACGGAGGACGGGGTGGAGGAGTTGTAGGCTGATTATGTTGTTGGATGTGATGGCGCGAATAGTATTATCCGGAGAGAGTTGTTTGGGGATGAGTTTCCTGGGTATACGTGGGATTTGCAAATCATTGCTACAAACGTGAGTGGAAAGTCCCCCCTCTTCTTCCCTTTTGCGATATTTCAACAGTCAAAGAGAGATAGGCGAGACAGCCAAAACACCGAGAAGGATGCTAACTAGAGGACAAAGGTCTACTACGACTTTGAAAAATACGGCTGAGTAGACTCCAACTTTGTCATCTACCCAACAGACTACTTCATGGCCGCCAAAATCCAAGACGACGGCCTCTGGCGCGTCAGCTACGGCGAGGTCCCCGGCCTCAGCCACGACGAGTACCGCCGCCGCCAGCCCGCAAAATACGAGACCATGCTTCCTGGGAACCCGAAGCCGGACGACTACCGAATTGTCAACCTTAGTCCGTACAAGGTACACCAGCGTCTCGCGCCGCGGATGCGCGTGGGTAGGTTCATCTTGGCTGGGGACGCTGCGCACTTGTGTAACCCGTTGTAAGTGCTCTTGTGACTATAACCGATGTAGAAGAGAAAGAGAGAGGCGGAGAGAGAATTCTGCCTCGTGTCAAACCTATAACCTTTGGCCTCCACAGCGGCGGCATGGGCCTCACAGGTGGTCTCGTCGACGTCGGCGACCTCTTCGACTGCCTAGCAGGCATCCACGACGGCCGAGCCGACGACGACATCCTCGACAAGTACGACCACTACCGACGAGAAAAGTACAACCAGTTCACGAACCCGATCTCCGAGGCAAACCTCAAGAGAATGGCGTCGGACCCGGACGAGGTCGAGGCCAACGACCCGGGGATCGTAGCCATGCGCGAGGCGGATAAGACTGACGAGGCTGCCGTCGCGTTTCAGCTGGTATGTGGCTTTTTGCCTACCCTGTTCCTTCTCGGCTAGCTTTTGCGAAGTGATGATCTGATATGAGAATTCGTATAGGGTGTGTTGGGGCTGGCTCATGATATGACACAGTATTACAAGAAGTAGTGGTGGAAGGGGTGAGAGACTTGTCAGCTACCAGCTTGGCAATAATTTGATAACAGGCTGGAAAATGTGATCTGGACTACACGCTGAGATAGAGTGAAGGGCACCCTCAACTCAAGTTCACTATCTAGACACACATCAACACGCTTGGGTCTGTCGCCAGAGACAACTACGCGGATGCTATCGTCAGTGCCCATTGTCCCGTGACTCCATCCAATAACCACAGACATGCTATGCTGGCTCAACATTCATCTGGAGAGTCACCGGAGTATTCACCTATCCACAAAACAACCGTCGTCTCGAGAACGGGAATAAAAGACTTTGAGACGAAGCCTGAGCGCCTGGCCAAGCAGATGCTTCTGTCACGACGCTGCCGATCTTGATAATCCAGAGCAGTAGAGTAACATTGTGACAATCCAACCACTCGCTTGCGTTGCGACACAAAGTTCCGTCGTGTCCGTATGCATTGACACATCGGTGGGATGTCATCCAACGTGAGGTTCGTAGCCGCGAGCCAGACACGGCCAAGGTCTAGATTCACGAGCCGGCGATGCTCATATTGCTCGTGTATACTCGCATTAGGGACGAGATGTCCCGGGAACTTATGACATTAGGAAGTAAAGAAGAAGACGGGGAGAATGATTAGGCAAAGAGGAAACATGCTTTCACTGCTGAAACAATAATTCGCTAGAATGACAGTGACATGAAGCGACCTAGGATACTGACTACAAAGACCAACACGGAATGTACCTGCGGGTTTGGCAACCAACAATGCAACGACGGACCGTAGATACGACCTGCGCATTGCGCAGAGATGGAAGGTGATTAAGTCATGTCGCCGACTTGGGACCGAACTTGGGATGGTCCTTGCAGTGGAGGGGCCGCCGCGGACGTGCAGGAACCGAATAGACGGCGCTGACAGCAGTCGACGTTGTTTCGTGGGACACGGAGAGATGGCTCGCCGAGATGATCTGGAGAGTTGCAGCTCGCTTCACACGCAATGCGAGATTCGACTTGTCGGCCGATTGTGGAGGGGGGTTGGTGATCTACTGATCGACGGAGCCAGCTCATCTTTGAGAGGATCCTGATCCCAGAGCTGCAAGATGGGAACAAACGTTTTCGTAGATTGACCCAAGCTGTCAGCAATCTGCTCTAGTCCCCACGAAGCCACGCGCCATAGGTAGTCAGCTTCTGGACACCGTGTAACCCCAAGTGGCTGGATGAGATTGGCTGACTGGAAGAAATCTTCGTGCTTCGACACGAAGGGTTGACACGCCAAGAAGGGGGCCCTTGGAGGAACCCACGCACCGTCGCAATGCCGATTCGCGGCGAAGGGGCAAAAGCTGGAGGCGTTTAAGCGAGCCGCCGAAGAATGTTCGTCATGCAGGCAGGCAGCGGAGTGCGAACGGGTTGCGCTTTGACATGTTGACTTGACGTCGGAGGTGAAGAAGGGTCGTGAGGGTCTAGTTGACGAACGCCGACTGGAACGATGGCAAGGAAACTGATGACATGGAAGGTCTGTCGGTGTGTTTTAGGTTTTGTCAGTTTAGCGCGAACATCAATCAGGATGGGGGCCGCCAGTGTTGGAGATTGAGTCGCTAAAAGGCGGGCTTGGATGCGAGTGGGAATGGGGGCCGAGCCCGCCCTTATTCGAAGAGGGAACTGTTGGTCAGTGAAGCAGGGAGAAGGTCGTGTTCCGCAGATGTAGGTAGGCAGGTATTCGTACGGAGTACAGATTGGAAGCAAGGCCGTTGGAATGTCATTGGAACTGCCTGGCGATCACGCGGGGAGATGCTGCTTGTGGTGTAGTGTGGTGGATTGGTGGTGGTGGTGGTGGTGGTTGGTGGCCGGGACACCTTCTCCCGTCGAACTCCTTGCCTGCTTGCTTTGTAAACCATCGACGCCCGTACGAAGGCGGTGTGTTGCAGCGTCTAGAGTAGTGCAAAAGTTTCTGGATTTACAATGGCTCTCGAGCGAGGCGATTGGTAGAGCGCAAGAGGATAGGCCGTCTTCATTACTGAGCCAGGTCGTCAGCAACGCGTCGGCCTCGACTCCGCCGTCAAAGGGGGTGGTGTCACAGACCTGCAGGTCCAGTGACGGACAATTAACCACCCTCGTTAATAAGACGTCGGCATTTGGGGGCCAAGCAGATCTCCAAGATGAACGAGAATCTGGTCTCCTATTTGAATGTTTGGAGAGGAACGGCAATATTCGCAGACAATTTTGTCGCCGTCATATGTCGCATTGCTCGAGTGTAGAATGAGGGTCCTGTATGCTTGGGGCTCCTGGAATCATGATTCTAACATGAACATCTTTCCCAAAGAAGGTCGCAAACACCGTTGATAACTTGGTAGCGAGGGGTACCGTCTGTCACAGGCCTCGTGGTCTTCGAAGGTCCCTCGCATAGTAGGCCCGCGAGGCCTAGACACATAGACTCTGTTTCATCCCGTCGTCCTGTACGCTCCGCTAGCAGCCCGTTAGGTGTGAGAGGAGGGCCGGAGGGCAGAGGTTTTAGTGATGGTGACCACTGACAGGAGGGTGTTGAGGCAGGCGAATAAGCGACGAGCACGGGGTGGCGGAAAAGGTGGCGCAATCCTGCGTTTGGCACGGGCCCCTGGATGCTAAAAGTTGGTGTCTGCATCAATTCAGGGGAAGTCCATGGGTGTCTGTCTGCATGTGCTTCCAAGTGGGCGCAAATGACTGGGCGTGTTCGCAGAGTGTGAATGGACGCGATTGGATCGAGGGAGGCCGAGGCAGCGGATGCGTGGACGGGAAGAAAGGCAAATGTCAAGCTCGCGACATTAATAGCCATGATAAGACGATCCGGCGAATGGGATATGCCATGTTCTGTTGCGGAAGGGAAGCTTGCAGATTACTGGATAGGTACGGAGGAGTCGTCTTTGTAATGGCAAGAGTTGCGATCGCAATCTGGTTCTGATGTTGAAATGTGTGTGCGCCGTCGGTACACGAATAGGTACCTAGTTGATCCAGCTTTCGCTGGTCACTGCTAGACTCCGGTTCCAGATGTACGGCTAGGATGGTCAAGACTCATGCTCCTCGGAAGGCGGAGGTGTCAAAAGTATCCGCATCGTGAGGTGGGATTGTCGTCAAGGGGCGGCCCCGACAAGGACGAATTGGCAGAGACCCAGGTGGTGGTATCCGTTGATGTTCGTTTTGACAGACAAACATTGTCAGTCCCGCAACAAGTCGAAGTGGTATCGGTAATGAGCATCCGCCATCAGCAATGCCAGCGGGCAGCCAGCCAGCGAAGTGGAAGAGGGCGGACGCTGTGCCGTGTCTTGCCCCCCCCCATCTACACTAGGTACTCCGTATGGTTGAGCAAACTAGCAAGCCATCAGCCCCTGGCGATGGGTTCACGAACCCCGACGGTGGTGTCTGGGATCCCCTTGGGATTGGCTTCTCCTTTGGGACAAGAGCAGTGGTGGGATGGCTGCATCTTGCATTACCCCTGCAGCCCTGTCTCCTCTTGTCCCTTTTTTCTGGACAGTTCTGGTCGGCGTGGTGGAAGAAGGCAACGAAGGATTGGAGAGGACAGTGCAGGGTGTGGCCCCGTCAGAAAAGGAGGCTAGTCAAAGGCGGCAAGCCTGCCGTCGGTCGCGGTGTCAAGGTGTCGTGGGTGTCTGGCGCTTGTGGCGTCTCGTGTCTCGCAGGCCGGCCGTGTTTTGGGGTGCCACGACGGCGTTGTATGCTAGGTGGTCACGTAGTGTACTTGGTACCGTGGCGTGGGCCCCCAGTCTGAGGGTTCAACGGCTGGTTCATGTCGATGATGGTTGTGGCAGATTGTTTCTGTTGCATTGCTCTTCTGGCTCGGTTTCCATCGTCCATGGCGCGAAACGATTGCCTTTTGAAAAAGCCCAATGTGGTTTTGGAAATGAGCATTGCAATGATTGGTGGAATTGAGGGCGCCAGGAGAGAGAACAGGACGGACGTGCTCTGCAGACGGGAGAGAGTAAAGATTGAGATGAAGCGGCTACTTCTTTGTTCCTCGCGGGCGGGCGGTCATGATGAACAAGGTGAGTATTCGTACCTTGATCGCAAGAGACGTACTTTGTAAGCTTGGAGGATCAGAACAGACTCGGACTGACAGAATATGGAGAAGAAAGCAATAAAACAACACTACCAAAAACAAAAGAAGAAAGGAGGGGGGTTCACGACTTACGGGGCACGTCTGGGGGGTACACCGTTCGCACTACGCAGTAAAGGAAAATGCAAAAGCAGTGAAAAGGAGAAACCCTGCATTTGCAGAGGGCTCTTTACCGATTTGGGTCATTTTGGGTAGGTATCCGTAGGTGTGTGCTTTCCTCACCTCATATTCCCCAGCAGCAGCCAAGGGCAACGGCGAGAAATGACATGGAAGGTACGTCTTGAGGGCAGTGACCACATGTCGCAAGGCCCGTGACATTTCTCAACTTTTTTCTGTGGACTGTCTACGCAGTATCAATGCGTTGATTCTTTCCTCGTTTCCTCTGGCTGTGGATACGTACCTGATATGTTGTGAATGAGGCAAGTGCAGCTCGAAATTTACGACAGTGGAGGAAAGAAGGCACTGGTGGGCATGGCAGGTGCGGAGGAACATGGGATACTTTGAAAAAACCTGGACGGAAGGACCATTCGTCTGGTGTTTCCTCTGGTATTTCTGGATCTCTTGGATGTTTCTTTATCTAAGGTACCTTATGGGCCTCCCTCCTATCTACGGTAGGTAACAAAAGTAAGGTAGGTGCTTCTTCATCCAGACGGGGCAACAACTAATACTTGCTTCCATATACCGCAAAGGTACTCCATGAGGTCCGATGAGACTAAGGCAAAGTCAGACGGATATTGATGCCGTTGACGATTGCAGTCATCATCGCCGTCGTCCTTCTTATTACCTTAATACCTCGTACCTAAGTAAGGTAATCCCCAAGTATCGGATATGATGATGTGGAATATTGGTGTCCGTGCTCCCTATTGCTCTTTCCCTTGCTTGCATATTGATATTGTTGTTGTTGTTGTTGTTGTTGTTATCGTCTCGTCTGGTGTTTCTCTTGCCTGGGCCCGACTTTTTTCGGACAGGGACAGGGTACCTCCGCAACACCGACCGAGAAAAGACGCCAACACCGGCGCATTCAAACTCCCGTATCACCTGCATCCTCTCACAGGAACCATACGGAGTACTCTGTATCCTGTATCCATACAATTACATCTTGAGTGTACCGTGGTTCACGCCGTGTCGCATGCGCTGTGTAATTAGAATGTCTGCGAATATGCAGGTCCGCACAGAGACACAAGAGTCAAGACATGCAGCACCGCCAGCAGCAACAAGGCCGCTACGTCTAATTACCTGACAGATTACGGATCCAATCCTTTCTTGACCACTTGACCAACCAAGGTACCTACGGATACTGATGCAGAATTCTGCAGACATTGGTTGATACCAGTCCAAAAGACCAATGTCCCGTCGGGAGGATCACAGTAATACTTGCCTGAGATATCGTCCGCTGTTCATTCTCTAGTTTTATTGACTAGGTTCCTATCCGTAGCAGTCCCGATTCTCATCCATGGACCATGATCCCCATCTCTCTGTTCTCTGAAGCATGGATATTCCAACCCCTGCCCGGTCCTCCTTCCCCCCCAGGCTGCCCATCAACGAGCTTCCATGTCATACCTTGCTTGGACCCTACCTTCCTGGTGGTACCTCAATTACCTCGACTTGGGCCTGGTGTTTGCAGGTACCCTACCTTACCTATCCGTAGGTATTACGGATTGCTTGTCTCCAATCCTCCTCTTCCCTTCTGCCTCTTTTCCTTCTTTGCACTTTTCCCACGTGTGTTTCATAGGTGGCTTGATGCTCATCAATAATACCTTATTACCAACAAACCTTACAGATACCTTGCCTTTCTCCGTAAGTAGGCCAAAAGCCAACAATCCATCCATCCATCCACCCGTCTCGCCGTCTCCCTTCTCTAACTGCTTGTGCTTCAAGCAACCAAGCAACCGACCACTACCACTACCCCCTTAGTGCCCTGGCACCGCAAAACATCCGAACTGTGACGAATGCACACCTGCATCTACCGTCCCTTACCGCGACCCATTCAACCTTGCCAAGTTGCCATACGCATACTCCTCCGTCCACTACTCCGTCCACTACGCTTCGCATACCACTTCCACTCGGTACACTCCAGTCTCCGCATACAGATACTTCCAGCTATATACATGTCTACCACGCAGACCATACTCTGACAATCCAATTCGAACTAATAATACCTCTTAACCCTTGGCTCGCCCACTGCCAACACAACCTCGATCTGTACTCCGTACTGCGCGCATCTACGGATACCAACGTACTACTACTGCGTAGTCTAGTAGTCGCACCGTCGCCGTTTTCTCTTCGCTAGCACAAGACACAAGACACAAGTGAACCACCACCACCACAGACACACTTCACACACCCACGACACCACACCCTCGTCCTCGTCCTCGCCCTCGCCCTCCACCCCTCTCGCCCCTACGACGGCCGATCACCACCATCCATCCGGAGCCTAGCAAGTCCTAGGTCAGGGGAAGATTGAGGGTAGCATCCATCGCCTCTTTCGAAGCATCGTACCAACTTTCAAGGCCCGTCACTTACCCACCAACAATTCGCCTACTCTATACCCGGTCCCAATACTACCACTACTCGTACGAATACACGCTACCGACGACGGATACTAATACATAATCAAACCTTCCCGCGCACATTTTCCCGCTCCTCGTGGCACTCTTGGCCCTTGACTGCCCGCCCATCCGCCCATGCCAAACGGGGGAAAACGGCAAAAGCACCACCAGAGAAAAAAGCAACCTGAACAGCAGCCCAGTTCAGAAAAGAAACATTGCTGCAACGTCGTCCGCTAACACCTGACACCACCCCCCAAAAAGACCCAAAGAAGGGTCCAAAAGGGGACTCGCTCGAGTCTTGATTTCGGTCACTCATTACTCGCTTGGGACTCGTTCACCCGGGAGACAAAGCCGACCCCGACACCGAACTTCGAACCCGGCTTTGTGGACATTGCGACGCCTGAGAAAGCCCACTTTGACCGTCAGTCTGCCTGTTCAAGCTTCAAGGCCCCCTCCAGGCTCTGATTCCTGTGAGCCCGCCGGCCGACGTCGACTGACTTACGGCGCTGCTGCCACCGCCGTCGGATTGGATCCCTTGACTCCTGGTGTCGCATTGGATCTACCGCGTTGGTCAATCAATATTGGGGCGCGTCCCAACTCTTGTTCAAGCGGCCGCACCTTGGCATCTATTTGGCGCCGGCCTGCTTGCTGCTACTACTGGCGACTACTACGGCACCTTACTGCATATGCGCCTTGCGCTTGCGCTTGTCGGATTGGATCTGGAAATGACTTGAAAACCCTTTTCGACCCCCACGATACCCTTCCGTCCCCCCCTCCTTCACCATGTACGCCGACATCCCGAGACGTTCCAGTCGTCGCCGTCCCGACCTCAACATCAACACCTCACCTCCACCCGCCGCCCACGCGAACAGGCCCGCTGTCGCGTCACGAGGAGAACCTACAGCTGCGCCTCCAGTTCCTCAAACACCACCACCGAGCAACAGGAACAGGCCGCCGCCGCCGCCTACTTCGTCCTCGTCCGTTGCCAAAGGCAAATCCAACAGTTCTCGGGCACTACGAGGCCCTGCTCTTTCTCGCCATGCCGACGACTCTTTCCTGGTAGACACTCCTGATTCGCCCGACAGCTTCGACATGTCCTCGAATAAAGAAAACGATAATCCCGACCAATCTCGCCCCCGCGATTCCCACGATCTTTCCCTGTCCCCGCGAAACGTTACGCGCGACTCTCTCATGGCCAACATGCTCATGTCTCTCGACCAGTTCTCCATGGGTGGTCCAGTCGGTGGGCCCTTTGGCAGTAGCCCGCCAAATATGCACGAGCCTTCGCAGCAGTACCAGTACGATACCGACGGAGGAGACGGTTTCTCTCGATCAGTGCGAGGCGGCCGCCCCGGTCACACATACTCCTACAGCTCCGACTTTGACGCCGACGATGCGAGCAGGATATCCTCACGGGGTAGGAGAAGCAACAGTAGTTCCAACTTCCAACCTGGTCTGCATCGCATCAGCAGTATGCGCGAGCCGCTGCGAAGTACTGCCAACTCGCAGCGCCACATGCACTCTCGAGGTGGTAAGGGGAGCACAAAGAGTAGTAGCTCCAACAGCATTGATGCCGGCTATGCCCAAGTTCTCAGTAGCACGCGGTGGGCTTCCGGCTTCGGTGGCAGATCCTCGAGCTTCGACTATGGTCAACGCCCACCGGCCTTGCAGGCCACACAACATCAAGCTCAAGCAAACGGAGGAGCTCCATGGCACATTGAGTTCTCCAACACCTTTTTTACCGACGACTACGATGCCGCGCCGACGCCTACGGTGCCTGGCGGACCCCGACGCATGATGCCGCCCATGACCCCCCCTGCCGCGACCATCCCACAACCGCCAATGGCCGCATCCACGCCCGCAGCCGCACATGCACCGTCGACTGTGGCTGTGGAGCCAGCCGAACCGCCGCCCATTGTCCTCGAACGCAAACGGTCGAGTCGGTCCGCTAAAAGCACATCAACATCCCGCAGAGCAGACAACAACAAGTCGTCCAGCACTCCACGAGAGGAAGTGCCCCCAATGCCTTCAGCTGCGCCAATATCGTCGCCAGCAACCGCACCCGTCACGGCATTCGAGTCTGAGTCGTCGGCACCCGCGCCACACGTGGGCTACGGCAAGACAAAAGAGCCCGTGCACGCAGCTCCGATTCCGACACAAGCACCGTCGCAGCAAACAAAAGAAAAACCGGGGTTTTTCAGGCGAGTCTTCGGCTCGTCTAGAAGCAATGCCTCCAACAACCCGCCCGAGACGCAAAATTCCACAGGCATAACGTCGTCAACATCTGTGGATTCTGTTGATCAGAGGTCCGGGAACCGTTCCCTACACGTTGCCAACCAGATGAAGCCATCCGCCCCCGCCCCGCCCTCGAGGGATACATCTTCATCCCATTCTCATCATCACGTGCTGCAAAAGAAACCGAGCTCCTTCTTTCGTCGCAGAAAGAAGTCTGTGTCCGCCGATGAGGTCCCTCCTGTGCCAGCTACTGTCACTCTCGAGCCTCCAATGCCCCCCTTGGTGGCCCCGATCCAATTGCCCATTTCCAAGGACAAGCTTTCTGCGAAACCAGAGCCCAGCCCAATCAGCAGTCTTCGTAGGGTTATGAACCCATACCTTAAAGGCAGCCCGGTGACGCCAAATACGCCCTTGACACCCCAATCTGCTCCCGTGCAACCTACCTACTCCGAAATGGCCTCCGATCCCGCTCCAGTTTCGAACGGTGAGAGAGCCGACGAACAACCGCGATCCTTCTCCCCCGAGTACGACCCGAGTCCCAATGCACGGATAAGAGAGGTCCGCCCAGGATCTCGTGGTGATGACGATGATTATCACCCAGAGCATGAACGCCGAACCGACACGCCCACTAGACCGCCCCCAGAGCCTCCCATATCGTCTGAAAAGCGAAACAATTCCTTCCTCGATATTGATGGCAGTGACAATGAGGCAGACACCGAGTCGAAGCGAGGCAAGACAAGGAAAGATAGGAGCCACAGATCTGGCAAGACGAGCAAAGAACCGTCACCGTCACGGAAGGCGGCTTCAGACCGAAAGGATGATACCATCAGAGGCAGGAAGAACAACAGACTCGCAGTCGCTCCAGCAGATTCGGATGATGAAGGCAATAAATCAACACTAATCTTGCCAATGGAGGGTACTAGGTCTGCCAGCCGAGCGTCAGGGTCGACCACCACCGAGTACAAGTCTGCAATGAGCGGCACCCCCAGCGTCCGAGTCGAAACCACAGAGAACAGCCCCAAGGTCCTCGGCACATTTGAGGCCATGAGCACCAAGCCTCTGGACGAGCCCGACTTCGTCGTTGGAGATCCAACGGAAGACGATCGCCAAAAGGCCCAAAAGATCTTTGATGGTAACGAGGACTTCATCCAGAAGGAGAAAGCCGCTGCATGGATGGGCGAAGAAGGTCCCGTCCGGCAGAGGACCTTGCAAGCTTACATGGATCTGTATGACTTTGCCGACAAGAGCATTTTGCAGAGTCTCCGCTTGATCTGCGAGCGCCTCGTCTTCAGGGCAGAGACACAGCAGGTTGACCGTATCTTGGTTGCCTTTTCCAAGCGTTGGTGTGATTGCAACACCAACCATGGATTCAAGGCTTCCGGTATGTTGCCACCGTCACCCCCAACTGAAAAGAGCCCAAGCTAACATGTTACAGACGTCATTCACACAATCTGCTACTCAATCATGCTGCTCAACACTGATTTGCACCTGGCTGACATCGAGCACAAGATGACGCGGAGTCAGTTCGTCAAGAATACCATGACTACAATCACTCAGGCGGTGATTGAAGCGGCCCCTGATGCATTTGAACGGCCGACTATTCTACCGGGTAAATCCAATAGCGCTCTTGGAGGCGACGATTCCAGACCGTCGATCGAAGAGCGTTTCGTTTCGCGCCGACTATCGTTCCGACCGCCGCCGAGAAACGAGGGAGACGGGTCCGGAGACCACTGCCACGACGAATGCGGGCCTTTGGTCAAGTCGCCGTTTGACGGTTCGATGCGATCCTGGGAAAGCCAGGTCGAAGTCGTCCTCAAGGACATTTACGCCTCGATCCGCGACGAACGATTGCCCCTCTTCGGCGCCGATCCGTCCAAGAACCTGGCGCCCAACACCCAGAGCGGCCTCTCTGTCATTGGTATGCTGAAGCGAACGCCTAGCGTTCTGAGTAAGGCCCCGTCTGAGAGTCAGGCATCTATGCGTGGGCGCATAGCTGAAAATGGCCGTGCCAATTCTTCCAGATGGAATTCGAAGAGCAGGTCACGACCTCGTATGGGCAATCCGGGCTTCTCTTCGTCGCGAACGAGCTTCGAGGACGGAAATTCAATTTGGAGCCCTACAATATCGTCGGCAACGTGGAGTAAGCTCTCGCTGGGCCGAACGCAAACATCGATGTCTGTGGATTCGCTCAGCTCGTCATTCCGTGGAGGCGACTATCAACAGTCCATCGGATTTGCCAACGCCCTTAGCCAGGCCGTCATCCGTGATGATGAATCCGGTCTCGGGAAGGAGCCGTCCATCATGAGCGACGAATTCAAACCCGCCCAATTACTCGAAGACGAATCCCTAGAGCTCGCCGGACCTCCTTGGGTAAAGGAAGGTATGGTAATTCACAAGCACCACCTTGATGGTATTGAGAAGAAAGCCAAGGACCGTCACTGGAACGAGGTCTTTGCCGTCATCCAAAGAGGCCAAATGAGTATCTTTTCCTTTGGCACTAACAAGACGGGACGCAAGGGCCGCGGTCGCAACGCAACCAAGGGTCCGGCCATTGTGGGAGGCGGCAACTGGCAGGAAAATGCTACTAACCTGGGCACCTTCAGCCTGCGACAGACTCTAGCATCTACACTGCCACCGCCTGGTTACTCGAGAGCTCGCCCTCACGTCTGGGCCCTCAGCTTACCCACGGGTGCAGTTCACCTGTTCCAAGTCGGAACCCCCGAGATTAGCAAGGAATTCGTCACCACGGCAAACTACTGGAGTGCGCGCTTGAGCACCCATCCTCTGGTCGGCGGCATCAGCAACATCGAGTACGGGTGGAGTGACGCCATTATTAACAACGCACTTGTAACGGCTATCAACGAACAAACCGTGGGACCGGCGACTGGGCGCCAGCGTTCTAACTCACGTCCAGGAAGCAGTGCTGCCGGAAACCCTCGACCTAGCATGTCGAGCTTCCGCTCAGCTGCTTCATTGGACCACGGTTCCGGAGGCCCTTACAGCTCAGCCAGCCGTGGTAACAAATTGCCTGGTGACAGGATTCATGTTGCTGAATGGGCACCTCCGACGCAGAGCATGCGGCCCAGCAACCTGCCCGAAGAAGAGCAGCTCGAAAGTCTTCTTGCCTATGTCAAGGGCATCGAAGACGAACTTCAGACGCACAACCAGCTTCGCAGCCCGATGCTGCTCGCCTTTACACCCCGCGGCAACAACGCCGTTCGCGCCATGGCAAACTGGGAGCGCAAAAGTGCCTATCTTCTCCGGGAGATTGTCAAGTTCAGGACATATGTCGACTGCTTGCAACAGGCGGAAGCGCGCAAGACTGAAATTTACGGAGAGAGAGATTTGGCTCGCAGAGCCGCGAGGGGAGAACTGGATGAGGGAGAAATTGAATTCGACGTCGAACGAGACACGCCGATCAGGACTTAGATGGACTTGATGCATACACTATGCTACGGAGAACGAAGACGGAGGTGTTTGGCGGGGAAAACATGAAGCGGTTCACGCGCGCGCAGAGCCGAGCCCACGACGATATGACCACATTGGACTCTAGGAGTTTGAGTTTGGGTGGGCGGGCGTCTTTTGGGTGTTGGTTTTTGGCACACATCATCTTTTGTTTTGTTTTCTTGACTTCTTTTTTATTTGTACAAACACAGTTTGATACCCAGACTTTTTTTGTCAACGAGCCCGCTTCTGCAGCGTTCTCTATCGTCTTACGGTGGGGAGCCGTCAGGAGGGGGCGTTTTTTTTTTTTTTTTTCCCTTTGCCTCGATTAGTTTACGGTGGCTTCGGGTCCTTCCGTCTAGGAGATGTGTCTTTGCCTTGATAATAGACAGGGGGTCACATCATGCGTTTAGATGATACGGCGGGTCTCGCTGAGCGAGGGGGGGGGGGGGGGGGGTTTGCAAAACACACACGCATGGTCTTCTTACTCGCATTGGGTGGGATGGGGCTCGTCCTGATTAATGAGGTGTAAATAGTAATACGGAGCAGAAAAGGATAAAGGCAAAAAATAAACGGGGAAATATCTTTGGCTTTGAGCTGTTCTCTGATCTACGATGTGTTTTTGTGGTGTGGTGAGTTGAGGGTTCTGGGCGAGGGGCCGGGTGGTGTGGTTGGAGTCGGCCCCTCACTTCGACTCCTCACTGCGGCGCCGCGTCTGGACCCCACAGGTTGACGAGCCGACCCATGTTGAGCCGCTTCGGGGCCGTTAAGGAGAAAAAGTTGTTTCCCCGAGATCATCTCGACGCATCGGGGGGGGGGGGGGGGGGTTCTTGGTTTAAAACCGGCCCACCCGAGGAATCCGAATGAGAAGTCTCAGAAGCATCGACAGTTTTAAACAACATCGGGGATTAATTGGCTGATACTACTTTTGAGGACTCAGCACCGGCAACTTGCCTCAGACAAAGGTGAGAATAGTGTCTACCAAGTAGTTAAATCATGGATGGTTTCTGAGATACAAAGGCCAAATTTTCAAGAGAAACATTACCAAGTTGTGCTAAGCCTTCATGAACACGCTCAAAGCATTTACCATGTCATCATCTAGTCCTCACCAAAACCACAACGATAATAAAGTCCCCGTTGAACTCTTTGGAATTGGTTCCATGCCAAATGAGTTACCTCCCATTGGCTGAGATGTTCCACCATCAAGCGAGCTGCTATCCCCGCCGGGCTGCGTGGGGCTCGGGAATGAACTGCTTTCTTTCTTCACGTCATCCACTCGGCATTCGGTATTTTACCCCCCCATTTTCTCTGATGTTGCTTGCTTGGACCTTCAACTACTTTACCTTTTGCGTGCTTCAACTACACTAGACTTCTTATACCTGGACTGAACCATTTGAAAGACTCACCGCCGTTTCGGGTATACTTCAATCCACTCTGAATTGGTTCCCTCATAAAGGTAGCTAAGCTGAGTCTCTAGTAAGTCCGCACCGGGAAAATCGCAGTCTTTCACGTGTCAACATCGGGCAAAGCTGACAAACATCTCCAGCTCGCGTTATCCAGACTCAACATGGACCCCTCACAAGGCGCCCAGTCACTGCCCCCGGAAGCGATTGCTCTCGCTGGGCGTATGTACGATGGCGCGCGGAAGGGGGATATCGCCATCTTCCAACAGGCCTTGCCGGCTGGTTTGCCTGCCAACATGACGAATGAGAAGGGCGATACACTGGTACTGCGATGCATCTGGAATCTTCGAAGTTCAACTACTAATAGTGCTCTTTTATGTAGCTCATGCTGGCTGCTTATCACGGGCACGCGGAACTGGTGAAGCTGCTCGTCCAGCACGGAGCTGATCCTAATCGGTTGAACGATAGGGGCCAAAGCCCTCTGGCTGGCGCGGTCTTCAAGCAGGAAGACGGAGTTATCGAGGTTGGTTGATATCCTGCTGTTATGCTCCTGCTCCCCCCTCCGCCGATAACGGCATGCCAGGCGGCGGGTCTCATTCTAGTTCTCAAGCAGGTCACGGTGCTCTGACACGTTCGAGTTAGGTTCTCCTCGAGGGCGGCGCTGATCCCGATTACGGCAATCCGAGCGCGTTGCAATGTGTGGCCATGTTCAAGCAAGAAGAGAAGTGGCAGACCAAATTTGAATCTGCACCAGGTCGGGGAAATGCTGCGCCAGAACCATGAGATCAGGAGATGCGATCATGCGGGAAACAGGAAGTTGACAGTAGTGTCTGCCTCAGCCAAACGCGTTCCACAAAGCTGGAGTAATACCCTTTGCAGTCGGACCGCAGTATCAACGGAGAAATAGTCTCTCAAAAAAGAAATGCACACATCGCCTGATATTATTTATCGACCAAGATAAATAAAGCCCTGTCTCTATGATGAAATCAGGCATGAGGTGGCGGGCTAGGCCGTCTAGCATTCTGCATAAAATTCGATGACTTGACAAGTTTTGATGTGTGGTTCTCAGTACCCCTGTATTTGATTGGAGCTGCCTTTGTCTTCCAAGGCGTGGAATATCTGCATATTCTTCATACTGGCGGTGGTGCCCCCTCATTGCCTTCCTCCGTTTCGAAAGGCTTCTGAGCGTAAACGACGTGACTATCAGACCTGTTAGACCCAATGATGACAACCGAGCGCAGCAGATAATAAGGACAACATACTGATCGAAAATAGCATGGAATGCGCCCTCTTTCAACTCCTTGCGAACTTTTGCAAGCAGGACCATAACTTCTTCCTTTGTCTGTCCCAAAAACCCGCAAAATATCTTCAACGTGAAGCCCTCCAGGCCATTGAGAAGCTGAATCAGATTCAGCATGCCGACATCGGCGTAATGGTCATTCTTTGCCCAGGGCCCAATTGGGGCCTTGAACTTTTCGTGCGTGACGTTTTGGAATCCGGCTTCCCTGGCCCAGCCTTCGAGCTGGGGGCCGGGGCGGGCGGTGCGGCCCATGGCCTCGCAGGCGTCAATGTACTGCTTGTTCCATTGGCGCGTAGCGTGCTCTTCTGTGTAGGTCCCGTCTTCTGAGTAGTAGAGTCCATCCATGTCCTGGATCTCGACCCAACCGCCAGTGTTGAGATTGCTAAGGGTTTCACAATCAGCTGATTTACCATCATTAAGGATTGTCCACTTTGGACCGTATCTCAGGCTACTTACTCATACATGTTCCTGATAAGTCGAGGCCAGTCTTGAATTGAGATGAGCATGTAGCGACAAAAGATGTAATCGTATTTGTGCTCGTTGATCCAAGGGCTCTCGACATCGTCAATTTCGAACTTCACATTCGCCGGGACCCTTTCTTGGTTAGTAGGATTCTTCCACGTAGGCCCAGACTTCTCTTACCATCCAGGCTGAATGGGACTCAAGTCGTTTCCGATGATCTGTTTGGCCATTCAGCATCATGTTGGGTAGTCGAACCGCTTGACAAGTTGGACAGACTGACTTCCGCGTTTCCGAAAATGTCGCCCATTTCCACCGACCCTGCGTCGGACCCAAGTCAGCACCGTCTTTCATCAAAGAGTCGAGGCATGATTCATTCTCACAGATTCCAGTGCCCGTCCCAATGTCCAAGACTCGATGAAGAGTTGCTTCTCTGAGGGGCGCTAGAAACAACCTGTTGCCGATTGACTTGACCATGAGTGCGTGGGCTACGTCCATGCGTTCCATTTCGAGCTGCATGAGTTAGAGGGGTTTGAGATTACAAATTTGGGCCTGATTTGAACAGACCTCATCGTTTGGAAAGGCATAGGCTAAGTTGACACATCGATTAGACCAATGAGCAAAGAGCAAACTCGAGAAACAGAAAACTTACATCCTGGTCGGAAAGCGTGATATCTTCGTCCATATTCGACCGGATAATTGACAACACTCGAAGATAGAGACGCGGAGTAGTTGGTTCTGTTTCGCATCTGATCAGCTCCAATCTGCACGCAAGAAAGGGGATCGAGCATACATTCTCTCATCAATGGTCGATCCATCAGTCTGATAGGGCCATCAGCTTGTTGTTTTACTTTTCTGGTCCGGGGAAGGGAGAGAGACAAACACTAGCTCCGTCATCACTCGCCTCGATAAGGGCGGCAACATTGGTTATTGGCGTTGCTGCAGCTTCTGGTGACGAGTTCTGAACGGCCAAGGAAGTTGTTGGCGGCGGTGTTGCGACGGGCTCAGACGTTGCGGTTGGTTCCGTCGTCTCGGCCGGGTCTGACGGGACGGTCGGTTCAGGCGTCGCGGCCGGCTCTGATGTGACAGCCGGCGAAGCAGTCGCGGCTAGAGGAGATGCCACAGTCTGAGCAGCTGCGTCGACACCAGCCACATTGGCCGGGGGAGTCACAGGTTGCGAGGAAGGCGAACCAGCCATGTCCCGTGTCCTAGTCACACTGTCACACAATTTGGGCCTGTTTCGCGGCGGAGATATGTTCCACCTGTGATGTAAAGAGACAAAGTAAGTGAACAAAGAAACGCCAGGGAGTCGATACAAGGGGTTCGCTCCCTTTTGAAGAGGGAAATCGAACTCGTCGGGAGCATCTTACCGCGTCGTGGTCATGGCGAGTATGTAAATCCGAACAAGGGTCTTGTTGGATGTTCCCACTTGTTGGTGCAAGCAAGATGTCGCCCAGCCGTACGGATGCAGGAGAAGAGTCTCCATTCGGTCTAGGGTATCCCCGGGCTTGCATGGACTCAAGGATCTTGATAGACTCCTTCACCAATCGATCGTTCCCGGGTCTGCCCTCCCCGTAGGCCGGCTGGTTGGAACTGCATACGCACCCCACGTCCGCCGCATCATCGGCCCAGCGATGCCCTTTACCCCTCTGTGCCAAGATGGGTGATTAAACGCGCTTTACTGTAAAAGATCAAAGGAGAAAATGCAGAAGATGGTTGAGCATGGGCTTTTGTTCCCATACACTCCTCACCAGGTAGTGATTCTAAGGAGGGAATCGGATACCACAGTTCCAATCACCTTGGGAATTGCAACCGAGATTTACAGTTTTGTACTGCAAGGGAGCGTGTTCTCTATCTTCGTATCAATTTCTCCAAGACTTCATCCAATATCTTGGTTGTTTGTTGTCAACACTTTCAAGGAAGGGCGGGTTTTACTGTTTCATCGGAGGAGGCTGCTGCAGCCTCCGCGAAACGAAGACCTTACAAATCGAATTACATTATCGAGTTCAAGTTGCTCTGTCGTCTTGCAACGCTCAAGTCACAAGGTTTGCTTTAAAGAAAAATACATCATATCAAGTTACAACATCTTGCAAAGACAATAAAACTAACGTCGACTTTCTAGTCTTTGTTCCCAGCAAGAGGCAACCACACTCAGGGATTTGAGGCTTGACCTGAAAATGTCGCTTGGAAGGCAGCATCGCAGACCAATAGATTTGGCTAGATCTCCTCGATTATATTGAATTTCAAGGGTCTCACAAAGCATTGTTGCGAGTTTCTGATACTGCGAAAAGGGCAGAATGCAGGTAGTTGCGCGGTACTTTTGGATCAGTTCCGTAGACTTTAGCCACATCATCAATTCTACACATTTTCCAAGCGCTGATTGAGTAGGTTTATGGTAGCTTGAACGTCGCTGGCCAGTTACAAGTACGCCGTCAAAATTAAGCCGCAATTTTGACTTGGGAGTCCTTCGGATGACTATTCTTCTGATGTGTCTGAAATTTGGGCTTTGGAACCCATTCGACACGTTGAAAGTTCGTACTTGGTAGTGATGGGATAACAAAACTATATGTAATAACAACACGGGGTAGCCTTTGGCCATGGCGCATACCCCATCGAATGCTCAAAGAAGAACGAGACTGTGTCTCTGCCGATGTTCTGAAAAGCGGCGCCATTCTCGGAGTAGACAAGATTCTTTACGGAAGGCTTACTTGATCGAATCTGTAATTCTTTGCAGCTGTCAAGTTTCAGTGTCAATTAGGATCGCATAACTTTAGTGGTGGCCCTAGGCACTAAGTATTACATCATTACTATGCAGCTGGTGTTACAGTATTGGCCCTTTATCAAAGCTATATATTCTTAGATATTCTTGGTCCAAGTAATGTAACGTTTCCAACTTAAGCGAAGCTCATGGAGTGATGACCGACTGCTCTTGGACCCAGTGGCGCAGTCTGGGGGGACTTGGACAAAGCACCAGGCAGCCGTGCAATGTTTCCCTAACCTCATCTCAGCCACAAGTCCATTTCAAAGCCATTCAAGCTGGTTCTCCTTGGCAGCAGTCTTAGCGGTTCCCCTCCTTCGTCTTGAGTACTTCCCCTAACACTTCCTGTGTGCACTTACAACTGGTCATTCCAGCTGGCCAAGGCGTACGGTGTAAACCCAGCCATATCATCAGCCTAATGGAAACAATAAAAAATCCACCTTGGTCATGGAACAACCCCTCGAATTGGCCGCCCAGGCAACATTCGAAGTTGACACAAGAAAGCGTCGCAAGCCGCGATGATCACCACGGGGCGCCGCAAGAATGTTTAAAAGTGTTCTAGCTAATCAGGAAAGCCACAAGCATCCGTAGTCTTAAAGTGTAAAGTTAAAAAGCCATCTGTGGCAGACGTCTTAGCCTTGGCTGAGGGCTCTTCCACGAATCATATAGCTTGGCGTGGTGGCTTCAAAGGTTATTTTGCCAACGTCGTCTAAAACTTCACTGCCCTTTTCGAATAACACGATAATTCATCGGTACTTGGTAAGAATCTCATAAAAAGACGAGACAGGCAATCAATATTATTCATGCTCATGAATCCAACGATAGTGTGGTACACATCTATGCGGATGCCTCAAAAGACCTCCCCAGTCGTTGTTCATAATTAGGCCATTGTTCCGCCCAAGTCATCTGAAGTCATTTCACAATTCTTAAGTATCTTTCTAGGCCCAACCCCCACGACCTTGTCTTCACTCAAGCTTCCACGTCATCCCTGTGTTGTCAAACCATTCTTCAATAGCTGTTATTGCCTCTTTGTACTCGACCATGACTGTTTTCTTGGGCGTGAATGGTGGAGGTTTGTCCCAGGCATGCTTCTCGGCCTTGACAACACGTGTGCTGACCCGGCGCCCGCGGGATCTTACTCTTTCCGCAAAGGCCTGTCCCTCCAATAGCAGCATGTCGTGCTCGCACATGCACAGGTGTACCGGTGGCAGGCGATCTATCATCTCATCTGTCATGAGACCAGGTGAGAGACGCGGATCACCACGTTCAGTCCTTGGTCTGGGAGGATATATGTACGACGCATCGAAAAGGTCAGTCATGCCCTTGGGAAGAGTCATTTCTGGCTTTCCACATGTCTTTCGCTTCTGGGGCCTAGTCATAGTCCAATCCAAGAGCGGGTAAAACAAGACTATACCGGAGATGTCGGGAACAGGTAGTTTGAACTTGTATCCCCACCGATTAGGGTCCTGGAGAATGTTCCAGCTGGCAAGCGCAAGTGTGCCTCCGGCCGAGAAACCCGACAGCACGACCTTGTTTGTGTCGATGCGGAATTCTTCGGCACGTGCGACGATCTGGAGAATAGAGTCGGCGGAGTCCTCCACCGGTGTGGGGAAGGGGTAGCCCGGAGCCAGGCGGTAGCTAACGGAGAAGACGACGGCATTGAGAGCCGTGGCAACGGCGCCAGCCCAGCGGGCATCGTCAGTGCCCTGTCCGAGGATGAACCCCCCACCGTGAAAGTTGATGACCGCAGGGATTTTGCCGGTGGGTTTGCTGGCGGAGGTGGTGGGAGGAAGATAAACATCGACCCTGATCTTCTCGTTACCGCTCCACTCCGAGAGGGTAGAGTCTAGCCAGATGACTCTATTCGCAGCAGGTGGGACGGGAGCGGACAGGTTCTGCAGGCCGAAGGCAAAAGCGGCCCCCGAGCGTAAGGCAACGGCGTTGGCCGTCAATCGCCATCGCGCGATATTTTCGAGTGGATTGTCGTACTCATCGTCGGAAGCGCCGGCTATGCTACTGGCGATGCTGCTGGCTACGCTATTGGCCTTGCTCGCGGCCTTGCTCTCAGCCTTTCGTTCTTTCCTACTGGCTCTACTGTCTTTGGAGACGATGGAAATGTTGGAAATGGTGCGAGTAAGCTTGCTCTGCAGCATCGGGAACGCGGACTGCGCGGAGCGCGTACGGGAGTCAGGAGGTTTAAACTAGTGGGTATTGGTAAGGCTGGCAGGCAACGAGGGGCGATCGGACATTCAAACGGACATTGGATCAAATGTCTCCAGGCTAGGTTGCAAGCGGTGAGAGGGTCAAGTAAACAGTGATGTGCCGGGTGTATCGGAACTGGTTCGATTGATAATAGGTCGAGAAGGATGGTACTGAGGGACGGAAGAGATGGAGGATGGGAGAGAATATGACAAATCAAGGATGCGGAAGGAATCTTCGGGATGCGTCGTCGAGCAAATGCTGGAAAGGTTGCAAAGACACGGCAAAGGAGTTCCGCTGGCGGGAAGCTAAGGATCCCGGGCGGGTGGGAGGAAAAGCATCAGGTGTCGTTGACGTTGAGGGAGGGTTTTCTTGGCAGCGGTGCCTTGCCTTGCCTGGCATGGTGTGTATGATGCAATGTAGATGTGGCTGGTGTGGCTCAGGTGAAGATCGATAGGTAGCTGTGGCTGATTTTGACGTCGTGGTGATGAAGTATCTTGGTGGCACGCGGTGAATATCAAGGTAGTGTCATTCATTGTACGCGTGTTAGGATGGTAAAGAGACATGCAGGCCTGAGACGAAAGCAAACAATCACATAGCAATAACATCAGCCGAGGCGACAGGCTGGTGTGCAACTCCAAGGCAGGGAAGGGAGGCCTCGAGATGGGATGTCATGATGAGAATGGCACCACCAAAGAATGAGTCAAGGTAGGTGCAGTTCAGTCAATCGCAGGAGGGAATGAGATGGCTAGTGAGGCGGTGATTTCCCACCAGGGAGGTGGTGCCGAGGGACTTTGACGTCATTTTTGGGCCTGTTTTGGGCCATTTTGGTACGGTGTGGGGCCGTCGTTTCCGGGATGCCGGAGCCAACTCACCATGGGCTCTACAGTAGACTTTAGAGTACGGAGTATCACTGTATTGTTTAGGTTGTCTTGTTTCCAGACGATACTAGAAGCCTGTCCAATGGAACCATCTTTTAGAAAATTATTACATCCTGGTCCGGCACTGTCCCCATGAATCGATGCCACGATGGTGACCCCGAATGTACCCATGTACGCGGGAAGGAGCGGACCTGCTTTTGGGACGATCCCGGAGCAAACGGTCCACGAATGGCCACGATATTGGAGGGGTGTGTCAGCCACGCAGAATCTCGGAGCCGATGTCCGTGACCTTGCCGGCTTCCATTTCTAACCAAATGTTCTTTTCCTTTCCCCAAGCTCCCTTCCTTGCCATGCCTTTAATTCAAAGCAGTGACAGTACTAGAGTCACCAGGCGAGGTACAACCAACATGTACGTATCGTCTGCTCCACAGCCAATGACGTCCCGCTGACACCACACGGCCGAAGCTTCCTCGAGGAAACAGAGCAAGCTTTGACGGAAATTGGAGCTTCAAGGGAAGAGACGGGACGATTCCTACGGGTCCACGCTCTTGCTCAACCTCGACCCACGGCCGGTCTAGGACCGCTCTTGTCCGATACGATGCGAAGCGATCGATGGCCTGGCACCTGCACCTTCACCTGCACACATGCACTTGCAGTGTCAGGCGTCTTGTTTTCGGCAAACTTTTCTGTTCTTTCCTTCTGCTCGTGGACCCTCGTGCCCATCATAGTCTACTTTTCTCGTTCGTCCGTCTGTGTACACCAAGTGGAGGACAGCTACAAAGGCAAGCACACAAGGTACCAAGTGGTACTCGAGACAATAGCTACTTGGCGAGTACAGAGTACAGGGTCAAGATACCCTGATTCTCTGTTTCTCATGACCAGTTCCTGACGCTCCTTTCTTCCCTTGCCTGCCAGCCCAGACGCAATGTCACTTAGTCTGCATCATCCACGCCCTGCCACGATGCCGTGTAAGCGTCTTGGGCCACCTATTGCGCGGTCGGTCCCTACCTTCAGAGCCAAGCCAAGTCGTAGGGCAGCTCCACGCATCTCTTGAGGCTCGGCCTCCCTGCCCACTGCCTCTGCCAAGGTACCGGGTACACGTCGCCCAAAGTCTATCGAGTACACATGAGAAGCAACCTCGTGCCTGCCCATGCGGAGCTTGAACGCTCGACGGCCGCGATGAACCATGACCGATCCCGACTTTTGTGTCATGGTCCATCTTTTTTTTCCCTTCGGTCCCGTAGTCTAGTCCTGGTCACGTTCACGCCCTCGCAAACCTCCGCCCTTCCGCTGCCCGCTGCCCGCTGCCCGCCTGCGTTGTCTTATACCTTGCTTCCCGCACCCAGATACCCTGACATCTCCTTCCTGTCTCCAGCAGAAGCTGTTCTAGACCCAACGAATCTACTTGTTTTGACTAAGAAAAGACGTAACGCTTATTTTTGCGTAACCTCACACCAGCAAGGAAGCTCGTCGCACATAGAAGTCACCTCATCTGAACTTCGCCTCGACGACAACAAAACAAACACCATGACGGAACACGAAGATCCATGGCGTTCGTCGAGCACGCTCTCCCGCATAGCTCAGAGGTTCTCATTCCCCACCAAGACATCGCCCTCTCCGACACCGACCCAGACTAGAACGACTCTCTTCGAAAAGACACGAGCCTCGAGCTCCAATAGTCAATCGAGCAAGTCCAGCAAATCCAGCACCGGACGAAGCCCAGCAAGAAGCGGCGAGCTTAGGCGCCAGCAACGGGGGGAGAAGCTTCTTCGCCAAGAGGAGGAGAAACGCGAGCTCGAAGAGCGTCGTCGGATCGAATATGAACAAGCCCGCAGTGCCGAGGACGAAGAGACTCGGGCACGCTATGGCGATGGTGACGAAGGAGACTACCCGACCGAACTCACAACCATCGGCGAGGCAGTGAAGCTGGATATCAACACCAAGGTGACCTTCCGAGCGAGGATCCACACCCAGCGGAATATCTCGAAACACCTCGACTTCATCCTCTTCCGCGATCAGACCGATACGATCCAAGGCGTATTGGCACACACGACGCCCAACATGGTAAAATGGGTTCAGAGGCTGCATCCCGAATCCATTGTGCAGGTATCTGGCACTTTGAAGAAGCCCGTACAGGAAGTCAAGTCTGCGCACCACCACCATGTTGAGGTAGACGTCTACTCCATCCATCTTCTCAACCCAGCCAAGGCACCTCCTTTTACCAACTACCAACCACCAGAGAGCATGAACTTCAGATTAAACAATCGCATTCTCGACTTGAGACATCCAAGCAACCAAGCACTGTTCCGTGTACGAGCCATGATCACACGCAAGTTCCGAGAAACACTGGACAACAGCGGCTTCATCGAGATCCAAACCCCTAAGCTACAGCCGGCAGCCACCGAGAGCGGTGCCGAGGTGTTCAAGCTGAACTACTTTGGGCGACGCGCATTCTTGGCACAAAGCCCCCAGTTGGCAAAGCAAATGGCCATCTCCGCCGACTTTGGCAAGGTGTATGAAGTAAGTGAATTCATCCAGGTCCTGAAACTGACATGCACTTACACACTCAGGTTGGTCCCGTTTTCCGTGCTGAAAACTCCAATACGCATCGCCATCTGACTGAATACACCGGACTCGACATCGAGATGAAGATCCACAAACATTATCACGAGCTGATCAGAGTCATTGATCAAGTACTCAAGAACATCTTCACAGCCGTTCAGGCGATGCCCGAACTAAAAATCATCCGTGAGCGGTTCCCGAGCGAAGACCTGGTCTGGTTGGACGAGACCCCCATCATCCCGTTCCCCGAAGGATTGCAGATGCTCCGTGATGACGGCCACGATGTGGCCGAGGAAGACCTTTCCACACCGGATGAGATCCGACTAGGTGAACTGGTTAAGCAGAAGTACGGAACCGACTACTACATCCTGGACAAGTTCCCTGCGAACGCTCGCCCATTCTACACACACAAGGCAGACGACCCGTTCTGGACCAATTCCTTCGACATCTTCATTCGAGGGCAAGAAATCTGCACCGGAGGCCAACGTATCAACGACCCCAGGGAGCTGCGCAAGAACATGGCCGACAAGGGTATGTCGGAAGAGGAAATGGCCGAGTACCTGCAAGCTTTTGACCTTGGTGCACCCCCGCATGGTGGTGCCGGTCTTGGTCTGGATCGTGTGGTGTTCCTTCTCCTGAACCTAGGAGATGTACGATACGGCACTCTCTTTTACCGCGACCCGAAGTCGTTGCCCCAGCGATCGTTCACTTTGCCTCACCCGAATGCTGACACCACCAAGGCCTGGGCAGGCAAGGAGATGCCACGGCTGGAAGAACTCATTGCCAACTACGGCGATGCCAGCAACACTTCGTGGCTTGATGAACGATTCGAACTCTGGCGACACAGCAGTGGAGCCGCGGTCGGCTACGTCAAGCGAGGCAAGTTTGCCATGATCACTGGAGACCCTCTCTGCGACCGTGGTCAATACGAGGCAGTTATCCCAGCTTTCATTGATTTTGTCAAAGACGAGCTGAAGTTGACACCTGTATGGATGCTGGTGTCCAACAAAGTTCAGGAAATCCTGGGGCGCCGCATCGGCTGGCGAACCATGAGCTGCACCGTAGAGCAGCGGGCTGACGCCGATCAGCATACCACGCCTGACGGCCGCGCCGCTCGCCGCGTTAAGAAGGAGGGCATCAAGGTCCACGAACTCAAGCCTGACGAAGACTTCATGCGGCGCGCCGACCAATCCATTGAAGCATGGAAGGAGAAGCGCAAGGGAAAGACGCAGGTACATCTCACAGAGATCCGTCCCTGGATCGACCAAGCTCATCGCCGCTACTTTGCCGCCGAAAGGGACGGCAAGGTCCTGTGCATGGTGGTGCTCGCGCAGCTGGCACCCCGGTACGGATGGCAGGTTAAATGGGCGCTCGACTTCCCCGACGCCCCCAATGGCACGATTGAAGTTCTCGTCGAGCACGCCCTCTCGGCCATCTCAGGCCCTGTCACCTTTGGCGCCGGCGTCAGCGAAAAGTTCATTCCGGGTGAACATCTGCATGGCGTGAGGGCCAAGTTCCTAAGCAAGACCTATGCCGGCATCGTTAAGAGTCTGGGTCTCGGCAAGAAGGCCGAATTCAGGGACAAGTTTGGAGTCTTGGGCGAGCAGGTGTACCTCTGCTACCCGCGCCGCGGCGTCAGTCTCTTTGATCTCAAGCAGGTCGTCAAGTTCTTCATGGATGAAGATGAGGCCAAGGTTTGAGCCAGTTGAGATGGTGGACGACAGTAGGAGTTGGGAAGCATGGAGTTGAGTTCGCGATATTACATGCATGGCGCTTGGCTTTTTTTTCCTTTTTCTGCATTACCGTTACGATACCTTTGCGATTACGCCGTTTTTGGATTCTTCCATTATTCTGTTTAGGCTCGTTTTTCGATACCAGCGCAGACTCGCATTCAGTGTTTCTCGCATGTCATAGCACGCGTCGGAAACGGTTCTTACTTCACAGCACTATCCGTATATCCCCATGGCATTATCCCGTAGCAGAAAGAAAACCCACAGACATATTCATACCTCTAAAACGATTTCCTGTGAGATTTGCATAAAAAGTATAAGTCCGACCTCGGAGGGTCCGGAAACGTTGAGAAATTACCGTAAGTGACCGACCTTGGATGCACGTTCCGAGGTTGAGCGTTGGTCGCTGTGCAGTGTGGCGTCCTTTCATCCGTCTCACATACTGCATTGCATCGCATACATCACACCGGCCGGCAAAGTCTGGTACGTAGGTTCGGAAGGCAAGATGAGGGAAGTTTAACCCCAATTTACTACATTTGGTAGAGACTTGAATAAAGTATGAAGCAAGATTCTCGTCTCTCTGGGGGAACACGGGGATGCCTCTCAGGGGGGCTACTGTGATCCATCTCAGTTCTTCCAATTCGAGAAGGGGAGACAAACGCAATGCGAACGGCAGTGTAGACAAAAGGTCACAAAAGAATTGAATGCGGCAATCGTGGCTCATGAGTTCATGACTGTTGTCATAGCAGTACAATTGGAATATCGTACACACATCTACTCCCTGCCGCTGTTCGTCGTCCGTAGGCAGGACCGTCTCGTCGACTGTGAAAAGCAATACCGGGACGCGGAAGCCCCCCCCCCAAAAAAAAAGAGGATTGCAGACCAAATTCCAGACGAGACCAAGATAAGAAAAACGTGACTAGCTAGCTAGATGCCACGAAAACTCCTGGGAATCAGTTTATCCTGGATCCATTACTCTCTCTCTCTCTCTCTCTCTCTCTTTCTCTCTCTCCACCTGCCAAACTGCGGGCTAAAAGATTGGCGAAATTGCTAAAACAATAGATTCTGACAAGAGGGGATGGGAATCTCAATGAGTGACTGATTCATGCTGTGATTCCCGTTTGGGAAGATACGGCCTGCGTGTCATGGAGCCGGCACGAGAATGATGGTGTCTAGTTCAAAGACGGGGGATTGAGGTTCCTCAGCGCGTCCAAGGACGACTTGGCAACCTCCTTCTCGAGCTTATCCCAGCACTCGGGGTGTCCAAGGGCCGAGATCCAGTAGTTGCCCTGGAGATCTTTTCCGAGGATGGTGAACACATTGCGAGAGAGGATGCTGCGCGTCCGGGCCAGAGAGTGGTGGTAAGCGATCTTACCGGGTGGAGGGCGGTTGAGCACTTCCGCAATGGTAGCATTGGCGCTGTTCTTTTCTGGGTCGCTGCTAGTAGTGTGTCCGTTGGTTTGGATGTCACCGTTGACTGTGACCGGTTCGGAGATGCGCGGCATCACAGCAGGGGAAAAGTCGATGCAGTCAAAGAACTTGCATCGCGCCCAATTGGTAAAGATGATGAGCATGCTGTTCGGATCTCCATAGATGGGTTGGGAACTGCACCGACCTCCAGCACGGAGACGGCGCATGAAAGCCATGATCTGAGAAGGCGTGGTCTGGGTCTGAATATCGTGACGAAAGCAGCGAGCGACGTATCCGAGGGGGGCTTTGAGGACTTCGGCAGAGCTGAGGAGGGTCCAGGTTCCGAGGGCGAAGTTTTGAACATACAGCTTTCCGGGGGCGAAGACAGACTTGAGGCGGCCGGTAATATCCACAGCGTTGAGAACAGTAACAGGTCGGTTGGATCCACGAGCGAGGCAGACAAGACGGGTCCACCATGCCGTGAGGACATCGCCTTCACTGACGAAAGGCGCCTCTTCGGTCCCGAGTCCCTTCTCGTCCATCGCATGCAGGTCTGCCATGGCGCGGGCACGGAGGCCGGCGACAAAATCGGCAGGCAGGCAGAGAACCTTGGAATCGATTTTCGGGCGACGGTACATGTCCCAAAAGAATCGCAAGCTGAATCTGAAGTGGCGGAAACCCTTGAGCTGTCTCTGATCAAGCAAGTATGCCTCTTTTTCGGGATCAGTGTCAACGCCGACGTCGTCAAGGATGTCCTTATGAGCACCGTAGATAACAGGAACTTCTGCCTCGTGACCGGCCAGGACTTGCGACCAGGCCTGCACCAAGGCTTGCATACCTGCGGCGCCGAACATAACATGTGAGAAGAGTAGGCCGACGAGGGTTGCATCGTTGAAGGAAACGACGTGGAGGGCGATCTGGGGTTCATCGGAGCACATGAGGTCTTCGAGCGTCTTGGGGGCATCTTGACGGGCGCCGAGATTGTAGAAGTTGATGACACCAGGCTGGATGGACGGGGTAGAGGTGGTAGTTGGGAGGTGCTTGGCAACGTTATGGTCCTTGATGCTGAAGTCGTGCACGTCGTGAGAAAAGCGAATGGCAGGACGGGCAGGTGTAAACTGCTTCGGGACATGGAGCTCAAGTTGGTTATCGGGCTGAATGGTTTTCGCATTAGCAAGAGTCCTTTCGGGTGTGAAGTTCAAGTGGTCAAGGTGCATTTTTCTCTACCCAAGGGGCCACTCACTCTCATCCTCATGCGACCGCCAAATTTCCTCCAGTCTCCAATCTCGATCAACCGAGAAAGAGAAGTATTGAGCTTCTCTGCATCGAGGACATCGTCAAACCGAAGCGTCCAGTTTAGAAGCATCTCACGAAAAGGCTTTGTGTCGTCAAAGAAGTGAACCGGGTAGACATCGTCCGTGGCCACCGTTGGCAGCTGGGTACGCTTGGGCTTGCGGCCGACAAAAGAGCGCATATAATCCATGATGATTAGAGAAGGATGAAGATGTGAGCGGTGTCGTTGTTGGCTGCCAAGAGCTCAGACAAGACTTCCAGCCGCAGACCAAGACAAGACCAGGGAAAGGGATCAATCCAAACGTTGAACAGAAATCCAAATGACTGGCGTCACAAGCCTGCGAGCCGAGTTGTAGGACGCCGGCTTATATGGCATAACAGATGCCATCCGTCTTGACCGGAATTTTGAGCCCAAGTCCATGGCAGCTTCCAAGGCGTCTCTGCGTCTGTACGGAGGTTTCCCGTAGGTTTGAAGCAGGGTCTGAGCAGACCGTTGGTCAAATGGTTCATTGCGTTGTGCAGATGCTGCAGCACCGAGAAACAGGCTTTGTCGAGAGAGTGTGTGCGTTTCGTACAGAAGCCGAGCGAGATCGTGCCCCCTTGAAGTATAACACTTGCAGCCGTTCCACCTTCAAGGCTGGGCTATGTTGACTACCCCATCCGTTCTCTGCTTGGCGGGGAGAACAAAGCTAGCGAAACTGTTGGCCCTAGCCTCTAAGCTTGTTATAATCTTGCATTTTGATGGGGATCCCTGTCTGTGGTGTGCATCGCGTGTTACGAGATAGGTTGACAAAAGTGAACCAACCCCGGAAAGTAAGGTAAACCGTAGTGGAGGGAGACTTTGTTATCGCGGGCGGAGGATGGATGCTCAGAGTGGAGCATAGTAGCACGGAGCCGGCCGGAGTTGGCTATCGATGCATCCCGCATAGTTCCCCGCATTTGGAATTAAAGGTAGCTGGATTGCTTACCACCCCAATAAAAGGTAAAAGGCACGCCGCGAACATCCTTTTCTTGCTAGGTGGCTTTTGAACCGACGAAACTCTGAAGTGACAGCCGCACAAGAGACAAGATGACAGGCCAGCCATACAACCTCTGGGTGGGAGGCCAGGAGAAGCCGGGTCATGCAGAGCAGTTCGTGACCATTTCTTCCTTTTCTTCCCCTTTCGAAGCTTCCCAGTACCCCGCGCGAGGGGCTGCAGGGCGCTTATCTGTGCTCGAGCTCATGCTCATGCTCATGCTCACACGCGTATGCTGATGCTCGACTCTCACACGCCAACAGGATCCCGGTCGAAGACCCCGCGACAGGTGAGATCTTTGCCAAGTAAGTTCTCAGCCCTCAGCCTCGACTTCGATGCCCGTCCGCAATTATTTCCCACACGGGTGAGACTGACTGGCGTCCGAATGCGTGCAGCTGTCACGCAGCGTCCCTGGAAGACGTTGAAGAAACGATTCGTCTGGCGCACGAAACCTTCAAGGCCGGAACGTGGTCTAGAGCACCTCGTCATCTTCGTGCCGATGTTCTCGACAAGACGGCTGAGCTGCTTACCGCAGAGCTGCCCCCGCTGATTCCTCTTGAGGTGCGCCAGACCGGACGCGCGATACGCGAGATGCGCGCCCAGGTGCCCACGTTGGTCAAGTGGTTTAAATACTATGCCGCCTTGCTGCGCACCGAAGAGCGTGCGGTACTGCCAACCGTGGGCAAGCTGCACAACTGGATCGACCGTGTACCGCTGGGTGTCGTGGTGCAGATCACGCCTTTCAACCACCCGCTCCTGATTGCTGTCAAGAAGATAGCGCCCGCCCTTGCAGCGGGAAACAGCGTTGTGGTGAAGCCGAGCGAGCTGACACCGCTCACGACGCTTTTGTTGGGCAAGATCCTGCAGAAGGCTGGTGTGCCTGACGGAGTGTTCCACGTGCTTCCTGGATACGGCGCAACCACTGGCAAGGCCCTCGTCGAACATCGGCTTGTTCGCAAAGTCGACGTCACTGGCGGAACCGTGGCTGGGAGAGCGATTGGCTCGATTGTCGGCGGCAATCTGGCGCGGTACACGGCGGAACTGGGAGGCAAAGCGCCGCTGATCGTCTTTGATCAGGCCGATGTGGATGTTGCAGTCAATGGCATCGCATTCGGGTCCTTCATTGCTAGCGGACAAACATGCGTGGCCAGCACCAGAATTCTCGTCCAGGAAGGGATCATGCAGCCAGTGTTGGAGAAACTCAGAGCCAAGGCCGAATCCATCGTCCGGCGGATGGGCTCACCGAGCAATCAGGAATCCATGATGGGCCCGCTGGTGTCGGCGAAGCAATTGTCAAACGTAGAGGCGCTTGTGAATGAAGCGCTTGCTGCAGAGGGCGCAGCCTTCACTGGTGGCCGTCGCATGTCTGGAACCAGTAGCCTGGATGGCATCGACTTTGCCAAGGGATACTACTATGAACCGACGATTCTGGTGTCTCGTGCCGAGGGCGACATCCTCAAGTCGCGCATCTGGCGGGAGGAAGCGTTTGGGCCGGTGATTGTGGTGGTGCCGTTCAAGACGGAATCAGAGGCCATCGCACTCGCCAACGACAGTGAATTCGGGTTAGGAGCGGGCATCTGGACGCGGGACGTGGCGCAAGCGTTTCGAGTGTCTGAAGAAATCGATGCAGGCATCGTGTGGGTGAATACGCACCATCGAAACGATCCCAGCAGTCCGTGGGGTGGCGCAACGAGCGCGAGCGGTGTTGGCAGCGAGAACGGTATTGATGCATACCAGGCCTACACGACAACCAAGAGCACAATCATTAGCTATGCGAGCCCAGAGGAGGCGCTGGCGGCAGACGACTGGTTCCGCGAGGGCGCCGGTGATGTGCGATACGGATAGACGGACCCTCGATAAGTAGACCCTCAATAGAAGGAGTGTCGCCCATGGATCAATTGACCAATGCCAGCTATTGAGTTGCGAATAAGAGAATGAGTGCGTGAGAAGATGAGAGAGACGATGTTCCTCTCATGTTCGGGGATGAATTGCTCGTTTCAGCGAACGAGAACCCGTCAGTGCGTGGTCGCTTGTCATATTCCCGCGGCATGCAGGCCGAAAAATCCGTCATTTGCGTCTCGGACCGCAGGTGCAAGCGAGGTGTTGGAACGAGTCAACGAAGAAGATGGTCTGGCTCGGATGGAACCTACTGTGAGGTGATTGGGAACAAAAATATGTAAAAGGAAAGAAAGCCAGTTGATCGAATGCTAAGATATTGTCAGAAACGGCAAAAGAAATGAGGTCCATCCAGGATTCGAACCTGGGCCTACGGAAGGTTCCGAGAATCAGAATCCGACGTCCTAACCAACTAGACTAATAGACCAGTTGCTGAAAATTTTGCAGGGCCTGGTCGTCCTTGACGCATCGCGCGGTTTGCCTCGGTGGTGCTGTCTGACGGCAACCGGCCGATTAGGGCGCGATTTCGATGTTGCTGTGTCGCCCTTCAAGCAACCATCCATTGTGCAGCTCAAAGTTGCGGAAGAGACGGATGAGCACCGAGATGAGGTGGGCGTTGATTGGGTGTATTGGATTGGATCGAGTTTGACGCAAGGTGTCCAAAGTTTACCATGCAAAAGTCCGAAGGTTGATGGGATCTTCCATGCCGTTACCCGTGTCGCTACCCACGGCCAGAAGGCATTGTACCTAAACGGGGCGGTCGCAAAGAGTGATTGGCTCGTCTTCTTGGGTTCGACATTGGCAAGCTTCGTCAACGGCCGTCCAAGTGTTGGTTCTGTCGCCGTTTCTGTCTCGTCGTAGGTGATCTTTTCGTTCTGGAATGTCTGATGCTCGTCCGGCTGGATCCTGGGTTGAGGTAGATGGGAAAGGAGGAAAGGAAACCAGCCCGTAGTCTCCTTCTCCTTCTCCTTGTCTTAGGTAATGCACTTTCTTCAATTTGGACCTATGTATTTCGCACCTGCCTCACTTAAATGCTCCGTACTTGCCTCGATAGTTAGATCCATCCGCATGACATCATCTGAACGCCATCCACTCAATTGCCGCCTGCACCACCAGTAACAGCAGGAAGGTGTGGTCCAGAGCTTATTCAGGAAAAGGAAAGCACTCATATCAGACCATTCGGAAGGGAAGGAACCTTACATTCTCACCTTCTCTCTCCCTTCAATTGGACGAGAACAGCTGGCTTCCTGTCGCGAATTCTCTTTCCCTGACCTTTGCCCCATTGAGACATCCAATCGTAGCCGCCGCATTGGCATCAGCATCGACGTCGGGTTCAACGCTTCTACCACCTGCTTTACATCTCCTCACACCTTGCCTTGCCGCAACTTATCTTTCTCAAAGCAAGGAGCACCTTGGAGTCAGCCCTGCTTTCAGCATTGAAAACCATTGCTCCAAGCTTCCGTTCACGTCGCCGACGACCGGCCGTGTCTCACAGACTTTTCACTTGCCAGTCTCGACCAGCATTGAATCAATCTCAAGCCAAACATGTCGCGTCCGAAACAGCACATCGTCTTTCTAACGGGACCTACGGGAACGGGAAAGACGACGATAGCAAAGTACCTGACAAACTCATTACACATGACCTTTATCGAAGGCGACGAGGTCTGTGCCCCTCCTCCCCCAGATGAACCAGCAACTATACGTATGCCAACAAACGCATTGACACTGACACACATTCCCGCCCTCGTCCACAGTACCACCCAAAAGAAAATGTAGAAAAAATGCACAGAGGCGAAGCCCTCACCGACGACGACCGCTGGGGCTGGCTTGACGTCCTCCGCGACGAGGCCCTCAAGGAACTGGAGCGGGACCACCAGGGTGTCATCGTCACCTGTTCCGCTCTCAAGCGCGCCTACCGTGACGTCCTGCGCGGCGCCTCGCACCCGGAAAAGGATATATTCGTCCACTTTGTCACGCTGCACGCGCCCGAAGAGGTTCTTTTCGATCGTGTCAAGAACCGGCACGGTCATTTTGCTGGGTCCAACTTGGTGCACAGCCAATTCCAGAGCCTGGACCCACCGCAGGCGGACGAGCTCGACGTCGTTGGCATCGATGTGCGGCCGCCTGTGGATGAAGTGAAGAGGGGTGCGTTGGAGAAGTTGAAGGGTTTGCTGAGTAGGTGAAGATCGTTGTCACTACAAGGCAAGCACAGCACAGCGAACCGCACAGTCTCTGAGGGACACCGATTTATATACATATATATATACATAATACTTGGAGAGTCATCTGCCTTGGGATCTGGCTGATCTCCTTCAGAAAATACAACCCGAAAAGGGATGGCGAAAAGACTCGCGAATAGTCTGAATCCAGTTGTCACTCCTCTTCCAAGCAGCAAACCCCCTTACTCGGCCCAACAAAGCTTTCAGGCATCTAACAAACCATATGAAGCAGAAATCGCAATGCTCAGTCTAGTCAGAGTAGCTCATGACCTCAGCCTAGAAATCAACGTTAACAAGTTCACTTTCTTTTCCCCATATTGACACTGGAAACCTACTAGGTACATCGCTCCCATCGCTCGCAAGTTCAACCAAGAGAGTCAGTGGGGGTCGTGAGCTCAAACGAGCGATTGAAGCCAGACTACAGGGGCGTATTCAATATCCCAGTAAAACCCTCCTCCTCCACCTCCTGCCTCTCCTGAGACTCCCGCTCAGCAATACGCGGCAAGCGATAAAACTGCGTGCCAGGCGGAACCGCAAGGCCATCGAATCGTACAGGAGGCGGATCCCTAGGAGCCGCGGGCTCGTCATACTCCCGCTCCCGCGCCGGAATGCGATGGCCGTGATACACCAGCCCCGGCGGCGAAGACGCATCCCCCACGGCGCGGTACCCGTTCCCGTGGACAGCGGAGGCGGAGGCGGCGTTACTCCCCGCCTCGGAAGGGCGAGTGCCCGGGAAATATCGTCGCAACGGGAACCGGGCCTCTTGCTCGCGAAAGTACTCTTCCCCGTGCGCTGGCGTATACCGCAGCGCGACGTCGTGCGGGAATAGAGTCCGCTCGTCGATGCGACGACGGGCCCAAGGAGGACCAAAGTTATAGTCGACTTCGCGGAGGATATCATCCACTCGCGGGGGCGGGACGGGGGAGTCCCATTCAAAGACGGGTGCTGGGCCGTGAGTGAGGCGAGGGAGGTGGATTCCGTCGCTTGTGAGGGCGTCTTCGGGTCTGCGCTGAGAGGCTGATGTCGCTTCTGGGAAGAAGAGGGGCCTGGGATATGGTGTCTCGTGGTGGTTTTGGACCGGTTGGGCTAGTTCCGGCGGCGGAGATTGGTGTCGTGCGACGGGGGCGATGTTTCCTTCGTCAGACTCAGTCTCGTCTTCCTCGAACTCGTTTTCCACCGGTCTAGGCCGATAATTCGGCAAGGGGCCTTCTTGGCGGGGGAGATATGGTCGTGGTTGGGAGTACACGATCCGCCCCTCGGGAGCGGGATGCTGAGGGTGATGGTCCATTGTCTCTAGAAGAACAGGTGACTGTGCTTGTGATATTCACAGTTGAATAGGAAAGATGGAGGTAAGTACAAATTAGGAGAAGGATAGATGAGTGATGTCTGACTTACCATCAATCCAACTGGCTTAACGACGATATGTCTAGTAAACACTGTCCCTTTCTCCGATACAGTGAAGAGAGGAAAGGAAAAGCGTAGTAGCAACTACCATCAGACTATTCAAGGAGGATTGGAGATAGGGGTCCAGTTTGTGTCCACGACCTCAATGGTTCTTGAGCATTTTCTTCCGGTCCCGCGGGATCGTGAAAGTCAAATTGTCGAAGTCCCACAGATGAAGCCAGCCCAGCCACAGCTTGGCCGGCCATGATACCAAAGTCCTATAAATTTGCGGCTCAGAACACGGCACATCTATGGAGAAAGTTCCCATCCAGGTTGTCTACTTACCTTGGCCCACTCCACGATGTCTTCGTTCTAGCAATGTGTTTCAGTTGAGAGCATTCAATCCGGGTTAAGACTGTCAAGGTTTAAGAAGACCAGTGGATTTCCATCTCTGCCGTCCCGTCTTAGAGAAAAAAGGTAAAGTCCTAGACATATGGATGAATCCAAAAGGATTCAGAGGGTCGAGACACGAGAGTAGAACCTTTTAGAGTTCTCTACTCTAATCCGCTTCACCAGGCCAAAATGGATAAACATGGAGTAGTGTATGCCTATAGAAATACCGTCTACCTGACCGTAAGGGAAAACCCCCTAAACTTCACTGCGAAAGGACATGGAAACAGTTCATTGTTCATCAACTTAGAAAGGGGAATGCAATCAACACCCAAATCTATCCCATCAACCCCAATCCATGTCCTCCAAGCAACGGGGAAGGACAAATCGTGCTCTCCCAGCGCGAGCCCAATTTCCGTTTATACCGATCCCTCGACACCAGAAAAGTACGAAATGAAGAACCCCTCCTATCAAGGTAGTGAGTTATGAAAGCATTTTAGGGACCGAGATAGCCTCCCACTAGATGGGACACTACACAATTATAGGGACAGAGTTTCCGTCATTCTCTAGTAAAATGAAGACTTTTCTAACAAAAAGTAAGATGAAGCTCTTAATATCAGTACCTACACGTGACTTAACCACATGTGACTCCCGCTCGCTTAGTTGTAGCCGCAGTTGAATGTGACCAAGGTTATGTAAGTGGTGGGCAGCGGTGTAACGTTATCCGACATAGAGACATGCAAGAAGCCGACATCCGCCAAGACTCTTTCATTATACATCGGCACGGAATGGAAAGGGATTGAACAAGAAAGAATATAGTCAAAGTGGTATTATTAGTAGAGCAATCTATAAGCAAGCCTGGCTCCCAATGCCAATACGCCCCTGTCCCTTTTCATTATACATAATTACATACATACATGCCCGCCTTCCGAAACATATGCACAGATGGAAGAAGCAGGCAAAGCTGACCGATCGTAATGGCGATCCGATCACAGCATCATGGCAGCAAACAAAGCCGCGATACCGGCAACGAAGAAGCTGCTCTGCAAAGCGGAAGCAGCAGCGGGCGCCGGAGCGCTTGTCTGAGCGGGAGTGCCGCCAGTTGTGGAGGGAAGAGTCGTCTGAGCGTTGACAGATCCAGTGGGCGATCCAGAGCTTGAGACCAGTCTCGTCAGGGTCGACGAAGTGCTGTTAGCATGAGTGGTCGTGGTGTTGGCGGCGACAGTCAAGGACGGGACCGGGGCGCTGGTGGTTGAGGTCTCGATGATGGTGGTGGTGTTCTTAGCACTCTGCGTCGGGACGTCGGACTGCTGGGCCTTGTTGTTGCCGCTCTTGTCGCTGGACTTGTCGCCCTTGGGACTGCCAACATTGCTGGCATCGCCAACGCTGCCAGAGCTGCCGCTCTTCTCGCCAGCACCGACGATCTGGATGCTCTGCCACTTTCCGTCGGAGCCCTTGGAGTACTCGTACTGATTGGCACCAGCCTTGTCACCTCCGGCGTAGTCCCAGACCTTGAGGGAGCGGTAGTGGCCGGCATAGGGAGCCTGACTCCACTCAGCAAGACCACCAGCCCAGTCGATGGTGCCCTGAGCAGTGCCCTTTCCGCCGACCCAGGTACCGAGCTTGAGCTGCATGGGAGTTTGCGGGTAGTTGCCCTCGGCGGGGGTGGCGGTGCGGTAGACCTTTCCGTCAATGGAGAAGACGATGGACTCCTTGGTCCACTCAATGGTGTAAGTGTGGAAGCTGGTCATGGGGTTGAAAGGAACCTCGTAGTAGCGAGCGCGGGTGTAGTCATTGACACCGAGGGCGTAGAAGTTGGTCTGAACGTGGGTCTGGTCGGCACCGACAAACTCCCAATCGATCTCGTCGAGGGCGTCGGACTGCAGGACAATACTAGTGACAATGCCGCGACCGGGGGCGGCCTGTAGTTCGACTTCAACCTTGCCGAAGAAGAGGTAGTTCTTTGAGGTGAGAGTCGGGGCGTTGTTCTCCTCAAAGATGGTCATTTCGCAACCCGTGTCGGCGGAGAATGACAGGACTTTGGGGTTGTACTTGACGCCGCCGTCGACAATGAAGAAGGACTCCAGGTCGTTCATGTTCTTGGCGGTGCGGAAATCATAGCTGGCTTCGCCGCCAAAAGCGGTGTTGGCAGGGCAGGCTGAGGGATGATGTTAGCATTGTCAAATGAGGTGGAAATCCACAACTTGGTGTAAGTGGACTGGGTGTTGGGGAAGATAACATACTGTCACCCTTGACGGGATTGCAAGCGGAGAATGTCTGGGCAGAAGCCAGGCCAGCAGCGGCCAGAGTCAAGGCTGCGTAACGCATCATTTTGGGCTGTGGTGATGGAGGTGTGGTGAGGAGAGCGAGGGTGAGGTTGAGGTTGAGGCTGTGAGTGATTGTCGTTGAGGTCGATTTTGCTGCAGAAAAGGAGCGGGAGCAAGGGTAGATATCGACGTTGAAATGTAAGGTAACACAAGACGAGTAAACAACCACGGAAGGTGATCCGAGGAGGAAGTCCCAAATATAGAAATTAAGGAAAGGCTAGAGGATGGAAGAAAGGAACTAGCGCACTGGGCAGGTGGGAGGCCAAGGAACACAGAAAACAGGTGAAAGGACGGCAACGGACGCTGTGTCTCTAAGTTTAGGTCGAAGCCGCCGCTTGGGAAGCAGTAAACGGGAGGCTGGCGAATTCTAGGCGACCAAAAGTGAAGAAAGCGAATCACGAATGTACCTTACCTACCTTACCTTAGTAGCGTGGGGCGTGAACACGAGCAGAGATGAAAGCAGACGGGCAACGGTGAAGCCGGGCACCGGGGAGAGAGACATCTACCTCATTGGAAAGACTAAGACCACTAGGGCCTCAGTATTTACGGTGCATCCAAGACATGGAGAAGATGGCTGTGTTTCTTTCCTGCTGCATTAGGGGCAGTAAGCGTGAGATGACACGAAGAATCGCTGCAAATCGATGGTGGTCTTCCTGCCTTAGTCTGCTTCCATTTCTGGGCGCCTTCCTTTTCGCTTGAACGAATCCGCGCTTGCCAAGCGCACCTTCTTCACCTATTGGCTATTGGCAGGAAGGAGGGCAGCGGATGGGAGGCTGGGCAACTTCCCAGTGATGAAAAGTGACGCTAATGCAGGGTCCAAGTATTCTTGCTGAAAAACTGTGTGGAGAAATACACACCTTAGTGTGCACCCTCACCTTCTCCCCAGCCGTCTGGTTTGGCTTCAGGGACCCTCAGTGGCTGCCGCAAGCGGGGACTTTTACATCGATTACCTCAGCTTCCTCTCTCTTTGCAGCGCTGCACCTCCCTCAGTAAGTCAGTAAGTCAGTCGGTCTTGCCCTTCGCCTCACTTCATAGTGTGGGTACGTACCTCGTTCTTGCCGTTCAGCTCGTGTCCGGTCGCGCCGTTGCTGCCACGCCAAACCCTCCGCATCCAGGTGGTTCCTTCCCATCTCGTGTTTGAATCGTCAGATTGGCGCCGTTTCCGTCTCACACAACCCTCGTCATGTTGTTTCCTCTCCAGCTCAACTCTAAAGTTTGCCAACCTCTTCATTCCTTGCAAACCACATCACCACTTCGTCTCCTGACAGATTCGTCCTGCCAGGGGCGCGCTCATGACGCCGTTGCCACTCGACTGCAGACGTCCATCCCCCCTTGGCAACATCCACAATGTCCCATTCCCAGCCCTCGGCCGACATCTTCCCCCGTCAACAATGTCTTACGCTTAAACCGACATGAAATCTGATGATCTTTACCCACGCCCACAGTCTCGGCAATCTTGGATGCAAGGTCGTTTAATTTCCTTTGGGGTAGCCACAGTTGCAAGCAGCCACACAGCATCGTGCCCAGCCCTACATCTCAGGGGGAATTGCAGCCGATCTACGCCAGCCGAGGCGCCAAGATGGTTGGCCGTCTCGTGTCTTGGGAATAGGATGCGTCCGTTCGAGCTGCACTACAATTACCTTCCGCAGATGCTGTTGGTGTCAAGTGAGTAAAACAACCACCGATTGCATCAAAGCTCCTTAGGATGCTTCGCTTGGCTTCTCTGGTCCGTCCTTGTTCATTGTTTTTAATCTGCTTTTTGCATTTCTTTTGGGTGTTCCGTCCTAGCGGGACTTAGACTACTGTGACTAACATGTAATTAGTAGATTGCATCTTTCGTCCCCCTTTGCACGGCCTCAGAAAGAAGACATCCTGCAACAATGGACTTGTCCCTTCGCCCCTCGCATCAATCTGCATCAAATCCATCATAAGTCGTCTCGTAACTGGTGCCAAGCGAACCTGTCCCTCGACCATCCACCAGCACATCCTCTGTGTCTCTGTGTATCCAAAACCTCCCGACGGTCTCGAATCGATGTGGTCCCCCTTGGGAAGAAAATTTGGAATGGTGAGAAGTGAAAAAATTGTATAGACAAAACACCCAATTGGGCCCTAGTCGCAGACGATCATCGGATCCGAAACAGAAACACTGGGACACGACACGCTAAAGAAATCCATTCGCTCGCGTCAACGTTACCCAAAACTCAACCCGCTTAGCAGGTGTTGAGCATGGAGGTGAGAGCAGTCTTCTCGGCAGAGGTGACGGTGAGGGCCCAGTAGCTCTTGACCGCAACCCAGGAGCGGGCGTAGACGCAGTAGAAGCTGGTCAGAGGGGGCTTCCACGAGTCGGGGCTCTTGTCGCTCTTGGACTGGTTGACCTCATCCGTGACAGCCCACAGCTGGGGGCGGGTGAGATCGTTGGCAAACGACTCACGCTTGGCAGTGGTCCACGATGCGGCACCAGACTGTCGTCCCATGTTAATATGCACCTTTAATTCTAACATTGCGCACAGAGCAGACTTACGATCCAGGCGTTCTTCAAGGGGACCATGTGGTCAATGTCGACATCGCTAGCGGCGGTCCAGGTGGCACCGTCGTAAGGGCTCTTCCAGGTACCGCTGGTAGCAGAGCAGGCAGAGTTGACGACGACGTTGGTGCCATCGCGCTGGAGCACAGTCTCGCGGGTGTTGCAGGTGCCGGAGATGGTGTCCCAGGTGGGGAACAGGTCACGGTCGTAGGTGCCGGTGTTGGTCCAGGCGGCAACGGTCAGAGCAGCGAGCTGGGTCTTGGCCGAGGCGGCGGTGGGGATGCCAGGCTGTATGCAAGTGTCAGAAACGGCTTCGGCAACGGGCCAACAACGGAGGATTCGGACTTACGGGAGTGGGCATCGGCAGGGGCGCAGCGACCGGGTTCGGGGCCGGGACGGGAGAGGCGACGGCCGCGCCGGCGAGCATGAACAAAGCAGCGTTGACCTTCATGGTGACGGCAGCGAAGAACGGATGGATGAGACCGGGTGAGAAGACTGGGATGGAGGCTGGAGTGATGTGGTGAACGGGTTGCTTGACACTGACGTTGAAGCAGAAACAAATCCTCCAAAGCGGGAGATCTGCCGTGATTTATATCCTCCGTCGACGTCCTTCCTGTTTATCTCGTTTGTCGTCAAAAGGACTCCCTCGTCGGCGGGTCGCGAGAGTTCCCAAGACTGCGTTTCCCTCGCTTGTACAACGTCGAACCCCACCTTCATGTCGTTTGCAGCTCCGTCGAGCCAGTCACCACGCCGTCCGACCCCACGATTATCTACCTGATGTCTTAATCTCCAGCCCGACCCTCCAGGAACCCGTCAACGATGCGGCATTGAGTCGCTGAAACGGCGCGCTGTTCTGAAAAGGGGCACTCTGTCCGGCCACAGTACGGCCCAAAGCGACCGTCTCGTAGGGCTTCGCAGGGGGGACCACAGGGTTCTGTGGACGAGCTGACAGCTCCGTGTGCCTTTATCTCTCGTGTTATTGGCGGGGTAATCTAAACAATGGTCAACTTCCCTGGTCTCTGAGTGCCGATGCACGGCGTGCTACGGCTCCCGCTCTCTCGTCAACCTTAAGCTCTGGTCCGTCCCAAGTTTCCCAACCTTAATGCCAAGCTCACGAGAGTCGAGAACCAGCCACTCACGTCTCCCGGCACCGGCACGTTATCTTATCGGTCCCTGTCAATCACCTGCGAAAAGCGACATGGCTCGTCTGCGGATTCCCGGTCTTTCTGTCAATCTGTCTTCCATCTTGGTCTTGTCCGCTGCACGTCAACCCCTCCATGTCCCGGCTCCTTCAACAATAGCGCACGGGGTCTTTCACGAACCTTCCTGTTTGGGGCCAGCTGCCGATGATGCGTGGTCAAGAGGAAGCCCGCGACCCTGCGCTTCGGAGTGACGGTCGTGATAGCAACCTCTCAGGGTCTCGAGAATCGAAACGAGGCAACCCACGGGCTGCAGGCTCACAGACTTGCAGCACACAAACATCGAAGCCCAATGTCTCACGCCAGACGAATAGAGGCAGGTCGACGGGAGGGTAGATCCGGATCACCACTCGACACCGCAACGCCGCAAACCTGGAGAAGCCATCTCGACCGCTGGTTGGACTACATTTACGACAGCCAAGCAGGCCTGCGCAAGCGCTGATAGCGATCGTCATCCCAAAGCGGTGTACAGCATGGGCTCGGATTCGCTGCTTGGCCATCAAACATAGTTTCCGCCATACCTCGAAGCAGATGTGCCCGTCCCCATAGGCTGGCACGAGCTAGCTATCCCATTACTCGTGCGAGGCGGACCTCCCCAGCATGGCAAGACGCAAAAACCCACATCCCGACCTTCGATCGGACCTTGCATCTGATTAAGCTTAAGCGGCACCAAGTTACAGCTTCACACACACGCCACTCATTATCATGGAGAATATCTCGGCCGACTACTATCCCCGCCTAGCCTCCATGTCTTATCGACAATCTGACAGTCTGACCTTCTCTCAGATGTCAAACCCGCCTTCGCCCATACCTGTACATCCGGCCTTTCCGCCAAACCAGGCACTCTGTCGCCGTAACTTGGATATCAGTCAAGATTCAGGACAGCCTCAAGCCTCGGCAGCGATAAGGAAAGATTACAGGGGAGGGAGATATCCCGCAGAACGTAATAAGCTTGACCAAACGAAGAAGGACCACTCACCCCGACACACCCTGCCGAGCACATGCCCAGCAACTCGGAGCCGCAACCAGTAGCTCCTCCACACGTTCCCGTTGCGCAGCTGCCTACAACCCCGGGCCCCATGTTGGCGAAGCCTGGCCCAACGGGATACATGGAACTCGTCGTGACGGCGGCCAAGACCGATGCCCAAGGACCGTCCACGGCGACATCTTTACCCCAGAATGACGTCTTATCTTCACCGCGAGGCCCCATGCGCTTCCCAGAGTCCGCCTTGAATGTCTCGCTTGCCCTCTTGCGCGCCTTTGAATGCGTTGCTTCTAGTGTGTTCCTGTACTCGAGGCGTAAGGGACGTGTTGCTGTTCGCTGCGCTGTCGTCTCGTTGGTGTGCACAGCCGGATGCGATGAGACATGCGCAGACTCGGCGGCTGGCGGCATGGGCACATTGTTGACCTTGGAGGCTGCATGCCATGCTTCGAGAACTGAGGTACATGTACGCTCAGCAGGGGTTTGGTAAGTAAGTATGGCTGGATCTAAAAGTAACACAGGCACACATGGGGGCGCGGGGAAGTGTAGTGGTTGCAAGATGCCTTACGCTTTTCCTCCTTGCCTATTCCGAACATCTTGGTCGTGGGCAAGGTCATCACCCTGACGGCGATAGATAACGCATCTGCAGTCAGTAATCACGGCCAAGATTGTTGTTGCTAACAACATCGGAGTGCGCCGAGCAGCGAGGACATGCGATATCACGACTTCTAGCTCTGACCGGCGATGCGACGGATCAAGATGATGGTGCTCTGGGGTGGTACTGATAGGAACACTCACTTTCGCAGTACCAGCACTTGCATTCCGAGTAGATCTCGCCGTGCTTTTCCTGGTATGTCTTACTTGTCCACTCAAAGGCCGTGCTCAGCTTGTCCTCGTCGACTTTATCATTGTGATCTAGAAACGTCCCCGTCTTTGCGAGTGGGAAGTCGAAGTAGGACTGGGGAGAGAGCTGGTGCGTGTGCCATGCCAGGTCGACATCAAGTGTCGGAACGGAGCCTTTGTCCTCTGTAGACGAGGCAATGGCGATAATCTCAACGAAGCGGGCGTACTTGTTCAAAAGTTTCGCCATGATGTCCCGCGCTGTAGGGAAGTGTAACCAGTTCAGTTGAGCTGTCAAGATCAGCCAACTAGCCAGCTCACGATGTGAAGAGAGAGAGCCCTCACCTTGCACATCTTCTCGGTAAACGTCGCCTGGCGCATCACACATCCTACGAGGTCAATAGAAAATGGCGACGAGTTCTCCTAGTACCGCGACATCATCTTCCTCGTCTGCCGCCTCGCATCTAGACTCGGACGGTAGTCCGTCATCTTTTCATGGCCCGGCTGGCTCATCACCCCACGCAGGTTCTTGGGATCTGCATATTTACCGGTAAAGTTCTCTTCCATGGCATCTCGGATGGTCATCCTACTTGGCGGGACTTTGCTCCCGGGTTTGAACATCTCGACGGCGTGGACTATGAGTCCGCGACGGGCGAGGCGCGTGGGGAAGAACCGGTCTGGACATTTCACTGATGTGTCGTCTGAGCCGTACTGTAGAGGTTTTGGTAGGCAGGCCTGTATTGAGGTCGAGGATTGTTCCCGGTATCGCGTGGTTGGAATTCATCGAAGCCTGGATGTCGTTGCGGAACTTACCTGCGCGAAGAGATTCGTGGGTTATTGTGATTGTTTTCTGGGTTGTTGTTGTTGCCGTTGCTGTCACCATCGCGGGTATTGTTGTCGGCGCGCACATCCCATATATTCCAGAGGCCATCGCGGTACCCCGTCTCCGTCTTGAGGCGGTTGAAGGCTGTTAGGAGGCGGAGGTGCGCTAGGCATGTGTCCTGGGTCGGGAAGGATGGTGGTGGTGGGGTGTTTGATGGGAGGGCGAGGTTCAGGCCTAGGCCCGTGGCGATGCCGGCGGCTTCTGGGATGGAATCGGTGCCATGGGCCGGGAGAGGGGCCGAGGAATCGGGTTCGGATGGGAAAGCGGAGTCTGCCCGTTTGGCGGTGATTTCGGGTGTGGAGCCTGGGGTGCCTTCCGGTGGCCGAGGAGCCGGATTGCTCTTTTGCTTCTTTTTCCACATTTGTCGCACCGAACCTTGGGTCAACTTCAAATTTCAAGTTGATTTTCTCTTTTCTTGTGCCTTGAATTTTCGTGTGAAGCTCCGTCTTTGTCAAGACTAGAGAGAATCGATCCCAGCACGTCGTTAGAGCTGGTGAATTGTTACCTTATGGAAAGATATATGCGTGTCCGTGTATATCGCAAAATGCCCTGCAGGAATGCTACTTTCAACAATTACGTGACGAACGTGCAAAAAGTACCGGAGTGTTTGGCTGCGTCTGTGATGCGATGGAAGTTTGATCTATGTCTGTCGGTGAGTGCGATTATCTGCGCGTTCTACCAGGCGGGGGGTGCTTCTTCCCCCTTCTGTTCGTCAGTTGGATATGTTCGGCTCGATCAAACTGGACTGCCCGCGGATAGGACTCGATCGAATGCTGCGCCACACCGATCGCGAGCGGGTTACGTAGGGGAAGGGAATTGGTGCCAGTGAGAGCCGTACCTAGGCGATGAAGACATTTCTTGCTGCAAGATCAATTGACGTCAAACTCACACCGAAGATGTCTTTGACGGTGAGTGAGAGGGGGGAGGATGCCAAATTAATGATTCATCTCAATTGGCATGCATGCATGTCCCTATTGCCGATCACCTCAACGATAAAGAGCTGTTTACTCGGATCTCGACGGGGTGTGTGTGTGTGTGTGTGTGTGTGTGTGTGTGTGGTTCGGTGTGGTTTGGTGTGTTGGCTCCAATGGCGGGCGTTGGTGGGTGTGCATTAGACCCCGCAGGATGAATTCGCGGGGTGCCAGTCCGGAAGGATTCTCGTTAGGATTGTGGTGACGTTGGGAGCGGACCGTCTCGATGTGAAAGATCCAGGGCGAGCCGGGCGTTTGTACTGCTTGGCGACTAGGCGCTGTCTCAGAAGCTTGAATGTCACGTTGGGAGATTGAGTATGCAATGAAGGTAGTCTTAATAGTAGTATATTGATTTTGGTATATTGCGAAAAATATCATAATGTGAGCGGTATTGCCCGCTTTCAATGCCTCAACGCCGTGCCATGCAAACTCATTAGATGTAAAGATTAGCCAGAGAATTTTCCAACTTCGTCAATAGTGTTGCGGGTGGAACACAATTGCGTTGGTTGGGAGCCATAAACCTCCTCGCATTAAACTCTCTCCTGATGAGAGGTTCCGTTGAGAGCGCTCTTGGGCTGCTCTCCCTTCTCACTCTGCACGCCGCCATCACTGGCATTGGCGTCGAGGTCTGTTCCAGCCTTCTGGCGGATGCGGTGCATCTCCTCAGCAGAGGGAGGTACCCATTGGGTGCTCTTCCACGGCTTGACACCCTCCAAGTACATGGTGTCAATCTCCTCCAAGGTACGTCCCTGGCCCTCGATGACGAAAAAGTAGACGACAAATCCAGCAACCAGGTTGCATCCGGCAAAGACGTAACCGTAACGGAAGTCAATGGCACCAGTGATGAAGGGCGAGAAGAAGCCGATGAAGAAGTTCCAGATCCAGTTGCTGGCGGTGGAGAGAGACATGGCCTTGGCGCGGTATCTTGACGGGAAGAGTTCGGCTTGGATGGTCCAGATCTTAAAGAAGTTAGTACTTGGTTTGCTAAGTGTGGAAAGTGTGGGTGTTTTGACTTACCATAGGTCCCCAAGTGGTGGCAAAGCCCAGAATGAAGAGAGAAGCGAAAACGATGAGCACGATGCCAGGGCCGACGGTACTTTGGGGGTCATCGCGATTCAGGCTGAAGTGACCGACGGATGCGAAGATCAAGAAGCAGATGAACATCCAGCCGGAGCCGACCATCAGCGACTTGCGTCTACCATAGTGCTCAACAATGTAGAGACCAATGAAAGTGGTTCCGAAGTTGATGGCGTTCAGGATGATCTGCGTGATGAAAGAGTTGATGTTCACTGACGAGAAAATGGTGGTGCCGTAGTAGAAGAAATAGTTGGCACCCGTGAGTTGCTGGAGCATTTGCAGTCCACAACCCAAGGCAATACGCTGGGCCATTTTCGGAGCCTTGAACATGCCAGAAAATTCTTGGACGGCGTTGCCCTTGATCTGTGACTCGGCTCGGAGCTTGCTCTCAATCTCCTCGAGTTGGATGTAGATGCTGTAGTGGTTCTCGGGGGCGCCGTATACTCGGCAGAGGGTGCTTTTGGCACGCTCCACGTTGCCCATGCGGTAGTCATAACGAGGAGTCTCGGGGAAGGCGAGGATGCCGACGCCAAGGATGATGGTCCAGAGCCAACCAAGACCAATGACGATGCGCCAGGAGCCAGAGTTGTGTTCGAGATGAGTGACGGTGCCGTAGTTACTATTCTTTGTTAGCTCATGTCTTGCTAGTTGGGTATCGGATATGCACTTACAAGCAAGCGGCGAGGAAGATGCCGAGGGTGATGAAGAGCTGGTAGGCGCAAACGAGGGCACCACGAATCCATGGCGGCGCAGTCTCGGCCTGGAACATTGGGACAATGAGACTGAGAGCACCGACACCGAAGCCAGCGACTAAACGGCCAACCATGATCTGTTCCCATGCTCTGTCGGTAGCAATCTGGATAACGAAACCGATGGAGGTGATGAGGCACCAGAAGGAGATGGAGTACCGGCGACCAAACTTGTCGGCGATGGGGGCAGCGCACAAGGCACCGATGAGGGTGCCGATGGAGAGGAGACCGACAATGAGACCGGAGCGGACGTTGCTGAACTTGATGGAGCCGTCGGACTTGTGCTCGCCGAACCGGTCGAGGAAGTCGGGCATCTCGAGGAATCCGGAGATCTGACCCGTGTCATAGCCGAAAACCATGCCGCCCATGGAGATGAGAATACCCATAGCCCATGACCGCCCCGAGATGCGCTTCAACGGGGAGTAGTCAAGGTGGGCGAGGTCCTGGCGGGCATCGCTTGCCTTCTCGGAGGAAGGATTGTACTTGTCGAACTCAATCGTCGAGAACCCCATGCTGGGCGACGATTTCTGTGTTATTGTTGGTGGTGATGTGTGATGAAGGTGATGGAGAGATGTGCCAACGATGGTTCGTCCGAGACAAAGAAGGCCGTATTTGGGAGGACATGGCGGGCAGTATTATATGAATGTTTCCGTTGATCGACACACGAGACGAGGATTGAGAGCCGCTCGCAAGCGCAGTACGCTTGTGCTGCTGAATGGGTGGGCAGAGTTGGGGGCGTCCAGTCTCAGTCGGCTAGGGGCGTGACGTCAAGAGAGGACCGAGGCCTTGGAGTCAATGTGCGAGGGAGACGAGAGAGAGCGTGCCCGATGACTTGGGATGGACGGCGGTGCCACCGTGTGCCACCGTGTGCCACCGAGGTGTTGCCGTCCGGGGCCCGGGGTCTCCAGGTTGAAGGAATCGGCCCGTTCCCCATCTTTTCTAGTGTCAGGAAGAGAGAAGAGACTTCAGAGACGAGAAGGAAGCCGAGGGGAAGAAGATGGAGATTCGGTGGATGCAATTGGATACGTGGGCGAACTATGTAGGCCTAGTACACCACCCGTAGTGTACGGTTTACTGTAGGGTGTGCATCAGATTACCAATGTGCGGCTCTAGGGATGAGAATCATGGGATTCTTGAGAATTGTGGAAACAGACCAGGGAAACCAGTGACAGCGTTGGCCGGGGATAACATGGTCTATCGATTGTTCCCTGGCACGGCGTGGAAGAAAGTCGTGAGATTGAGCAACGGCTGGATGACGTTGGTGGACGAGGTGCGTTTTGTGGGAAACAAGGGGGCGTGAGATGATGTAAAGATGAAAGCGGCTTGCTGTCGGATCCGCCCAAGGCCGTTTTATAATGCAAAGTATCTTTTGCGCATAAACTTGGTGTGTGGTACCAGTGGAGGCGTTCTTGTACAAGTATCCGTACCGGTACACTAACGTACAGGGCGTGCCGGAGGAACCGGGGCCGGGGTACACTACACGAGCAGGTGGTCGAATTCTCTGGAGATTCTTCCAAGGGACATTCGGATTGCAGAATTGGGATTTGAGAAGTGAGCAACTTAGAATTTGATGGATTTGTGAGGTGATCGTAAGTTATGATTAACAGACTTCTGTCAATTGGAGCTTTGTGGAATGTCGTGTGGTGGCGAGGAGAGCAACACACGTGACTCTTCTCTTCTGTCTAGGTAGAAGCTAGGTTCTTTCCCATCACCTTACGGTACCAAGTACCTAGAAAGAGGGGCGATGAAATGAGGCCATCGTGATATGACACGGGATGTATCGGGTAGGCATTGCTTTTATGAAAAGATACATGAGGCGAGTCCCTGGATGGACGACGGAATGGTGCCGCGGCTTCAAGACGGCAGGCGCTGCCGGAATTGCTGCCCACATCACTGCCAATTGCGCACCAGTAGGAAGGCACGATGACGCGACATGCAGTCATCCCAGGCAACTTCACAAGGCAGGTCCCGATCGCTACCTTCCTGCCGAATGCACTTGGTCCGTTTGGCTCTACTTTCCCTTGCAATTCGAACCTGAAATGGGCTACCGCCTGCAAAGTGAAGGCACTATCCGTACCTAAATGGAAGCCAAGGACAGGAGAGCCTCTTCCTCGAGTTTCGGTAAAAGTCTTGGGTGATGAGAGACACAGCCAAACAAGCTCTGGTGAACGGGGCCAAAGAAATCTTGATTGAACCACAGCAGTTGCCCCCCCTGTCACACATCCTCCCAAGTTCCTTCCTCACACAAATCAGTACGTATCAAATTCAATCAGCCCCGCCAACATCAGATGACGTCGTCAAAAAGAAACACAGGAAGAAATGGAAAGAGCCTTCGCGAAGTAAGGTAGAGGTTTTGGAAAAAGATATCGCCGCGACATCTTTTCGGCCCACCTCCGGCTTTCCGTTCTTCAGGTTTTGTCGTTGTCGTCAACTTCTCCGTCCGGGGGCTTCTCTTTCGGCCCTTCTCTCCCCTCAACCTCCAGAGTCTCCGGAATCTCCAGCCAAGCCCCAAATATTCTCCAGAAATCTCCATTCTTTTGCCCTTCCTGCTGCGCGTGCAGCGTGTCACGGTCTCTCTTTTTCTCCCCCAGCTCCAGAAAACTCTGAGTCTCTTGCCCTTTTCTACAGGTCTAACCGGTCTGTCGGTCGCCATCCGAGGGAGAACCGACGCCAACTTCCCCCTCCAATCCTCCATCCCACCCACCCGAACCACTCAACCCACGCCGTCTTTCCCTCGGGGCTCCCAGATCTGAGGTATTCTTTTCTCTCTTCAATGGATCATTCGGGGCCCCTTCCGGGGAACGAGATGCGAATGAAAGGGGTCTCACACTGTCCCCATTGTTTCGGCCTCCGCTACGACGCCGGTGCCGCCAACGGCCAACCACATCATCATCGCGCCCCCGTTCCCCCCCGCGCGCACCATTCCGAGTCTCGACTCTTCTTTGGTCTCTCCGTTCTCGTAAGAGGAGTCGTAAGAGAAGGTCATGAGGCTCCCATGGGGTTCGGCGACGCCTAAGCAAAAGGATCGTGCCTCGGCTTATTTGTCTGCACAGTTTTTCTGCCCATCAGTCACGCACTCATCACGAACTGTATTTTTCAGCCTGGCCAAACACGAACTTCTGAACTGCGCAACACATCGACAATACCGAATCTCCACTCCTATCACGCGTCGCTTCTAGAACAACCAGCTTTCCAGCCGGTACGAGAAGAAAAGGATTGGGCCTCGATTAGGAATCAAAACTCGACAATCAGGGGACGATCCCTCCGCCCCGAGTGACTGATTATCGGATCAGCCACGTGCCTAGCCCCAACATTCGCCATTCACTTGCACTGGTTCATCTCCATCTTGATCCATCCGACATTTTACAGCCATACACACATTTCTTGATAATCGCCGCCGTCCACTTTTCTCGGTCGCACTGCGGTATCTCTCTACATTACTATGCGCGCCTATTATACCTATTATTGTATCTCACGATAGAGCGCACAGATCCGACTGCTCCGTAAACCCCCCAGGCGTTGCTCTGTCACTGAGCTGCCGGGGCGTCCTGGGTTGTAATCGCGGGAACGCAGGGACCGCTGTGCTTCCTCCCGCAACAATCATTCTTCCCGTTTCAACTCCCGACCTTCCATGGCTCTCCCTGCGGTTCCGACCAGTCCCGACGAAAATTCAATGTTGCCGACACAGCTCATCGGCACTTTCAGACGCGTCCAAATTGCAGACCCAAGCGTTACGTGATCTGGGTTGAACGGACCGAATGCTGTTATGCAACCTACCATGTGGACTCTAAGCCATTGACCCCCGTCGGCTTATCAGCCAAAGTGGTGATCCGGAAGCCGTGTCGCAGCCCTTCCTGTGGGTTGTGGACATTGTAGTCTGAGATGGCAGTGTGCGCCGTCACTCTGTTATCCCAGAGCGCGACAGTTCCCTCTTCCCACTTGACGCGGACCTGGAAGTCCTGGCCGTGGTTGATGTGCTTTTTCTTTGATTAACAGAGGCCGAACCCCTGATGGTATTATAACGAACCTTGAACAAGAGTTTCAACAGCGCATCTGACTCTTCATCCCGAAGACCGACAATCCTTTTTATGAAGCCTGGGTTGATGAATAACGCCTTCTGACCGGTGGCCTGTGACACAGGAGACATCAGTATGAGGGAGTATTTCACGGCATGAAAGTTGCGACGACCCTGCATACCGGATGGACCCGAACAATGGGATGCTCCGACTTGACCGGCTCTCTCCGCACAAACTTGCCGTCTCGACGAGCGTTGTCGGCTTGGGGGAAGCCGCTGTGTTCTGCCCTCAACCCCTCAAGAAGGGCCTGAATCAGCCTCGATAACCGCGCATACGCTGCCGTCTGAGAAACCCACGCCGTGTCGCCACCCGTCTCAGGCACCGAGAGGAGCGTCAGGATTGTGACGTCCGGCGACTGGTGCTCATACGACACATCCGAGTGGTACCCGATAGTCGAGAGCTTGTTGCTCTTGCTCCGGTTGCGATATTCGTTGTCCGGGCCCAAGTAGATGTTGTGCAGCTCGAGGTGGTTCTTGACATGCGCCCTGACGGGCTAGAAACTTGTCAACAAAGTCGCGGTCGAGACGGCAAAGGCTAGACGAACGTGGATGTGACGAGGACCAAAGTATTGCCCGAATTTCTTTTGCTTCTCGATGCTAATGTCCTTGAAGTCTTGGTCTCGGAATACGACGACGCCGCGCTCAGCGATGAGAAGCGCAAGTTCGTCCTTCTGTCTATCGTTGAGCTGGGATAGTTGCAGTCCACGGATCTCGGTGCCAATGACTGGTGTCAGCTTCGTAGCTGTGATCTCTTTCTTGTCCTTGGGAAGGAGATTTGACTTCTTCTTATTCGATACGAGTCCGCGGTCGTTGAACGCGAATGGCTTGAGCGGGGGAAAGGATGTCTTTTCGTCGTACACTGGCAAGTATTGGGCGTATTTGTACTATTGTCACCGTCAATTCCTTCCCTTCGGCATACATCGAGTGATGTTTCGAAGGCATACCTGATCGTGGATCTTGTCGTCGTATGCCAGGGTCAGCGTGACAGGCGCCGTCTCCGCCTGAGCTTCGGTTGTGGTGGTCGTAGACATTGTATGTGATCGTACTCTCTTTATGTGCGCTTAGTGCCCGGCCTCGTAAATATCATCTAAGATTTTACGTGTCTCATATCACGACTGTTTCGTCAAGGCTGATTTAAATACGGCATCAAGTCGAGTTCGATCTTACAAGACTTAATCGCGTCAATCGACGTGATATGGCGAGCACTGAAGCCATTCATCCTTTGGCTCACGCCATTGCGACTTGCATGCGGGGAAGCTGCGATAAGAAACATCGCTGTGCATTATCATCAATCTCACTGGACGCGAGATCCGAAGGTGGTTCGGATGTGAAGTGTGCCTTCATCGGCACTCTGCTGGCTCGGATCAACGCCGTTACCAGGGCCTATGCTCTCCAGTGACACGAATGGATGATGAGGTGGGTAGTTGTAGGGCGGGCATGTGTTCCCAGTGGTAAAGCTTGCTTCATATCATTGATCTACCGACATCATCATTGGCACCTTGGTATTTCGTGTTTCATGCGGAAGATGGCATCAAGTGCGATGGTGTTCCGATGCCGAAGGGGACGCGGGACCGCTTCGGCGATGATGTGCTGCCCCGCACCGGCTCCGGACAAGCGTGCGGCAACACCGAGGGCATCTCCCGTTAACCATAGTGTGTAATCCCAGAAAAGGAGGGACTTCCTAGAATTTGAATAGCCAGTGAAGCCTCTCCAGATACTATGAAGAGACGTGGTTGGCTTGACTTGACCTTTGGATTTTGCAGTAGTTTAACCTCCAGTACCAGCACCTTGGCACTCTTTTCCCACCATAGAATCATTAGCAATTTAGAGTTGTCTTCATTTCCTTTGCCTCGTGTGCGATGTATTCTTTCTCTGGCAATAATCAGATAAGATTCTAGAATTGTCATGGCATCTCAATTCGCACCCTAGAGGCTCCTGTCGCCGGATTATACTTGTTTCTACCTATCCTAAGTAGGCACCTTGGGCATCCTGGCAACCACCAGGGATACTCGCCATCTTCTAGAAACCACCACTTCCCAAACGAAATGGTCAATTTACGCCGATAATCCCAGTTCCTCATAAAAGGGCTCCATCCGGACCTCACGACCAAGGAACTCCAACAACGTCGTCATCTCGGGCTGTCCGCCCCCCTTCTCCAAGACGCCGTACCTATACTTGCGCCCTGCTTCCGAGCTCATGGGGTCCGCTTCAAAGACTGTTGAGAATATGTCTTGCGCGTAGACTTGTGAGCTATTTGTCACAAACACAAACTCCGTTAGTGAAATTTCATCCATGCTTGCCTGGGCAGATATGAGAGTCACGAGATCAGGAAAAAGAAGAGTAGAAACTCACAAAAAGTAGCCGTAGAACCCGGCATCGTACTCATCCATCAAGTGTCCGATGTTAGTATACCCGTGTCCCCAGTTGGTGTCGTCACCCGGTAGGATAGGCGGATCGTCCGTCGGGACGATTTCTCGTCGGAGACTGTTCCAGAGCGTCGTGAAGTCTACGGCGGCTTCTCCTTCGACGGCATCGGCGGCGGCGGTAGTGGATGGTTCCTCTTGCGTGATGGTCGAGGAGGGTAACTGATGAGCAGCCATATCAAAGACACTAATGAAAAGCTGCTGCAGCGTCCCCAGCCCCTGGCCAACATGCTTCGCGGCAACCAGGTCCTCAATGATGGTCTCTGGGATCCTTTCCGGAGGCTGCGTTATACCTGCCCCCGCCCCTTCTTCTCCAGGCACCGCTCTGGCAATCTGCTTCTCCCGCCAATCCTCCAAACAATCCTCAGACAGATACGAATAATGCCGGCCGAGTCCCCGTAGCTGCTCCGCGCTCCAGCACCAGTTCTCGAGCATTTGGGAGGGCGCCTCGCCGAAGTCGACAACGGTGCCCATGGGCCCGTGGAAGCGCGCGAAGAGGGTGCGGGAGACGAGGTCGTGGATTGCGTGGCCTAGTTCGTGGAAGAGGGTTACCACGTCGGCGTGGCGAAGGAGGGTTGGGGAGGATGTAGATGAGGAGGATGTAGATGAGGAGGAGGGAGAAGGGGAGGGAGGGGGAAAGGAGCAGAGGAGGGCTGTGGAGGGGTGTGTGCGTGTTTGGTCTGGGTTTGTGAAGCCCTGGGGATTGTTAGTCTTTGGGTCTGCCCAAATAGAGGACAAGATCAAGATTCGAGGATTTGTGGTGTTCTGGTTCGTGAAAGGGAGCACTTACAGGCCCGAGGCTGAAATTCGCCGGATTTCCATACTTCCCATCCCGGTGGTAGAGATCAAGGTAAAGATACCCCAAGAACTCGCCTCCTTCACCAGCAGAATCCCACGCGGAGAAAAGTCGCACGTCCTCATGCCAGACGATATCTTCCCCGTTACCTGAACTCGACAAGGCATCCCTCGCCTCCTTCCCAACAACCTCGCAGAACTCCATCCTGAAAAGCCTCTCAAAGATGCTGAGCATGCCTTCTACGGTCTGCTCGAGCGGGAAATACTCTGCAATTAGCTCATGGTCAACAGCGTACCCCTCTCGTAGCAAGAGGTTGGTATAATACGCCGTGTCCCAGGTATACAACTTCCCGTCGTAAATCTCGCCTCTCTCGTCTTCGACATCACGCCTCTTAAGTTTAAGTAAACGTTCCTTTTCGTCGCGTCCGCCCTGGACTAGCTTTTCTCGTAGAGAAGAGAGAAAGGATGTGACATGGGACGGGGATCCAGCCATCTTATCCTCCATGGCGAGCGTCGCGTGGTCAGGGTACCCCAGCAGCCGGGCAGCCTCATGGCGGAGCAGGACGACGCGCCTGAAAATGGGGACGTTGGCGGCGCAGCGGGTGTCGTATGCTAGCCGGGCCCGGCGGCGGGTGTTGGGACGGTGCGCGGTGCGGAGAAGCTGGGAGAGATGGAGGGGGATTTTGATACGGAGTTTACCCGCCGTCTCGGTGTTGTCGTCTCCGGATTCCAGGCGGGCGAGGGTGTCGGGGGGAAAGCCGTCTAGTTCCCGCGAGGTGAAGTAAAGCGAGATATCTGCTTCGGCGAGGTTCTTTGCAAACCCTGCGGTCAAGGTCTCGATCTCGGCGCGGATGGCGCGGAAGCGGTCCCGGCCTGGGCCGGCGGCGATCCGCAGGCCGTTTTTGACGAATTCTTTGTGTTTTTTGTGGAGGTAGTTTCTGGCTTCTGGGTTTAGGTAGCGCGTTTCGGTGGTGTCGTTGTAGACTGCGTCGACGAGGGTGAAGAGTGCTTCATTTGTGGCGGATTCGAGTTCTGCGTCGCGGATGAGGGAGCGGGCTTGGGAGGAGGCGTCGCGGGTTGCTGGGTCTGGGGAGACTGCGTTGTGGAAGAGGAGGAGGGAGGAGGTTGCGTAGAGGGCGTTCTCGGCGTGGGCTAGGGGGAGGAGGGTGTTGCCGTAGGTTGCGTCCGGGGGTAGGACGGTTGAGGTTATGGAGGATTGGGCTGCGCGGTGGGTTGTTATGAGGGTGCGGATTGTGGTGAGGATTTGGGATGGGGTGGTTGTGAAGAGGGGGGTTAGTTGCGGCGGGTTACGGGGGGAGGGGTCCATGGTGGTCGTTTTTGGTGATGAATTGAGATTGATGGAGGGTTGTGTTGAGAGTTGCTCTTACGGGTGTGGTGTGAGGTGTCGGGAGTCGATGCCAAGAGCGGGATGTCGTGATCTTTTGAAAGCTTGGTGTTTAGGCAGCGGTTTTGCTGGTTTGGCGGGGTAATATCGCCCACTTGTTGGTTTCAACTTTCGCGATTGTGTTGGTGCAGGGGTGATATCAGAGGGGCAGGCGGGTCGTCGGCCGGTCAGATACCTTGGACGACGGGACTGTTGGGTCCAGGGAGAGCTTGATGGAGCAACAGTTCGTTGATGCCTTCGGCAAAGACCCGGTGCTGTTGTGATGTTGAGCAAAGATTGGATGGATCTGTCGTGGAATGCAAAACACCACAAATCCCCTACTTAGGCATCCCGTATTACAAGGCAACAATATGATTTGGATCTCGTAGGCAAGACTTTGACTGTAGCGTCCGAGTTAACCGACCTTGTTGCATGCAGGACTAAGGCACCTCGTGTTGGACTAATCTGCAAGCAGTCAGATCCGGCCAGGGCCCGGACGGAGCCTTCGCCCGTTTTCGGCCTGGTTGGCCGATGGGCTGTGCCGAGATCCGGCCGGCCGGGGCGGGGGATTTCCGGGGCTCAAGTTTTCGGGCGACGGAGACCATCTCGGCTATTTGAGTCAAGGAAGAAACGACTCGGTAACCAAACAATGGATGAATGCATAAAATCAATGGATCCATGGTAAAAGAGACGGGCTTTCTCACTGCTAGGCAGTTTGGAGATGGTTCACGCTGCTGTCTGGGTTGCTTAGTAGTCTGTAATTTGGAAATGGCCTTGGCCATGATAGCACATTGATATCGTACGCAGACCTGATCTTATAAATCCCTGCGGGAGCGTCGCGACATTCAACATGTTACATGTTACCTAGAGTCAGGCGTCACCCCGCCTGTGTGAGGATTAGGCAAACATGGGAAGGCCAAGTGTGATCCCCGACCGTAACGCACCGGCTTACATGTTCCCCAACACCGGCAGTAGCGTCAGCCAAGGATTACACAGTGTCTTGGGCCATCCTACTCGCGTTTATTTCTTGAATTGACGCTGCTCAATTGAATCCTTACTGACTAATTGCATCGGTTGAGTTAATTATCCGGCCACCGACTTCCTCTGACATCGTCACGCCACTCTTACGAACGAGCAAACGTAATCATTAATTCATCTCGTAGAACATTCCGTCCACGGGAGATCAAGTTTTAGTCTTTGAATACCACACCCCTCAGACTTTTGCGACAGAAAAATGGCCAGCATATCCTCGGGTCTCGCGGCTATCTTTCCTGCGGATGGTGGAGGCGGCAAGCTCGGAAGCACAACACCATCGCGACGAGGACCTCCCGACGAGAATCGCCATCAAAGCCCATCGCCATCGCAATTCCAGGAGCCGCCCGTCTCTTTCAACCGCACCCCTCCCATCCAAAATGAACATCTCAGCACC